AGAAATTAAACACTAAGGTTGCGCCCTGAACAGACCTACCTATTCTGTTCCTGACTAATGTCCCATCTCAGCCAACGCAGTCACATGTCCACACCTCTACGTTGACTTAGGGTTTTCACAGACCCTTAACCCCAGGCTTTTCAAATGCTCACCATGGCAGCTCGCACAATCACTTATCATCCCGTCCTGCGGTAATGGAAGCTGAGGAAAAGCCGCAGCCATCGCCACCGTCATCGCCGTCAAAGGACCGGCAGCGGCCTCATCCCGAACCGCGGCTGACGGGTAGTTCTGCACTGGCAAAGAATTACGCGCGAACGCCGATACCGTACACTGCGGCCAATGGTGCGAGCCTGCTACAGCTGTTGCTGCTGCTGCTCCCCGTCCAGTAGTAGTAGCGCCGGACTCGACAACGGAGACAGATGGAACGGAATTGTTGCGGCAGCTGAGGGAGCTGTACGGCGCAACGGGCCGCTGGGTGCTACTACCCACGCGCACCAGCACTGTTGTCGGCGGCGGTGGCGCCGCCGCCGCCGCCGCCGCCGCGGCAACACCACCAGCAGCAGCCGCCTCTGACGGGGACTCTTGGCGGTCTTCGCATTCCCCGGGTGGACCTCTCGAAGGCCTGACGGCCACAGCTGCAGCTGCCATATGAGGATGATGATGAGGATGATGATGATGAGCACCGCAGGGGCTAAGGGCTGCATTCGTCGCCAGGGTGCTTGGTACTCGGACGATGCCTGTCAGGTCCGATGGATGGATGGTGCTATAAGGTGGTAAATCGTAGAACTGACAATGTGATAAAGCGGCCCAGAAGCCTCCCACTCTGTAACATTACATTACATTACTTTACATTACATTACATTACATTACAGATGGAGACATGTTGCAGGGAGAGGCACGTGTGGGGGTATACTGGCCGCAGATCCATGTATGGATGTGCATATTTGGCCTGATGTGTGTGCTGTGAAACAGGTATTGCTACGCCCCTTGGGTGTGACTCCAAGGCCATCGCAAGTACGCGCACACTGGCCACGGATTGTGAGGGCGGCCCCCAATGACGACACGCAGATGTCCTTTGCTGGAGGGACGCTAATTGGATGGGCAGGAGCGCCGGCACCGCACCTCGCCAGCAGGGGTTGCCGTTATCGCGTTCAAGGCCATGCAGCATTCGGTCCAACTTTTCGGGGTCAAGCTGAAAAATAAGTTCCAGCACATTGACATTTGAGCTGGAAGAGCTGGCGCAGCAGACCTGATCGCCCATGTACGAAACGGATGCGGCGTTTTGGTGGACCACACGGCCCTGAAGATTGAAGACCGTTACCGCAGCAGGGATCCTCGCACACACCATAGAATCGCGCTGGTGCGCCTGAATAAATTATTTGAAAGATTAAATCGTCACATAACCTTATGACAAGTATGGTTGCATAAGCAGCAAGCAGTCCACGTTTGTTCGCACATGCCGACACGCACTGGTCATACCGGCTCGCTAGATACCAAGGTGTATGCTCCTAGCGTCTTAAGGGCTGTAGATGGACCCATTGCGCAGCTGCTGGCATTACACGAAGGGTCGAACTGGTAGTGGATGTCGCGTTCCTCCTCCTGTGGCAAGCTTGACCGCACCAAATCGGGTGGTACCTTCGTCTCTAGCGACAGCACTCGCTGAGGAATATTATGTGACGTGCCCGGCGCCAAACCATCGACTTCAGTTCGGAGCGAAGCTCCAGACGAATGATGATGTGTAAGTACGCTCCCGAAGCACGATAGGAACGCTTTGAGTTGCATTTTTGCAACCTATGACCTGTAAAGCTATTTGAAACTAAAGAGGTGGCAATTCTTTGCCGATTTATTTGTCAAGATCCAATTAGGCGCAGCGTTTCACTGCGCGCTACGCGCTGCGGTTATTTCTTTACCTAAAACAACTTTAAACAGAAGGTCATGCATGTCAAATCACACTACGCGTGGAATGCAGTACGAAAATGCCGAAAACAGTACAGGCTTCTGGCGCATAACTGTTTTGTAACCCTGCACGGCTTTCACATGATGAACATATCTCCTGTACACAGTTGTATTTGTATTGTCTCTGGGTTACCTCCCTGCCTTTCGTACGCACGGGAACGTACAGCGGCTTCACAATAAACATCAGAGCGCTCTGTTAAACATGGGTCACTGTCTGAATATTTCACATCCTTGTCAAAACGCATATGTGTGACACAATTATCATATTGACCCTTGGCACACTGATGGACCGCAAGTCTGCGACACAAAGATTAAGGAGGACTACCAAGATCAAAATGGAAGGCAACTTTACTAGCGATGAGGCGTGTGTGTGTATGTGTGTATGTGTGTGTGTATGTGTGTGTGTATGTGTGTGTGTATGTGTGTGTGTATGTGTGTGTGTATGTGTGTGTGTGTGTGCGTGTGTGTGTGTGTGTGTGTGTATGTCTGCATATGTGAACCCATAAAAGTGTTTGATTGATTGCACAGAGAGGAATCTAGATGAATCTATTGCATGCATAGAACATGCCAGCTATGCTGTGCGTTATGAGGGTAGAAGACCAGATAGCGCGTACATGGCGAAGTTAAACGTTTGAGTGCGCCCCAAACAAGTCGCCCACAGGTAGATAACACCAGAATTCCCAGCATTCAGTGTGATTGTAGTTGTTGGTGGTTCTCCTGGCATAGTTTTCCATCCTTCGGCTTGTAAGCTGCTTCCCGAATTGATGTCTAGGCCTGACGAGTACCTACCTGACATTTCTGACAAGCCGTAACGCCGCCTCGTGAGCCCCATCAATCAACCTCCTAATGTTCACAGCACGACATATTTTGTTTGTAGGTAAAGCTAGACAGAGGCAAGTCATCCGAAGGGCTGTATAACTTCCTCCGAGAAGGACGCGACAACTGATACCGGTATACGCTATAAGCGCTGTTTGCACCATTTCAATGCCAGTAAGATATCGATATTAACATTGACAAAAGATATCAATAACACGTATGCATGCGCCCTGCATACTTGCACGGATTGCACTGTCCACCCAGACGCTGACAACCCTGAGATATCGGGCAAGTTAAGAAGCTCCTGATACAGCGCAATTCAATGAAAACATGAACAGAAACTGTTCCCGTTTTGCGGGGAATGATTTGTAAAGAGGAGTCTGAAATTGATGATCAGTACACAGTTTTCCAATAAAAAGGAACTGGTTACGCAACGATGGTGCTGAAGCAGGACAGAAACAAAATGCAAAATGCACAAAAACTGTCATTACAGTTTTGAGCTTGAGCAGCTGGCTTGGTACACTTTTCAAGTATACAGCTGCTGCAGAGCGTGGGCTGAGTCCTTGCTGAGCTCCACCTAACTAACCAAATAACCCAAAAGCTATGCGGCGCTAAAGCTGCAAGAAGGAGCTATTCCGCCCTACCCCCTTCGATACAGGGTCCTGCTGCGGCGTATGGCAGGAAGGGTAGTGAAACATACTGTGCGCGTCCTTGTGGTTCAACTGTAATTAATCTGTAGATAAATACGGTTGTTAGAATGCGGTAGCTGAGCGATCATCTATTGCGTTATGACCGGTCTTGGCTGAGCCGCTTTGTGGAACGCGCCTTCCTGCCGCACGGTTGCACCGTACCACACAACCGTGCTCGGTCCACCTTTGGCTGTGTTTGTCTGTGAACTTTTTCATCGTCTATAGATCGTGTCCTGCTGGCATATTCGATAAGGATCGTCCCTATCTAATGTACGATTGCTCAATCGCAGAATGCGATTGTCACAGTGGACCCCGAACGGGTCGAGTGCAGCGCCCCAAGGAACGCCTCTCCCGCACGACACTATCGCAGCTGTAGCGGCAAACGTTGGGTGGTTACCAGATGTGTCCGGATACGGTTGGATACAAACGTTGGGGATCCTGGGTTTGCAAATGTTGAACAAAACGACCAGTGAACGGTTGACAGCAGGAATAGGACAGGAGGGGGGGTCCGGGGCGCTTTGCTAATTATAAGGTAGCGTCCGGTAGCTTTGCGCTAATTGCCGTACAATTGGTGTGACCTCCCGGATCACATGTAGTGGTATGCATAATCCTGAAGCCGATGTAACGTAGTCGGGGGGCTGAATAACCTAACCTTGAGGGTAGCATGCGTAATGGTTAACGTAATCCGGAAACGTGGCTTACGTTCTCAGGAAGCTGACGTGGCGTAATCTGGAGGCTAGCATACGATATAATCGACTGTACTCCCCGGCAATCTTGTTTTTTCCTTTCAACAAAGAAAGTCATGTCGAGTATCTAAATAATTTGTAACAAAAACGCTTGATGACTCATGGGGCAGAGCATAAAGCCCGAAGAAGATCTTATATAAGCACAAGGTTTTGACAATACTCAAAAGGTGACTCTTCGGGAATCGTATGCCCTTGATCGGATTATAAATAACAATCTAGTTTTATAGTCAAATTGTAAATGCTGCAGACTTACAAAATCCACGCGTCACCTTACTTCTGTACTAAACCGGCCGAAGCCCAAAACTATGGTTCTAAAAACAAAGCCCCTAATGTTGAGAAGCGGGGCGTACGGAAAGTTGTAGGAATGATGAGCGCACCAATAGTATACAGGACGAGGCCGAACCGGGTCTTGTAGTTTGAATCCATCCATCCATCTGGGCAAACAAGCATGGACCGACCTGAGCCAGACAATCCTCACAAACCTTCAAGACCCCGGCTGCCAGTAATGACTCTGTCTCTTGTCTCTCAAACACGTGCACTCCTTCTATAGCTACAGCCCCCCGAAGCAACTTCAAACGCAAGAACTAGTCCCTTTTTCCTCAGACTCCCTCCAAGTTCCTCACGCTGTGGACCCCGTCTCAAAAACCCCGAAACCCCGAAACCTCGGCTAATATCAGCATCAGGGTGTTGGGTGGCCCCACAAAATCACTGTCGTGACACTTAAGCCATTAATCGTTACGCTGTCGCACTCGAGATATTATTATCATCTAGTAGATCAAATACCCGGCAATTCATGAGACCTGCGCGATTGAGTTCCTGGGCGCCAGAGGTCCCTAGCGACATACGCGAAAACGTTTCTCGGCATCAACTAGATAGAGGACATGCGGCCCGGCCGCGGCCGCTACACAACCCAACGACCCCCAACATCATACCCCGGACTTCACATCCCAGCATGTAAGGTAGACGCTGGGGATAAGACAACTCGTACAAGATTGCACTGCGTAGTGCACCACACACGACGGATTCCTTGCTTCTGGTAGTCTAGTCCGGACGGCACGTGTGTAGGTGTGCGAAAGCCCCACTGCATACTTTCAAGGATTAGCTTTGCGTTGGGAGACATCCACAGAGCAACTGAGCGTAATAAGCTGTTCTTCTCGGGTGGTGACTTTATGCCGCTTTTGTGTGTGTCAGATGTGGAGTGTCTCTTGCCTTGCCTTAGACACTCTTAGACTAAAAGTGGAGAGGACTGGTTCCCTTTTTCGTCGTTTAAGAACCCACAAGTGCTGAGCCACTCAATCTCTCCAGCTGTGACGCCGACGAAGATAATCCTGGCTAGCCTGACGGCGGATCTAGTAAAGCATGTTCCTTTTAACTTTTCTCGGAATGCTTCTGCGAAAGACCTAAAAGCTTGACATACAAAGCGTGCAGCAAGTATGCTGAGACTTGCCCATCGACTGCTCACCTGCATCAAGTCAAGTATTGTTACAATCAAGCCTATTCAAGAACCTCTCCACTTGTGTGGTGGGACCGAAAGACCCCGAGTGACGGGTAGTGAGCCGTCTTATCGACCGGTCACCGATGGAAGTACGGCAAAGCGCATCAGATTAGGTGAAGGCCCTATGGTGAAGGCCAAATTACACCGACGAACGATAACGAATAAGTGAACGAGAGTAATGTAACAGCTCATGCTCGTTACATACTTCCCCTCCTAATTGGCTGGTACAGGTACGGTGTACTGGTGTACCCTACCTGTGTACCGTGGTGTACCCTGTACGGTGTACCCTACATACACCGTACCTGTACGGTGTACCGGGCGGGACACATCCGTACCGGCTGGTGTAATGTGGCTGGTACAGGTACGGCGACCGTGACCATGACCGCTTTTCCTGATTGTTTCCAGCTTAGGGCACTTGAAAGGACTTCTACATTGCTGAGCAGGCACGGCCACCTCCTTCCAGAGACTGATCGACAACAAGTCGCTAAGGATTATGAGCATCTTTGGGGCTTCATTGCTTCGTTGGATCTGGATGGGTTCAGGCCGCAGCTGGCAGCAGTTATAGCCGACTCCAAGGAGGCCGAGGTTCTGCTTTGGGACGCTCTCATAGTCCTTGAAGGCAGGCTCAGTAAGGTGGAGGCCCAGCTTGTACAGCTGCAGCAAGACCACAACAAGTTGTTGCTGCTGCAGATGGCCTCACAAGCGGAGAACAAGTTTGTGCACTGCGCGGCGCCTAGCCTTGCGCCAAGGTCAGCAGCACACATGACATTCAATCACCTGTCCAATGGTCGCGACAAGGGTGTCAACAAGGCGGTGTTCCAGCAGTTCGTGAGCAAGTACCCTGGCCTTCAGGAGGGCCTGGAGTCTCTGAAGGACATCGGCACGCCCATCGCGCACCCAGAAATGGTGCGCATGGAGGAGGGCAACAAGCAGCCGGTCACCAGCATGCTCCTGCAGAACCTCATTAACAAAGAGTATTCCGATGACGACCCTGTGAAGCCGGATGTGGAGGCTGTGCTCCGCTGCCTCAGTGACCTGGCCCAGGAGTTGGGAGAGAGCCTCTTTGTTAATGAGGTTCTGCAGGAGTGTGCTGGTGACCGGCTGCTTGTTGCCCTCCTCCACGCGCGCCATTTCCTGGTGTGCAACATGCATGCCGCATGTCCTTCAGAGACTCCAGGCCCTCCTGAAGGCCAGGGTACTTGCTCATGAACTGCTGGAACACCGCCTTGTTGACACCCTTGTCGCGACCATTGGACAGGCGATTGAATGTCATGTGTGCTGCTGACCTTGGCGCAAGGCTAGGCGCCGCATGGTGCACGAGCTTGTTCTCCATTTGTGAGGCCATCTGCAGCAACTTGTTGTGGTCTTGCTGCAGCTGTACAAGCTGGGCCTCCACCTTACTGAGCCTGCCTTCAAGGACTATGAGAGTGTCCCAAAGCAGAACCTCGGCCTCCTTGGAGTCGGCTATAACTGCTGCCAGCTGCAGCCCAAACCCATCCAGATCCAACTAAGCAACGAAGCCCTGAAGACGCTCATAATTCTTAGCGACTTGTTGTCGATCAGTCTCTGGAAGGAGGTGGCCGTGCCTGCTCAGCAATGTAGAAGTCCTTTTAAGTGCTCTACGGGTGCGTGCCAGCTCCGTCATCGGGATGCCAATCCTATTGAAAACATCTTCTCGGTTGTCAAACACCAATACCGCAAGGCGCTTCTACACTCACCTCATCAAAGCGCTCTCAGCAACCTGGTCAGCCTTGTGGAAGAAATCCTGCACAGCATTGATGGTCCATCCTTGTACGGAGCCTGCTTCTGCCACATGAGGGACTGGCTCCAGAAATCCTGCAAGACCGTCGCCTTGTCTCCATTCCACACCGCCACCATCCTGAACTCATCCACAGGAAACGTCACAAGCCGCTGGCAGCACTCCTTGGACGCCCGCGACGTCGGCACTGCCAGCTCGCCCGGGCCCACCAGCGCAAACTTCACGGCACTGTAGGCCACGATCACCTTCTTTTTGCTGCCCGCCTGGGTGCCATCCTGCAGCCGCTGGAAGAACCGTGCAAACACGCACTCCTTGCTGCCGTACAGGCGCAGCCGCTGCACCGCCCACCGCGGCTTCAGGCGCTCCCCGCCCACAGCGTCTCACAGCACCAAAGCCCTCCGCATCCACGCACTTGGAGCGCCCTCCACAGCCAGTGTCGCCAGCGCCTGCCGCATGGCCGGGCAAGCTCTGCCAGGCCGCGCTCTGTGTGTTGGCCTTGACCACACCGCTCTCCATGTAGTACTGCTTGCGCGTCAGCTTGTACACCTTGTGCCGCTGCAGCCGCAGCGGCCGCTGCAGCCGCAGCGGCGGCTGCAGCAGCGCCGCCACCCTCTTGACGGTGTAGATGATGTTGGTGCAGCCCGGGTCCACGCCCACCACCTCCACATCTGGGTGCTCCCTCAGCAGCTGCGCCAGCAGTGTTCACTGCACCTTTGTGTCGACCGTGCCGCCACCCCCCTTGCTGCCACCGCCCTTGCCACTGCTGGGCCCACTGCAGCCCGCCGCACCCTGAAGTGGAAGCAGGCGGCAGTGCCGTCTGTGTCCATGGTCCTTGTGAAGGCTGCCCACCGCCCCGTGATGCGGCCAACCTTGAAGGCCGAGAGGCAGATGAATGGCTCCGCCAGGACCATGGCCATATGGCCCGCAAGGCGGGCCCAATCACATGTGACTTGGTGGACCGGTGTGGTGGGTAGGGCTTACGGGTCGGACAGGCAAGCCATCATGCAACCGTGGAATGACTGACCTGCAAAACAACAGTGGTCTTTCGGAGACTGTCGGAGCAGAGTCCGTACACGTGTGTCGCCAGGTGGCGACCAGTCAACAGGGTACACATCATGTGCACGCTCTCTCCCAGACAGCAACAAAAAGCGTCGTTGGTCGTGTGAGCCCCCGCACGCAAGGTGTAACGGAATTCGTTGGTCGGAGTGCGCAAATAATTGCCACCAAGGGGGATGCCAAAGAGGCGAGTGGTACAGAACTCACGGAACTGTACTGTACGGAAGGCGGGCCCAATCACAAGTGACTCGGTGCGGCCCGGGTGCGTATTGAGGGATATTCATGCGCAGAGCATGCAGCTCTAGTCGGACGCGTCCAGTGTGCACAGCTCGATGGAGGGCATGAAGTTGCGCAGCGCGTGCCACATGCAGGCGGGGATGTATTCCAGGTACCATGACGTGCTCGAGATGCCGTACCACGGGGCGATGAAGAGCGGCACCAGCAGCGTGGCAAGCGCCTGGCTGGCGACGTAGGCCGCCGTGACGGTGTTCCGGGTGCACTTGTACACGATGGCCGAGCCCAGCATGTGTGCCGGGTTGAGCGTGGTGCCCGTCCAGCCGCCCACCGCCAGCGCACTGGTGTAGAGCGAGATGCCCACCATGATGGGGCCCGTGTTGCCGTAGCCGCTCTTTGTCTGCGTGTACCAGACGACGGACATGATCGGCACGATGAACATGACCATGCCGATGGCCTCCCACGCAAAGACGCGCGCCACTGAGAGCCCCGGCCGTGGCACGAAGCAGCACGCCAGCACGCCCGCCGCCGGCACGCTGCCCACCACGCATCCGGGAACGACCACCACGAGCAGCAGTGCGCCCAGCACGCAGCCAGCCACCTGCGCGGCCATGTAGACCGCCGCCTCGAGGGGGTTGGTGAAGCCCAGCAGGCAAAAGACGCCGGTCACCGTGGGGTTGAGGTGCGCACCGGAGACCTTGGCCGAGTAGTAGACGGACGTCATGAGCGACACGCCATTGGCGACGGGCGTGGGCGACAGCGAGCCGATAAAGTGGAACATGGTGCAGCCCAGCAGCTCGGCCAGGGCCTTGGCCGCGATGTGCGGCCGCGCGTACACCAGCGATGCCAGCGCTGGCTTCATGTGGCCTCCTGAGAGGGGAGAGATGTGTGCCCCCCGCGAAGCGAGCGAGCGTGCGAGCGTGCGAGCGTGAGAGCGCAGCCCCCCCCAGCGACTATACAAAAAGGAATTGTAACCGCAAGAAACACCCAGTTTATTACTCTAGGGTATTAGGCCCAAAACGAATAAAAAAACACTGGCGCCATGCTTTCTGCAACCTTCCTAGGTTAGGGCCCATCACGGGCAGCAAGGGACTAGTAAAAAATAAAGCTGAAGGAGCTGGGTTCGTAGCATGAGGCAACACGGCAGCGGCATGGGAAAAGTCTAACGGCAAATTCTTTGCTGATAACCAAGATTGGCGCTACTTATGCGGCGGCGGAGTCTGCTCACATGTTTCTTTTCCGTTTCGGACCTCCGCGGTCTGCCGGTCTGCATATGACGATACGACAGACTTTTCAAAGAGGTTCTTGCCGAAGTCCGTTCATGGTTGTACCATACCTGCTTTACTGAACCACATCGTGACTGAACCACGCGTCTCCCTTCGGTGGACTTCTTCTGGACAGTGGGAATGGAGGCCTTCTTGTTCCCCTTGTGAGTCTCCGCGGTCCCAGACTGTCCCAGCGACTCTTTCCTGTTCTCCACGCGTTCAGTTCTGAGATTTAATAAAAACGAACGGGAGGAAGCGTTCTTTTTCATCGTCTACGTGAATTTTCGCCTCCGAATTAGTCTCTTTCGTCACTTTCGTAGTCCAACGAAAGCAAAGCACGGCCTTCGCCAGCCTTTCACTTTGTGCGCCAGCGTCCATCAAACCCAGCATACTTTTATACCATGAAGTCGTTATCTTCATCTGCGCAGCCGTCGTCGTTACCGCAGCAACCGCAGCCGTCACAGTCCCAGTCGCCAAGCCTTCCAATTCCTTCCAGCGATCACACACAAACAGCACCAACAACAAAATCGACAACAACGGCAACAGATCACACAGGATCATCAGCATCAGCAGCAACTTCATCGACCAGCATCAGGATTTATCGTGATGCAGACGATGCGGCAGACCGCAAAGGCAGCGGCTTCGCCCCGGGCCCCGCCCCCGCCTCCTTATCATCTTCCTTCACCGCCGCCGCTCCCGGCGCAGCGCAGGAGCAGCATCCTGCCGAGGACAACATCCCGTTTGAGTCCGAGACGACACCTACCACGATAACGACTTCACCGGCTATAACGACCCATGGGTCGCCCGCTGGGGGTTTTGGCAGTCGTGGCACGCGGCGCGCGGCGCTGCTGCTGGCGCGCCAGGGCTCCCCACGCGTCCTGTCTCGTAAGCTCGCCGCAATGGGGTTTGGCGGTCGCCGACACGCCGGGTTTGCTTCCCCCGGAGCTCATCACCCGCCGCACCTCGTGGCGGGCCGGGCCCTGCTGCTACACGTACCCGAGCCGCCGGCTGACCCGTGGGACGGTCGATCTGGGTCAGGAGTCCGGCAAGGCGCTAGTGGCGGCGGTGGCGGTGGCGGTGGTGATGGTGGTGGGCATGGGAAACCAAGGCATGGACGTGGCGGTTATAACGAAGGTGCGTTTGAAGGGTGTCGAGGCCTCAATTGATTGGCCGTAACAGTACGGTACGGTACGGTACGTACGATACAGTACGTACGTGCGATACGCACAGCACTGCGTGCAAGGGAAAGAGCTAACAGGGCTACACCTCCGGCGATTATTCTCTCCCTTTAACTCCCTGCATTTGGTCTTCTCCATCCCCAATGCGGTTTTTCATAATTACAAAAGGTTATAAATTTTATTTCTCCTTACCTTTCCCCTTAAGCACTTCTCAGTACTGTCGTACGGTGTACGACATTGTACATTGTGCAAAAATGCTGCACATGTATGCCATATAGACATATATATGCCATATTACTTCATAAACATATGTTTATGAAGTAAATTGACGATAATCGTGTCGTACCATCAGGTCGGGGAGCCAGCATGTGGCTGACGGCTTGTGTGGTGCTCAAGGCGGCGCTGGGTGTGGGTGTTTTGTCCCTCCCGGGGGCCTTCGCTCGCCTTGGCTGGATCCCCGCGGGGCTGGTGCTGGCTTCGCTGGCGGCAATTGTCGTATATTCAGGGTTGCTGTACACTCGGTGAGATGGCGGAGTGGCTGGGGGGAAGGCGGGAAGGCACTTTTCTCATCTTCTTCCTCCGTCGTAATGGAACCAACCAACGAACTAGTCGTTACCCAACTGTAACTGCAACGGTAAACGCTACTGATGATTACCGCGTGCCGCTCCATGCCCAATAACCCCCTTCACCCCCTTCACCACACACCTTATGCCCGCGCAGTTTAACTACGCAGCCGTACCGCCGTACAGATCAACATGGCGGCCATGGCCATCACTACGATGGCCGCCAACACGGTGCTGGCGGAGGCGGAGGGTGGACGGGCAGCAGGTGCCGCCACCCCGTCATGCTGCATTCGCTGGCTCGCATGGCGCTGGGTCGCGCGGGCGAGGTGGGCGCCTTCCTGACCGCCTACGCAACTATCTGGTTGCTTCCCGCCATATTCCACATCACGGCGGTGGAGGCCTTGAGTCAGGTGGGTTGTGAGCTGTGAGCTGTGAGCTGTGCCATGTCATGGCCTGCTGGAGAACGGACTGGAGTCGCAGTCGGCCCCCCCCCACGCCGCCACCACAACGGCGGCGGTGAAGAGGTGGTAATGGTAGTGGTGGCGACATTCAGGAAAATATGTTTTTAAATAAGAATATATGTATAATGCGTAAATAGAAAAATGATCAATATAATAAATAATTCCTTCTCTTTAATAGTGATGCTTTAATAATGCGAATAAATAAATAAATAAGGGGCTCCGAAGGCCGTGAAAACATTTTGTAACAAGCCATGCTAAAATGTTGCATGGTGGTGATTTCTCCCCCCCCCCCCCCCCACACACACACCAACTGTTCAGTTCTGCTTCTTGTACACTCTTTCCTTGGCAGCAGCTTCACTCGTTCACGTGGTTCGTCTTCCCCCCCCGCCCCCCAGCCACCCTCACCTTGTACCCTCAAACCCCCCAAACCCCCTCCCTCCCTCGCAGGTCCTGGGTCCCCCCGATAGCCCCCCGCTGCTGCTGCACGGCTTGCTGGTGCTGGGGGCGGTGGTGGCGCTGGCGCAGCTGCAGAGCCTCACCCAGGCAGGTGCCATCAACACCCGGAGAGTCGCACACACACCCCTCGGAGGTCCACAGAAAGATAAATGAAACAACCCGCATGCCGCCTTTCGGCTCAGGCGGGGGAGGGGGGAGGGGGAGGAAGGGGGAAGGGGGAGGGGGGAGGGGGAGGGGGGAGGGGGGAGGGGGGAGGGGGTTAAGAGTGATGCCTTGGGGATCTTATCATTTTATGCAGGGCCCTGCTGAGCACCCCAGGCTTCTCGGATGGCGGATGGCACCCAATTTCCCGCCAACCCCCCATGGTTCATGCACCCTTGCCCTAAAAGAAACCTACTGTTAAGGTTTTCACTCTTAAGCGCATATATAGTCATGCCACGCCATCACGCCGTACGCGCATGTAACCTCCCTTTTTTTACGAGGCGACTCGTAGTTGTTGTTGTACGACACGTCTTCGACAGCAACATCCTTCGTCACAACGCCGGGCCTTCACAACGCAATGAGGACGCCCCTCTGTGTCGTACCAACGGCCAATGACAAGGCCTTCTGGACCGACCTCTTCGGCAGTATATATAGTTCACGATAAGGGTAGCGGTTGCGTGATGGCCTTGGACCCATAGGACGGCGGTTCGCAACGGCACTTGGATATTCCCCTTTATGATATTGAACATAATATCCCCCATACCCAATACCCAACACACACACGCACGCATATACACGCACACATGTCACGACATTTTAGCGTCACGTTCATTTTACGTTCAGTCTGCCGTACGCACGTGTTTTGTTCGATGCTACAGTCGTATGACGCGACACGCATACACATACACACACGCGCACGCATACACATACACACACACGCGCACGCATACACACACGCCCCCTCAGTTGGGTTGGACCTCTCTACTGGGAAGTACGGTCATGGCCGCGGCGCTCATCATTACCACTGTACGACTGATGACGGAGCAGCCGCCGGACGCCGATACCGGCGACGACGGTAGTGGCGGCGTGCGGCTCGTCGCTACAGCTGCGGCCGCCGCCAACAGCAGCGGCTGGGCCCTTCTGGTCCGCGGCGGCGGATGGCACTCTGGAACAGAGCTGGTGACGCATCATGGTTTCGGAGGTGCCATGGTATGGGGGGTTTAGGGTTTTATGAGCTGCGTTGAGATCGGACCTACGAGACATAATGCATAATGCATGACGAGAAGATGCCATCATACCACACCGGCGGTTGGAGTCCACCCCCTCTCCCCCCGTCCGGAACTTACTTTTGCTTCGGGAGCCCCTCCTGGGGCCCCGTCTTCGCCTTTGTCCTCGTTTCCTCGTGTCGTTTTGCTGATTGCCTTCATTATGTCTTGATTACTTACTTCCGAGTCATGCGCCCCTAAGTTCTCACTCTTGAGTGGGTCGGTGGGTCGGTGGCTGGGTGGGTGGGTGTATGTGCGCGCGTTCGTGCATATGCATGCGCAGGTGGGTGTGATGGACATCGTGTTTTCTTTTAGCGGCCAAGAGAACTGGATGCGGTTCCTCACGGGAATGGCGGACAGGTACGGGGGGTGTTGTACTGGGGGATGTTCAGTCCGTGCGGTCTGCGGAGGGGGGGTCGGCTAGGGGGAGGGCCAGGGGGAGAGGAAAAGCGGAAAAGCGACAGGAAGCGAGGGTCGCCGACCCGTGGGTCACGGTTCGGGAGTGAGTGTACTCTCAGGCCTCACCTCAGGCCATAGTTCTCATGTGCCGTGTGCCTTATCACGTACGATGGGCCGGGCCCCAATCATCTTTCCGTTGGGACGGATTCCCTCAGCAGCGTCTCGCCATAACTCGTGTGGTAAGCGTAAGTCCATGCGGTAGGTAGGCGCGGGAGTGTGGGCTTCCGAAAGGATGAATAAATACAGTCCTTGTCATTAAACTTTGCTAGGAATGTGACAAACGTTGTGACCTGTGCTGTAAGCTCTGCCGTACACATTTTGCCGTACGCAGTACGCAATTCACGGCGTCCGTGGCGCTCTCTACCGCCGTACTGACGCCGCTGCTGGCATTAGTGGGCGCCGCGGGCTACGCGGCGCGTGGCAACGATCTGGATCCCTCGCGCCCCATCACCAGCGAGCTGCGGCCCGGTGGTTGGTCGTTGGTGGTTAATGGCTGCGTTTTGGTTTCGGTGCTCATATCCTACCAAATTAACCTCAACGTGTGGGCCCGCCTGGTGCTGGGGCTGTGCGGACCCAGGTCTGTGCGCGAGCAACTGAGCGGTGGCGGCGGCGGCGGCGGCGGCGGGGAGAGTGATAGCGGCGGCGAGGAGAAGCACGAGGAGCATGGTTGGTATGGCGCAGGCGAAGGCGCAGGTGGCAGCAGTGCGGCAGTCACGCATGAGGCGCCACAACGGGGTGACGACGGCGCCGACGTGGCGGCGGCACCGGTGGCGGAGGGGATTGCGGCGGCGGAGGGGTTAGTGGTAGTGCAATTGCCGGCCCCGCCGCCAGCAGCGGCGGCGGCAGCGACGGCTGCTGCTGCACCCGTGCAGCCGCTGAGCCACCCTTCCGAGGACCTGGAGGCGACGGCACCAAGCGCCGGCGACATCGCCATCGCAGCGGCCGCAGCCGCCTCCGACGCCACCGCAGCGTTAATGGTTAAGGGTACACATGGGAAGCTGGCAGAAGCGGCGGAGGCGGAGGCGGGAGCACACCGGGATATCACCGGCATCGGCATTGGCGGCGATGACGACGAGCTCTCTCAACCTCTGCTGTACGGCACCCACGGTACGGCAGCTTACCGCCACTACCTGGAGGAGCGCTGGCGCCGCCGCCGACTGGAGCGCCGTGCGGGCGGCGGCCGCGGTGCAGCGCCGCCGTTGCCACAGGGTTCCCAACGGCTGCTGTGGCTGTTGCTGACTTGCTGCGGCGGCTGCTTCGGATACGTGGCGGCATTTCTTTTGCCGTACTTCTCCGAGGTGGTGGCGGTCATTGCGTCTGTGGGCGACATGGCGCTGATGCTGGGGCTGCCCTGCTTATGCGCGTTGCAGCTGCTGCGGCTGAGCCGAGGCGAGCGGATGCTGTGCTGGTTCTTGACGGGGTTGGCTGTGGTGCTGTCGGTTTTTGGGGCGGTGCTGTCTATTGAGCGGCTCGTGGATAAGGTCCATGGTAGCAGGTAGTGGTGAGGGCGATGGTGGTGGCGTCAAAGGGCCGTTAACAGGACAAGTGGAGGCAGGGGGTACGGACACCGCGTTACGATGTGGTACAACTGCAGAGGTGCGAGAGGGCTCCGATTCAAAGACATGGCCTGGGCGTATGCAGGATTGGCTTAAAATGGAGATTGTACATTGGCTGATTGAAAAGATGGGGTGACGTGCAGCAAGATACTGCGTTGCCAAGTTGGCGATGCTGATAAGTTGTTGGTAATGATTCAAGTACGACAGACATTAGGTTACGCTTGCTTACATCTTACAGTACTACATAATCCTGTTCTGACAGTTCCGTCCCCACTGTGATGTTGTTTCTTCAACATTTCCAAATTTAACTAAACGTTACGTTAGAGAGTGCGTGGCACACCCTGTTGTGTAAATGATGTGAATGATGGAGGAACGAAGTTGATGTCGCAGTGGGAAAGACAGCGCCTTTTGTTGATTATGTCGTTGCGAAAAAGACGATTAAACATTCCTTACGTTACGGACTGCCTCGTACATGATGACCTTCGCCGTACAATGTAATCTATTACCACATCATGATGTGGTAATAGATTATACCTTCCAGTCCACGATAGTCCTCTGTTCGCAGCCCCGGGGCTCATAAGCCACTGCGGCACTGCAACTCTCGACCAAAAACACCACCTTTGAATGCCCTGTGGCTTACTGCACTGTTATTTCCGACAGAACAATGCTGTCCAGCGGACTCCGGCTGTACAAGGTATTGCAGGTTCCACGGGTGTCTGCAAAGATACAATTGCCAAGTATACTCCAACCATTACCTCTCCTAACATTTGGTAGCGTTCTTTACAGCCTCGCAGACCAAGGTCTGCAGCAGCATCCATAATCCATATAGATTGGGATGGCCTTCTAGAGCAGCGAAAAATGCAAAAAAACTGCATACATAACGTGCAATGCTTTTCCTCATGGGAAAGCTTTCGTTTGCAATGGTTGCCTATAACCAGCTACTGTTCACTTTAAACCGTAGCGACAGCCCATACACACATGCATCTTCAGATAACATTGCACTGCTCAAACAACGCGATGCATCCACAGTGTCTATCCGGCCAGTTGGCCTAATGTTTTAGTTTTTCGCTATTCGGCCATGCTTCTCGCTGAGATCCACCAGGCATGGCGAGGGCAGGGCTCAACAGGGAAACAAACAACACCCTGCAGCGGTCAAAGCACTTACACTGCAGCGAACAGAACCATATTACGCGAAATTGCGCGGTGCCCGCCACACGCATAGAAGCCCAGGGCCTGATACCGGACTCGTTAAGACAGAAAGTCAAAAGCATAATCGATCATTACGCCATGCGCGCAATTGCTATTCCACCTTCCTGGAGCTGCTCAGTTGAACCATCCATAGTAGTGCCTCCCTCGCCTTTTTTGAACATATTCTTTTTAGCAGGCACCGACCCAATTGCGCATGTTGTATCGACCCAAACCAAACGACCCGAACAAGGGCTAGTTCGTGAAAACCTAGCAGGTTCAATGGAGGAGTTTCCCACAAAGCAAGCCTTCGCCGCCCAAAACATGTCCGCTCCGGGATGCGCTCCTCCTTTTACAGCCGCGAGTTCGCTCGTTTTTCCCAAATTCCGGCTTCACCCGGTACGCAGGATCAGGTGCACACCGGAATCCGAGAACACGGGTCCGGACAGCTCTCCTACTTTCAGCGCGTAAGTAGCATCCTCAAAGGGCTTTTGCATGTCGCCGCGCCTGGAGTTGGGCCAATGATTGCGTGTAACGCGGTATGGTGCAGGTACGCGTCACTCAACATTCACCATGATTGACTTATCACGAAGTTGAAGATGCAGCCCCTGCCTCCCCGTCCCCTGTACTAACCTTCTCACGCACTGCTGCATAGTGCACACATAGTACATAGTGCCGCCACCCTTAACCTGCTTAATGCAACGACACCCACCGCCGGACTTTCACGACCGCAAGGTGTCCCCGTTGAAGCTTCTCTGGTCCCGAGCCCATATCCGAGCCGAACTCACCCGAACTCGCCCAGGTCGCCGCCTCGCTTCGCGCTGCTGCAGTGGCTCTCCTGGGAAGCCAGCGTCGCGAAGTCCGCCTCGCCACTCACCAGCATCTTGTGAAAGCGCTGAAGCGGGGGGGAAGGAAACGAGGACGGCGGCAGCCTTAAATGAACGACAACATTCAGCATCCAGCACGGGTCATCTTTTAACGTGGTATTGCAAAAGTAATGTCGTAGCAAAATGGACGGACGCATGTGGCGCCTACAGACGAACCATCATTCCACACCCGTGTGAAGAGCCACACATTACTCCACGTTCAGTCCAGGCAAGGAAAGTTCCCACGTTCACCCCATGCCCATGACGACAGCTGGGGCCATGCGTTGCCCATAAGCCAATCTGGATCAGTGCTCTACCCATGCCACCATACGAGAAATCGAAAAATGCGAACCAAACTACCTGGATCATAGCCAGAGCCTCTTCGCGGGTACGAGTCACGACTGGCTCCTGCGATTATTTGTGAATATTAATCCGAAATAAGCGATAGCGTATGACCTTTACTATTACTGGGCGATCCCTTCGACATATACATGATAAGTCGACACCAGCAAGCAACAGCACGGGAGAGGTTATGTGTACATGCAGCACATACAGAATGTCACGTGAGCTGTGTTCTAACACTTTGCGGGGCGCCATAACCAATGCGGACTGTATTTGCATCCGCTCGGGCTGGTATACGCCCGCGCCAGCGAGGGCTCACTGTGCGGCCGTGGAGAGTATCCCTTGCCTGTGGGCGAGTGCTTAACGCCCCAGCGCTCGGCCTAGGCCGGTAGTCGTGAAAAGTGAATATATGAAACCCGGTAACATTCATGCATCTTGAAATGCTCACAACTGACGTGACCAAACATATGCAAGCCGAGTATCGCTCCAAGATATGATAGTCCCTAGTCCTTCGTCCTACAACGAAGTCCACCCTTTCAAACACCCTGTAAACCTTCAAACACCCTGTACTGCGCCCCTCGGTTTGGCCATCTTAGGTGACGGGGGCATCTGCACCCCCACCATGATGACCCCGACAGCGGCACTAACACCAGCTTGACGGACCTTCCAAGAGCTTGGCCGCCGCACGTCCTTGTGCTTCACCAAGAGGTGGGAGGCACGCACGCGACCGTCAGCCATGGTGGCAGCACGCTTGTTGGCAGGAGCGCCGGCGTGGTCTTCAGCACTACGTTTCTCGGCTGCGGCAGCATGATGCTCGCAGGAGATCAGTCCAGGGCAATAAAGTGCAATTCATGAAGTGGGGACCTTGTGGCTTGGCGCGCTTCAAGAGGTGCACGTGCGCAGCTTACCAGCTGTTTCGCAGCGCACGACGTACTCGGAATCTAGCTCCCCGAAGCGGATGCGTGTCTGGTCTTTGAGAACGACCGGCTTGTTTGGTGGAATGCGGCGACCGTCGACTAGGGTGCCTTGGGTCTGGAGTATGAGGAGCAGGCACTGGGGTGAGTCTTCAGGCGGGCATGCGTTCAGCAACTAAACGAAGCTGCGAGACCCAACTTTGACATTAGACAAGAAATGGCGTCACTTCTGTCAGCCGCAGCCGGAGCGAAAAAAGCTTGCCCGAGTCGCCTCCGACATAACCCGCCAAAACGCAGCTGGACGCCCACCCAGCAGCTTACCGACTGAAGGTCAATTAGAAAGATTCGGCCGTCTGTGTGATGAACGAGGGCGGCGTGCACTCTGCTGCAACTCTGGTGATCGAGAGGAATTGAGACCTGATCAGAGGCCCTTCCAAGCGTATAGTACGGTTCGATGTCTACCGGGATTGAAAGGACGCGTTGTCCGCCAGTGAACACCTGCCAGAAGTGCGAAGCATGCGACAGCGAAGGGCAGCAAGCAGTGTCTTCGCAGGTTCTTTGCTATTCCTCTCCACAACTATAGGCAATCAGACGTACCTCAAGCGATGCAACGCGACAAGGTTGCGAGGCCCACTCAGGGGGGTTGAAGAGCATTACCAGCAGCAAAGTTGAGCGCAAAGCCTTCCGGTATGGGTGCTTAAGAACAGAATCTACATTCCGATAGCCCTAACAAATCGGAAATACTTTTCCAAGGCATTTTGGTGCGTCTGACCCCGCGTCGTGCGTACGACACACGACACCAAACTCTCGTCAAATAGTCTTCAACCGTAGATCCTTTTCCAAGTTTCCAAGTTTTTATTAGGAGGCTATTGAAGGCCTAAGCAAAGAACCGGCTGTGAGAGCTATCTGTACGAGGGCACGCACCCGGAGGACAAGCTGTCTGCTGCTTGGTTTGAAACATGACACAGCATGCCGCTGACTGGCACGCGGTTAGTGAACAATTGCCAAGCGCACTGCTGCTCCGTACAGTCAAAATGCAGGCTAAGGAAGCAGCAGGAGAGCGAGGATGCGAACTGAGGACGATACGATTATTGTCCGCCATTGCAACATGTATCCTTAATCACAACCAGTCAAGGTGGTGTCCATGGACGCCGGATGCAATACACCAGCGAAGATGTAGCCAGCCAATGTACGACCCGTACTATTGTACGACGACGTAAGCGGAAGTGTCTTGGAAATAATCACCAGATACCTTATTTGTAAAAATGTAACTGCTATTGTACGTGATACAGTAATACAATACTGTCAATAGCCATGGGCAATAGCAGCTTGGCAAGCCATTATCCGTGCGGAAAAAGCGCTGCGAAGGATGAATGTCAAACTCAGTTCTGCTCCTTTACATAACTCATTACAATACCTCAAGGGAGGTAGATCGCCTGTGTCAAAGTAGCGCACAAGCTCTCTTCCCGACCTCCCACACCGGCCCGCACCTACGACTTCCAACGGAATGCTGGACTGCATCTGTGCTGCTTTTCACCGCACCTAAGCAAAACATTTCCCCTAATAACCATAGCAGGGTAATCATAGCAGAGTAACTTCATGCATGCCAGACTGCGCCAACCATGTCTCCCATGCTCTTTAAAAACTGCTAGCGATGAAAGTCACGTCTTAGAAAAAAGCGTCCAATATGCCCTGACCCTGTGGCAAATCATCCTCTTCTTCCTCGTTGCAGTCTCCGCCTCCAAACACCTCGTCCATAGCTTCCGCTAGCTCTGACCGGGCACCCTGTCCCAGGGCCGCATTCAGCTGCTCTGCAGTCTCCGTCCGCATCGGCCCATAGTCGTGCACACGGTTAAAGCGCCAACCGTCCTGGTTGCCGTCTGGTAGCTGCACCCCGCCTACGTAAGCCAACGACGTGACACAGAAAGTGGGGCTCAAGGCGATGGGCACAGCGAGACATGAGAGACTTTCGGGCAACACGACAGATAGGCAGCAGGCGCTGAAGCAAAGCGGAATGGCAAAAATGAAATGAAAACCCAGTTCAGATTAAGGATAGACGTGGATAAAGGTGGATCCTCCGCGTTCCCCCTCGGACGTGGAGCCCTCGTCCGGCCCCGGTAATCCCAGCTAGTAATCCCTCACCCAGCTGAATTACTTTACCCCATAAGGCCCTCCGACCAGCCCTCATCACGTAAAAGAACCGGCTACCAGCCACCCATCGCACCAAGAGGAGTCCGAGGGTGTCGACCCATATAGCTGCGTGTTGGTTCCTGGTTGACCACACTTACTGGCCGTTGCAGCTCTTTCCCTTGCTTCCCAAAAACCTCTACGAATTCCTGGCCTGTGCCAGATCCCACACACCTGCCGAGTAAGTCCCTAATGCCCAGTAGGACGATAAGTCACGCACACGTACCGGTAATCCGCTCAAACTCCTGCCGGAATTCATCACCGTACCACTGTTCCAGCTGTCCCAGCGCGAAGTAGTTAACGGGGAACTGGCTGCTTAGCAAGATGCCTTCCGTGGCACGTGCGACCTGCGACAAAGAGGCAAGACAGGTGAGCCAGCGCAATAGAGGATCAACTTGGTCCTATTAGGCTTTAATTAAGCTCGATCGATGGGGGGTTGTTGTCTGCAGTGTTTTGGATTGTTTACGGGTTGGAAACGAAATCGCGCTGGTCGCCATCAGCCGGCTCAGCATGGAAGGTTGCATCCACGAGCACAGCCGGAAGTGGGAGGATCTCTCAGCAGCAATTGCTCCTTGGTTCGCGAGTGTTCGAATTTGGGCCCCAAAGAACATTCACACAGGGTAAAAGGGTAACAAGTGGAATTACTTTACTGCTGGGTGGGTTATGTAGCCTACAGGGGGAAGACTTCAGTATTTCCCAATCTGAATCTGCAGTGCACTCTCCGCCTTGCAGCATCACGCCACACGCCAGCATGATAACGAATGCGGTAAGGGTTGCCAGGAGGAGACTGGGTTCACTTCACCGTCCTTGACCCCTCCAAGGAAGGCGCACCCCTGGACAGCTTTTGCCGAGCCGCGGTGGACGCAAAACCTTGCCGTCCGTACCTTTGCGCGCAGCAGCAGAGCAAGGCCAGCTTCAACCGCCGCCTCCGGAGCTAGGCCGTACGGCTCATAGTACTGCTTGCCTGCGCGCAACGCCACAGTGTAGGACCATTCGTTACGTGTCGACTTCTGCTTCTCCCTTTTCCACACAACTGCATGCCCAAAGAAGAAGAAAAGCGGCGACACGCAGCCACCATCCCTTTCGAGACGTAACACGTCCAGCCCCGGCGTACCAACGTCCGGTGGCCCCTTCCCGAGCCATCCCCATAGAGCCATCCCAAAGCTCATTCATCCCACGCACTCTCATCCCACACCACGCACACCACGCACGCGACTCAGCCCTCACTGTTATGCAACATCCCCTCCCACCAAACTAACGCCCAAGCTCTCTCTCTCTCCTTTCCCACAGCCGTTCTCACCCACAATGACCCGGTGCTGCGTTTCCCGACCGTCGAACAGCACACTGACATCCATCATGTAGCCGCCATTGGTGGGGAACTTCAGGACGTAGGAAGTGTGGAAGACACGCTCCTGGCCATCAACAATGGCACTGCAGGACCGCCGACCCCGCATGCGCGCCGCCTCGGCCTCCCGCTCGGCCGCCAGCTCCTCATCCGTCAGGTTGCGAGCCGGCAAGAAGTCCACCTGCGGAGAGCGGGCAGCAACAGCACAGCGGAGACACACACCGTGCGTGTAGATGTCTGCGGAGGAGAACAGAACGTGCCTCTTAAAGGACCATGAACATGTCTGGGTGTAGAGAGCTCGCATGTGATTGTGGCGCATGCGCTTACTCAGTTGCATGCATGTGAAACGTGCGTTACAAGATGCGAGTGGGAGACATCTGCTGAAACGGGGCGTCAGAGCAACTCCAGCAGAAAGCGTTACTCCATTTCAGTATTCCACCACAATGACGGGGATCACCAAGGCGAGGGACCAATATGGATGGACCCACCTGACCCTCCAGGAGAAGTGTGGGATTAGGTGTGAAGTCCTCCTTGCAGCCGCGCTCCCGCAGCGCTGCGACCAGCTGGCGCGTCTTCTCCTCCGCTGCGCCCTTACGGCCTCGTTCGCTGATGGCCCCCGCGTCCACGGGTTGCTGCCACATGGACCGCTCGATAGCGACTGCGGGGTGACGGGGCGTCGGGTGAAACGTAGGATGCAAAATGCAGAGGATCGAGTGCCGACGTCCAGCACGTGGGGAAACAAGACTTTTCCTAGCAGGAACAAACGTTTACGGAACGGAAAGGAAACGCGACAAAGCAGCTTGCAGGCTGCCCAGGGAGGCACGGAATCAGGTTAGGCAGAAAGAAGCTTGTCTGTGTAGAGCTGAGCACAAGGTTTGGATTTCTTTTTCTTGACACCTCCAAGCTCCAGACCCATCGCTACACCACCGTTACCACGTTACGGAAAACGGATTATGCGCTCCCTGACCAAACAGCCTCTGTAATGTTTGTGCACTTGGACCCAAATACAGCAATGACTTACGTCGATTGCCGTTGGGCTGTCCTCCGCACTCTGAGAACCAGGCGTCGCGAATTGCCTGCAAGGCCGTGGGCTCGCTGGTAGGCAACGTTGCTGCCCTGCAGAGGGCCGGAGGGAGAAGTGAAGTTGGCGGTATGAAGTTGACGGTGTAAGGAGGATAACCCGTAAGAAACGCCAGGGATAAGGAGCCTAGAATATGGGTCATGTGGAGATTGCTGCGGGGTGCTCTCTGTGAGTGGGTATGCTGCAGGCGTGGATGTGCGCCTCATGGATTGCAATTTGAGGGAATGCAAAGTTTTTTACTTGAAGTAGAAGGTCTTCTCGGGTCTGCGCCCAAGGGCTGTGCGCAGCGCGTTCCGGAGATCCGACGTGGTGCCGATGTATTGGAGCTTCTGTTTCTCGTCAAATATTGCGTAGGTCGCACCCCGCGTGCCCTCGGGTACCTCGGGCAGGACCATGCCCTGCGGAGTAAATTGCGAGATGACACATAATTAGCTCTTGCATTGACTTCGCAAGGGCCAGCAACAGATCGCCAAGCTTGCCTGTGTGTTGATCACGGCAGATATCGGGAGATCAGCAAGCGACGGTGTAGGTGCTGAGAGTGCCGCGTCCAGGACCGCAGCAGAGCGGCAAACCGCTGATGCACGGTAGACGGGTGAGGGGGTTTCGCTGGAGCGATGGAAATTGGTTGCTCCGTGAGCGCAGGGACATGTAAAGCTGGTAAAGGGTCGCTGCTTGAGAATACGTCGCCTGACAAGAGCTGTTGCAGCCGAGGGCCTGCGGGCAATTCGCCAATTGTGTGCGCCGAAAACGCACAGCGGACACGACATGGATAACGAACCTATACGATGCCACCACTCCATGGTCAAGACGTTGCCCAACTGCTGACATGTTTGCTAGGCAACTTCCGGGGATTTCGATAAGAACGAGAACTTGCAGCTGTTGGGACACGAACCACTTTGCTTCGCAATCCGTCTACTGGAACTTGCCGCTGCTGACATGCATCAGAATTCGGGTACAGTAATGAGAGGGCACCTTTAATGTCCTTTCCGTTGCCAGGCGATTCTGCCGTACTTCATAATCTTTGCTATTTAAGTGAAACCCCCGCCCAGTAATGTGGGTAAAAACATAATCATACACTTGAATAAATTGGAATCTATATTTGCTGGAATTGCTTGAGATCGCTGCCAGAGCAACTTGCGCATCTCGGCCTCCCAAACAATGGATGGTACCCTCATACAACAACATATGATGATACGAAATATAAGAGATGCCAAATTCGTTACGCCAAGACGACGGCAGAGGAAGCATATCCGGCCAGATAAGTTTCCTACCGGTAGTATACTTGCCGCTGTGCTCAAAGGAATGGGACGTCCTAAGGGCACCGTTACAACTTCAGTAGCTAGGAACCTAAAACATAGCGATGATGACACCCTCGGGGAGAAAGGGCGAGTGCTACTTTCGAACACTGCCCTACGCGTGAACACCGAGCACCAACCCATGTACGACAATCGACACAGAAAAGCGTGGCTATACCCCGCTTTGCTTGTCCAGCCTACGGTTAGCTGTCTGCGGCCTCAGCTTGGTTGAATCCCGTGTCTGAAGAAGTGAGTAAGGCCCTTAAAAACGGCTTCTCGTCGCATGCAGGAGACTGTTGGCAAGCGGGGGCCACGTGACAGCAGGACATTGCAGACATACACGAGGAGGTTCTGACCATTACGCTTTACAATGACGCCCTTGCCGCCATCATCACGTTGGAAAGAACGACAAAGCGAAGGTGTCGGTCATGCACATTGCGACAACCTGAAAAGATGAGGGCCATGACACAATGTACAGCACACAATCCACATCCTTCAAGACGAGCTGGTCCCAAAAAAGCAGGTTGTCCAAAAACGCGGCCCCGAAACGTCAATATCTTGCATCTAGCCATCCGCAAACACATTCCTGCAACAAACGCGTACGTAAAAAGGACCTTCCCGGGAGGATGAAACGTAAGTGAATGGTGGGTAATATTAGATCCCGTCTACAGGAGCGATATTAAGAACCATCCCCGTATGTTCTTTGTAAAAGGGGAGCAAAATTGGCATTGGCTGTGTTGAAGATTACGGCAGGCCGCTCTAGGTTGCACACCCCATGCGCGACCGCGATATCAATATATGAGGCCCCAAAAACATGGCTGCCAACCCACACAGGAATTGGAAAAACCCATCAGCTCATCACAGTACTGTAATGATGAAAGATATACACACACACAGACATGAACATACACACACTAATATATTGGTTCCACTGACTATACGGCTCTGAAAATGAATCATCGTTTTTGCCGCCATGCCATCCCATGCGGAGTTAGGAATTTTTAAAGCGGAGCAGGCGCTCTAGACAGAAGCCCCAAAGGCCCCATGACGCATAGCCAAGTCAACACGCATTTTAAAATTTTAACCTACAAAAAAACTTCCACCACACAGCAAGTAAAGCCTTGCCTAGCCGGACCCGCAAGGGTTTTCATAGTTCGACACGGCATTATCGATATAGGAAACGCCGGTTTGGACGAACCAAGCAAGGCAACGTCCCAAAAAGTGCACAGTCTCTCTCTCCCTTTCTCACTTGCTCGAAAGCATTATCACTAGGCCACGGCACCACGTGTAATATATCCGCTATATATCCGCTATATATCCACCCGCTAGTGTACGCCGCCCCGTTTCAGCCACGTGCGAGCTACTTCACTCTCTTCCTCTCTTACCACATCCCAGGCCTGCCCCGCTCCACAAAAAAACGCGATTCCAAAAACCCAGCTTCCCTCCCACCCTCCGCACCCCTGTGCGTCCCCCCTCCTGTTATCATTCCTTCCTCACATCACCCCCTCCCCACCCCCTCCTGCCACAAACGCACACACACATACACAAACACAAACAGTAACGCATCAAGAAGTCCGTCTAAGCAATTTCCATAGCGCCGTTAGCAGCCATCTGCTACAACCGCCGCGGCCTGGGAAAAAACCGCATCTACCAGCCACCGCGCCAGCGGCTACCGTATCAAATATATAGGCATGCGATATAGATTCCAAACCGGCAAAATTGGCGAAAAAGCTGTGACCCAAATCGCCAATCGCCACAAAATTTCCTCAAGCCCGCTTCCGGCCCACCAGCTGTCGCTTCTGCTGGATCGTCATTTCAAATACTTCCACCCCCAGCTCCGCAGCAATGGCCGCTTGCACTCTATTGACGAACGCGCCGCGCGGCTCCCCAGGCTCCGGAACCATGGCCGGCAACACCGTCGCCTCCAGAGTGGTGCTAGGGCTAAACCCAAACCAAAACAGGTTCTCTAGAAAGCTGCTGTTTAGCGTGTGCGTGTTCACACCTGACATGCAGCTCCTGACCCGAAGCGCCACGGGCACCACTGGGAGAGCTGCTACCGTTGTGGAAGCTGCTGCTGATGATGATGATAATGATGATGATGCCGGTGGTGGCAATATTGTTGCTGCCCCAGCTCTTGCGCCTCCGGCGCCTGCTGTTCCTGTTGCTGCTGCTGCTGGTAACAATGGCGATGATGGTCCCACGGTTGCTTCTTCTGCGGTGGTTCTTGAGCCCTGCCCAGTTCCAGGCATCAGAGCAACGGATGGCGCCGTTAGCCGTCCCTGGTGTTGCTGCGCCATGTCCTGGTGGTATTGCTGCTGCACATGTGGCTGCTGCTGTAGTTGCAAGGCAGACGGCTGTTGCTGTTGTTGTTGCTGCTGCTGTTGCAAGATGCGTGTGAAGCCTCGGGAGAACCGCAGCATGCCGCGGCCATTAGTCATGCCACCCTCTGGGAAGAGGTGTACGGGGCTGGGGTCCGAGCTCGTCGCAAGTTCGTCATAAGTGGCTGGCGAGGCAGGGCGCATGAGGACGGGCAGGTGCCGGGCGCGTGTCACCTGGGCCGGAAGAGCACTTGTGATAAGGTGCGTGTAGCGCTGCGGCAGGGAGGGGTGGCTGAAGAGCATCATGAGATCGCCCACGCTGCAGTGGTTGGAGACCATGACGTGGCGACCAGCAGGTATCCTTCACAAGTGAGTTGCGGCGAAAGGAAGGAAAAAGGGGAAGCGGGAATGTCAAAAGGGATGTGTACGGCAAGTGTACGGTGCTGCCGATTTGCGATTGGCTGACGCTAAAAAACTGGATCGAGCTTGGTGCAAAGATCCTCGACAGGCGCCCATTCGGCGAATCCAGATCTTGGGGTTAGTACACGTACGGCCGAGGACGTCTGGAGTTCAAGAACGGCTGGGAGACCCGTGCGCTGTCTCAAATATGATAAAAGGCTTACCGATCAGCATTCCGCCAAGTTACTTGGACACCCAGCAAGCGCAGGTAGGCCTCAACGACAGCTTGGTTCCTAAAAAAAGGTTGGTCCAGCGCTATGCCCAGAATCCACATCGCGGAGCGAAACGTTGCAAGAAGCACCCCCAACGGAGCGTACAAAAAGAGCTCTGGGCGCCAGGCAGCTATGTGCCTGTCATCGAAAAGGATGCGGGCGGCATCCATGGCTCTATTAGACGATGTGGGGCTCTCATCGTCCGTCGAGTCTGTGTAGCTGGTAACCTCCTCCGATAGCCTTGGCCGCTCTTTGTTCAGCACGTGCGTCTTTAAGAGGCTGAGTCGACAACGGCAACGTCGCGAATATGGCGCGAGAGTCGCTGCCTGCGTCCGGAGTAGCTTTGGATTTTGTAACGTAGGCATAATTAAGACCGAGAGGCAATCCTTTTCAATTAGAGAACGCCGGCGTGTGCCTCAATATCTGAGGTCATGAACTGAAATAAAAGTGTAGGTAAGCACTTTGACCCACAGCTGCACAGCCTTGTAAACGCTAGCGAAGCCTGTAAAGCCAAGAAAGAATATTGATCATAAAGGTGTTTGATGACATCCGTACATCAGTTAGAAGCGCCTAAAAAGTTATGGTGCAAAAACTACCACGAGTTCTAAATTCCCATCGAATTTCCCCTTTTAAAGCCCATCGCACCAAAGACATGAACTACAAATGCCGTATTCTAAAACGCCATGTACGGCGGCCATGAGCAGGATCGTCGATGCTCTCACTCTCAAGCCGAGACCCCGTAAGCAATGGAATCGCCATCTGAACCACAGGCAGTATGCCTTAGTTCGCTGCTGGCTTCAAACACAAACAAACACCTCGCCTCAGCTCGGTTGTTTATAATAACCTCCTCCCCCGCCTCCGTCTTCCCTCCGTGCGTCGAAAGGAAGGCCCATTAGCGACTTGCAAAGCAGCGCCCCCTGCAGCAATCCTTATTAGAACACGCTCAGGTTCCCAAAGGCTGTTCCGCAGTCACTCTTTAGGGTTCATCCTCCAGGTTGATCTGTTTCCCAAACTTCGCGTACAGGGTGCTCTTCAGCTCCTGCAGCTTGGCCTTGACTTCCTGCAGCTCGCCGGTGGTTTTCTCCACCTCCGTTTGGATGTCTTTCGTCATCTACTTGCCACAATTGCAAAAAGCGAATCGGTAACTTAGACATGCGTCGGCAACACACTGAGATAAATGGGAGATTTGATTTGGTTGAGAGCATAGGTTCCAAGGCAAGACAAAAGCAGCTAGAATCTTCACTGGGCACCTAAGGACCAAGGTTATCGTTAGATGCTTGTTGTAGTACCCACGCCGCCCCTGGGTGCCAGCGTCGTTTGCTATGTGGAAAGCACGCCTCGCTAAGTACCCTTTCCCCGGCATCACGCAAGCCCCCTTCCCTACCTCCTCGAGGCGGGTCTCAGCTGCATCTTTCTCGAATTGGACGAGGCACTCCCCAATGACGAAACGCACGTTGTCTTCGTCCGAGAGCATAAGCTCGTTCCCGGCATCTTCTAGCTCCTCCAATGCATTCTGCAGTTCGGATATATGACACGCTTATAAACAATGTGACATACCACTAGTAGCCTACGCTTGGCCATACCTAAATGAAACCTGCGATCGGCCTGACGCCCGACAAAAGAGAGCAACACCCATCCATTTACACTTGACGACCCACCTTGTGCTGTTTTAACGATCGTTCGAGATCTTGCATTTTGGCATGCAGGCGGCTAAACATGTTAATTCGTTGTTGGTCTTCACTCAGCACCTCTACTTGAGTCTTCTGGGCCTACATCCCGCAGATAAAGTTAGGGTTGCTGCGTGACTGCTGCGTCTCTATGGCTTCACACACCTTTGCCGCCATGCTTTGCGCGGTTCGTTCCGAAAGCTTTACAAGAACGAGGTACGGGATAAAACAAAAATGCAAAGCACGAGCTGAAAACTTGCAGTGGAGTGCAACTAATGCTTTGAGGGCGCGGATTGTCCTGAAAAAGGAGCAGCAATTTACTATCCGCCACCTGGTTATGTTTCGAACGCTTGCTACAATACCTGAAGGGCCCTAAATTCAGTCTATACGTATCTATAAATGAAGCGCGTATTCCATTGGTCAAGCCCACCCGCGGCACGGCACCGGTTGTTCGTTAGGGCATCCACGAGGACCAACCTGGGACCAACTCAGCTGTATGGGGCTCATTCACATTTTCTCCTCGATGACTCTGCTCATTACATCCCTTTTAATTCTCCTGGGAAATACAAAGTTTATCGTTCAGAATTGCCGTAGCGGAGCACACATGCACCCAGCCCAGTACATCCGGGGGTGCCAAGCGTGCCTCCGTTCAGACGACAGGATCGCAACCTCCACGAACGTGCCGCTCCGCTCTCGAACACCACCCGCCAGCGCATTGAGCCATGGAGGGCAGAAGCGCAACTATGTTCCTTTATGTGTGCATCCCAACCTTGACCTGTGCACAGACGCACACGAAATGCTGCCAGGTGTTCAGATGCACCCTCCTCAACGCCACCAAATTTTCCCTCCTCAACGTCCCCTCCTTCCAAATAGCGTCCTGGTTTTTTTGCCATTCCAGCATTCTGCCCCAAACTTTCCGCACATTCACTTCTCCCTCTATCTTCCGCGCGCTTTCTCCCCCCGGGAACAACAGCAACGCCTAATAGTTTGCCGGCCATAAATCACATCCCACGCACCCCTGCACTAACAACCGATGACGGGAAACAGTTTTAGCAAGACAAAGTGGATGGGTCAAAAGCTGACCGGGGTAACCTGAACCTGGGGCGGTGGTGTTGGTGTTGGTAATAATGGCGGAGGGTCACGGCTCTGGGCCCCTCAACTCTAAAACCTGCACTCAGCGCTGCCTCACTCCAGCACCCACCCCTCCAACAACTCACCCAAGGCCTTCTCCTCCGCGCTAAACCACCCCATCCCACCTCACCCACCCGCAACCCATCCCATTCCACCCCATCCGGTGCATCATGTGGACAGTTAACGCTTTTGCTTCTTGCAGGGTATGATTACCACGCCACCTCACCCCTAAGGCCTGCACTGCCGCGCCCGTGTAGACCCGCCTCTCTCCCCTAGGAGACTTGGATGACTTGATGACTTGGAGTTCATCTGACTGGCACACCAAAGGCCCCGTTTCCTCATCATCCTCGCGTTGCGGTCCTTGGTGCCAATGGGCCAAGCCCCCTTGGGGGGCTCGGTGCCGCCGTCACGCACAGTGCCTCCCCCCCTGCCGGCCCCCACTTGACAGCCTGCCTGCCGGTCAGAGCCTGCAGCCGGATGGCAGTGGCCTGCGCTTAACAGGCTTCCCGCCTGGCCTCCTGACCAAGGACTTAGTGCGCCCGCCCTCCTGCTGCCTTCTGGCCTGCACCCCTATCATTGCCATGTGGTGTGTATCTCTGCGGCGTTACGCGCACTTCACCGGGCACGTGTAGCTGCACCTCAGAAACACAACGATACCCCACCTCCCAACCCCGCCCTCTCCTTTTACACCCTCCGCCCCCACACCCCGACACACAAGCACGCGCCCACGTCTGTGCAAGGATGTATCTTCGAAGACTGCACGGTCACCGCCTACCGCGCCTGCATCACACCACAGCAACCAATAGCCCACCCTCTCCTCCTGGCCCCCCTATGCCGCCTCACAACAATCCCGTACGCCAGAAGGGCCAATCCGGGCTGTGGGGTCATAACCCAAGTGTGTTTCGGAGCTGACCATCCAGTGGAAATACACATATGAGCTCCTGCCTGACGCGAAGTCACGGATTTGCCTCTGCCTCCGCTGCCCCTTCCCTCGCTTCGTGCTAGCAGCAGACAGCACAGCATAGCACAGGCAGGGCCACAAGGAGCTGCTTCCGGGTCAGCTGCCGGGTGAGCTGCCGGGGCCTCTATCCCCCTCCCCCCATACATAGCCCCCGACATACACCGAGACCCCGACGTGATCCTGAGCCAGGCAACCGGTCTCCAGGGTAGCCGGCGCCGCGGTCTCAAGGACTATCACTTATTAGCTCTTGTCGCTCTCGATGTTGTTGAATTATTGTCGTTGATGTTGTTGTCGATGTTGATGTTGTTGTTGCTGCTACTGCTGTTATCCTGGAGCCGGCGCCGCAGCTGATGCCCACCAAAGGGGCCCCAGGGGCCGATGGCCCCAGGGCAGCGTAAAGGCTCTTCGATCAGGAGCTGTTGGAGCCGCCGCCGCCACCGCCGCCGCCGCCGCCGCCGCTGCCGCCCTCGCCGCGTGCAGCCCGCAGTACGGCATCTAACCGCCGGTGGACGTACGCTGGGCAGGCCTGGATCTCCTCTCGGCACAGCCACGTGACCTCCTGGATCCTGTCGTACGTATTTGTACGTGGAGCGGCGGGAGGGAAAGGACGTGTTTGTGTGTATGTGCGACTTTGCTGCGGATTCTTTCATGCTGAGGCAGGAGAGGTTTGTTCTGTTTTGAGGTGGCACTGGTCGTTAGAATGAACGAGGGTAGCGGATGGCTTTTTAGCGAAGCGTTACAATGTATGTGAAAGTAAGATAGCGAGAGAGAAAGAAAACGAGAGAGAATGCGTATGTATGTGTGTGTGTCAGAGAGAAAGAGGGAGAGAGAGAGAGAAAGATTTGAAGGAAGAGGTAAAGTAGTCGCGAGGCAGGCGTGCGGCCATGAAAGGGGTCTTACCACGCGGACAGCTCAATCGGCAGGTAGGGATCTCTGGACTCTGTAATGGCCTTGATTTCGTCAAAGCGTGCCTCCACTACCCGGCGAATCGGCTTGGTGTCGCCTTGGAGCATGTTCAGACATTGCTGCAAGATATGAACACATACATACATACATACATACATACATACATACATACATACATACATACATACATACATACATACATACATACATACATACATACATACATACATACATACATACATACATACATACATACATACATACATACACATGAATATACACATACATGCTGTGTTTCGGCTTCGGCCCCCGGCTCTCGCAGCCCACAGTGTAATCTAAGTCATACATACATACATACATACATACATACATACATACATACATACATACATACGTTCAAAAATATATCAATGCGATGCGTTCTTAACGTCGTCGTAGCCTGCCATTGTATTTGTTGCAGGTGTTCCTTTCCCACCAAGGAATTCACATAGTCGGACATACATAGGTACGTACGTCCGCAATTCTCTCTGTTGGTGTGTAGTACAAACTTGTCGGTTCTATTGCACGCCCACGACTTCTTCTTCAAGTCCCGCCCCCTCCCTGCGCGCGTCACAGCGCAGTAACTTGTGTGCGACCACATGCACCATCTCACACCCCTCCAGCCTTGTGAGACAATTTACTAAAACCTCAAAACTTTAGGCTTTAAATGTTTTCGTGGGGTAACCAACATTCGCAGTTAGGACGACAAGCGCTGTTAAGACCAGCAAAGCGCCACGGACCCCCCTTGGGTCCTATAAATGCTGTCACCATCCTCTGGGGTACATGAGTGTCGGTCATGTTTTTCAACAAGCGCAAGAGAGGTTTTTTTTAAGAAAAACACGATACACTGGACCACCACCACCACCACCACCACTAGGACCCTAAAACCTACATAGAGCAGTGCGATCTGGTGCGCCGCATACTTGTGGTGTTGCGGCATGCAGGCATCGTGGTAAAGCTGCGTACCCATCATCACCACCTGGTTCAAGAGTGAAACGTAGTTGAAGTAAGCCGCACCTGCAACACAGAGAGAGGGAGGGCGAGAGACGACGGGAGAAAAACAGAAATACTATCGTAAGGCGAAGGATCATTCTTCAGCCTTAAAAGGAAACCACAATGAAAAACGAAGCGTGACGAAGCAAAAGATAGGGTATGCAAACCGCACGGTGGCACCAGCACCGTCACCACGCTCCTAGGCTTTTCTTCTCTCTCCCCATTACCCTCCCCACCTTCCCGTTTCATTAGGGTTGCCTTTTTGAGACAGGGGCTTCTTCACCCCCGGGGACACGGAAATACATAATACCACCACAATACAGGCAGCGCAAAAGCGCCCGCGAGAGCGGCCTCGGAGTGCTTTCCACATCGCCTCGCACATCGCCAGGAAGAAACAAGCTTTTTGCCTCAAAAGGCTAGAAAGCACACCTCACGGGCGCTCCTGACCCCCACGACAACCGCTTATCCGACGGGACGCATCCTTCGTTGCAATCCCATTTGGTTTACGCTTGGGTTTTACGTATCGTGTCCTGTACGCCCCCACCCCACCCACCCAACCCCAATAGTCGATCGTCAGTGGTTCGTCTTATCCCCCACTAACCCCAAAGCCACCGGAGGTAACCTGGGCGTGTCACGCCGCAGTCCGCTCCACCCCAAGCCATTATGTCACTGTTTATGATGCCGCTGCTTTCCTGCTGTTCATGCGCCTGCTACTACTGATGTCAGATATAGCGGCTTTTGATAAAAAGCTGATGCTGTTTTGCCGCTACTGCTGCTGCTGCTGCTGTGGCACTTGGCAATGCCAACTCCTGCACGGGCGGCCATGTCGCCACCAGCCGGCGCCGTACACCAATCCCCGTCCGACCCCCGGGGGCTTAGGAAGGCTGTAAGAGCTCCCAAGCTTACCCGGATTACTTTGCACGGTATCCAGCTTGTCACCGCTCAAGCCCATGGCTAGGTAGGGAAAGAGGTCCAGCAGCCCGAGGTCTTGCATGGTCGTCTGCGGAAAAAGAGAATCACCAACATAAATAAGAAAAAAGAACATGCAACATGCATCAGTTGCCTATATACGGAGGAGATGGCCGGCCCGGAGCCATCAAGCGAGGAAGGGTGGCAATTAGTTAGGGCGGTTGGACGGTTGGGGTGGTTGGTACCATTGGGGTGGCACGCAGGAGTTCGAGAGACAGGGATACTCCGCTGCCTCAGGGTTTCGAACCCTAACGGAATTTAAAGGTAAACTTCAGGGCAATTTTGGGGGATGTTGGGTGGAAAGGCCTGGGGGATGGAGGAGACGTCCCATCGCCTGTAATCTGAACGAGGAAAAAATTGCATGCACTTGCAGTAAATGGACGGTTACAGTGGATTAGGGAACCGCGGCGTTGCAGGTGCATGCTCGTTTGCGTACGTGTCGTATGTGGGGTGGGAGTGGGAGCAGGAGCGGGAGCGGGAGCGGGAGCGGGAGCGGGAGCGAAGAGCGAGATCGTGGCAAGCACGCAAGCAGATCCCAAGCCGAATGCAAAGGGGGATCTGGACCCCCATATCCCCGCCAAGGAAATCGGGCCCCCAAACACTTGCCTGCGCATGCTTCTTGGGAGCTACTTGGTGACATAGTGCCTCAATTTCCTGCAGGATGCTGACATCGAATTGGGCTGCGGACTTTGGCACCTTGTGCACGCGCTCTATAAGCGTGTCTGCCGTGAAACAAAGCGCCGCTAGCCGTCCCGTGTCCGGAAGCCCAATCATGGGCTCATCAATGCACAGCCGGACTGCGCGTGCAATAAGTTCGGATAACAGCTATGGCAAGAAATGCCGTGGTCAAGACTACAAAGCGGCGGTTGCAAATCGCCGGTGGTTGGGATAAAACCCAAGATACCTCTAACCTGCATAATGTGGCTGAAGAAACACTGGTTGGGGCGTCACAAGCGGGGGCGAGTCAAAAGCGAAGGCCAAGGGCCGCTCGCTTGCGGCTTCGCCCGCCCCTAGCATGCTCATACCCTCGCTGGTCCAAAACTAAAAGTTGGTAATGGTCATGATAATATGTTTTATGAAATCCTAAACGCCAAGTAGCTCCTCCCTGATATGAGCACCTCACAACGTTATTAAGTGATGTGGCCTATAATGGGGAAACTTAAGCTAATAGTTTGACAACCGGTTCATGTATTATGCATTAGCATGGAACTTATGTGATTTGTCGAAGTTGGGCATACGTCTCGAGATGTCCTTTTGCCGTTTGATGCTTCCGTAACGTCTGGATTTCCCACTCCACAAGATATGGAATAGGTACACTTTAAGAAAGCAATTGATTATGTCCTATTTTTCCACACAAAAACAGTAGAGGATTCGCCTCCGGGTTTCGCGTCCGAAGGCTGTAACTCCTTAACTTAGCGCCGAAAAAGCATACATAACAGCACAGCCATTAAAACATCCATGTGCTATTGCAGGTGCTTCTTTAGGCATATCCTCGGTGCAGCGTATGCGACCATCCAGGGGTCTGGCCACGGTGTATTTCGGTGGCAACATCCGCGCTGCCGAAAAACCCTGGATACATTCCTCTTCAAAGACTGGTTTGGGAATCATGTCCACGCCGCGCTTGTCGCGCGTGAGGAGGATTTGTATGATGCATCAGCACGTCGTTAAGAAGCGCAAGAGCACGTAGCAGATAGAACGCCATCCCGCCTGCTATCAGCCTTGGACCCTTGCAGCAAAGATTGGCGTAGCCCGGTGGTGATATGGCGCTCCCACTGGAGCCAACATGGCCTTGCGTCATCACAACACCCTACCCTGCGCTATCCCTCACCACCCGAGCGGGCGCACCTTACCGTGAGCCCAGACTGGCTCGACATAATCGTTACTATTATTCTACCTGCTGCACCTAAAGTCTGCACCTGACAGAGAGCTCATTGCAGCAGAGCAGATGGCGGCCGGTTGGGTCGGTGGGTTTCTTTCCCAGTGCCTTTGCAATAGGGGTTTCCCGTGGGTTTACGGCTGCACGGGATACCCCCCAGGGCTCAGATGAGAGCAGTTGCAGCGAATTTCGCAATCTCTCAATGCAGGCAGACCCCAAGAAATGCAGGGTCGCGCAGGGAACGCGGGCAATGGGATGTTAGGGTAATGTTACATTGCCGCAACACTTAACCTACCATGGCATCCTCCTCTATGCACGTGAGGAGAGAGTACAAGCACGTTTTGTAGCTAACGATGTTACAAGCGTAGGCAACCTTGGGCTCGTAAGGCCCAATCACCACTTCCCTGAACACTGAGTTGCAGATTACATGTCCGATTTGCCTTGTGGCCGAAAGTGTGGAAGTGCGGAAGGGGGATGAAAGTGGAAAAGCTCATACACAGCATTTGGCATGACCGCTCATATCCATAAGTGCGAGGTTGACTACTTTCACACCAATCGAACTCTGCGTGCGTGAGCCTTGTGAAGGTCGGTATGCAGTGAGCAGTGGGAAACACTGCTCAGTTTGAAGAGATGCCGTGGGTTGGCAGGGCTAGGTATTTAGGGCTTCATTACGGGCTGGATGCCTCTTTCGAATCCTGCACTGATGAGCTATTCAGTGCGGAGCAGCGAGCGAGACATGCCCTGATAGCCAAGTTGCGTAGGAAGGGAACTGCTTCTGCCTAAAACAGCGATCAAGTGCTTTGAAGTGCAAATTAGATCCATTGAGCCATATGGAGTCCAGGTGTAGGGACCGCAGTTTATTCTCCAGGTCGTTGTACGACCACCCGACGCGCATGGGCGGTCCTGCTACTTCGAAAGGTCTCTACAGAATCGCATGGTCGAGCTGCAACGCACGTTTCTGTAGCATCTTGGGAATATACCGGATAATCGTGTGTTGTTTTGGGAGTTTGGTCAACGGCCCCTCCACCTTCACTGCGCTCCACATATTCACCGTTTTTGCAACAGGGTTATCCTTGGAAGGGGACTGTGTTTCACAATGTTTTGCGTGAGGAGATACGTCTTGCAGTGCGTCCTGATTATATGCCACCAACTGGGGTGCCATGATCCTAGGGGGTCTCAGGTGCTTAGGGCACTTCCCGGAGCTGCATCCGGACCTGGATGAAGAGGGGAAGATCAATTTCACTTCGGCGAACTCAAATCAATGTTAGATCTGTCATGGAAACGTTGAAGGAGCGATTTGATGATGACTGGCAGAACCCACATTTTATTACTACACCCGCGGGAGTTTGTGTTGCACAACCGTAAACCAGGGGTTAAGATGTGCCGGCATACCCATTGGATGGGAACGCCGAAACACATGACGTGCTACATTCCTGCGAAGTCATACTTGTCACTGCTGCGGTTTCGCCTAGGGCCGTGGCCTTTGGAGGTTTGTCGACCCGGCGGTCGGTCGCGCCAAGAGCACTGGTGTAGGGTTTATAGCAACAATAAGAAGATGAGTTCGACGAGTTGCAAGGGTGTTCCGCCTACAGCCACATTCGGGAACAGTTCTAACCTAGATGTACGCCAGGCTGATATCGAGCCCGTGCCTTGTATGAGATCTTTCATAAGTTTTCCTTATTTGTTTGTTCCTCCTTCTTGACTGTGCTAGAACTCGAGGCCCATGAGCCTCCTGGCTCGTCTGGGCCTTACGAGCTCTCTAGCTTGTAATATAAAAAGTAAATACATTCAAGCTAGCTAAACGCATCCCTGTGAAGCCCTAGGTGCAGGGTCACAGCGGACGGTTTCCCTCTTGGAAAATCGGGGGAAAGGGCTGCTCCAGAACCCAGCCTTACCCCGCCCCTTGGTGCCTTTTTGGTGTCTTTGTTTAGAGCACAGTTTTGTAAGCCTGAACACACCAGAAGTTTCCCGGAAGGACGAAGCGGGCTGCTGCTCGGATGTGACGTGCTGAAATTGGACATCTAAACTGCAAAGCTCTGCAAACCGCCATCAGCTCCTGAGCGAACCCCGTCACAGCTGGTGGAATCCATGCCAATCGTCCCGATTTACCGCAACATTGCTTTTGAGGTCGATTCGGACTTCCAGTGAGGACAGGTGCATGTGCCTTCCATAGCGGTATTCATACTCCAGCATGCACGTCGTCCTCGTCCAGAATGTTAATGACAAACTTTACCTCTTAACTCTGAATACGATTGTAGCTGCGAAACTACACAGCACGGCAGTGCAATCCCCAAAAGCGTTGCCGTGCCTGTGTAGTACAGTTTCGTCCATTCAATTTTTTGAATTGCCTGATGAAATCGTCGTGCACCTGCACGAATCACCGTTACTTGGAGTTGTTGCGTTGCTCTGGTATCAGGGTATTGCGGTGGATTTCTGTTCCAGAGCTCCGGAACACTTGACAGGAGCCCGCGCCGTGATCGGTAATATCAAGGTCCTATAGTATCGTTTAAAGGTAGACAACTCATATCGTGCCCAAGATCGGTATCCTTGTCAGGTAGTGCTTGCGGTATCGTGTTTCAAGCGCTGTGGGGATGGCCGAGCAAATTGGGGAGAATGAACATCAAAAGAAGCCGCCATTTAAGGAGGAGGTAAGAGGATACGTCATCCTTGTGTGCCTGCTGGAAGCCTATTCCGATCTATGTTTCTGAACTGCCATGGACATAGGGAAATCCAGCAAACGTCATCAACTTGGTCGTAAAGGATCAGACAGGCAATGAGGTCCATTTCAAGGTCAAGATGAAGACCAAGCTTGACAAGGTATCCAATTGCGCAATCACACTTCAAAGCCGCCTTTCACGCTGCAGTAGGGGGACCCACTGGACATGAAATGAAGTGTGCCTTTTTCTACAGGTGTTCACTGCATACTGTAACAAGAAGGGTCAGGACCCAAGTACGGTGCGGTTCCTCTATGACGGAACGCGTGTCCACGGTCATTCAACGCCTGATGAGCTCGGGTAAGGGGGGACTGTGAACCACGGGACATAGAAACGTGAATTTGAGAGAGGTTCAGCAAAGAAGGCCTGTACCCTGTGTGTGAAGTAGGTTTGTCCACACAGCTACCCACAGTATAAGGATTACCTGACCCTGTCTGCACTGGTCCTGCCATACAGGATGGAGGACGGGGATGTACTTGACTGTGTCATCGAACAGCTCGGTGGATGCTGCAGAGCATAGCTGTTGGAGCGAAGGGTCTTAATGTACTCGTGCCCAGGGGGCTGTCTTCTAGCGATGGCCTTTGGCGCACGGATCCAGCGGGCTGCATGTCCTTGCACGAATGATGAACCTCGGTATTCTGGGTCAGCATACACTGAAGGATGGATGGCACGGTCTGGCGTTGTTCAGTGTTGTGTCGGTTGACATTATTATAATTAAGGGTACGGGTTATTCTATGGGACATTGTGGTTTGTGCTTGACATGCGCCGTTGTGGTTTGGCAGGTATAAATCGGCTGTTCTGTAGGTTAACAGATTACAGTTTAACAGGGCACCCTTTACAAGCCAAAATCTTGTAAACAGCCGGCCACAGTCGGGAAGAATGTAGACAAATAAAGTTTTGTGTACGTTGCTGTATGATATGCCCAACGTCCATGCAGCAACTCGTTTTTAATGCATAGCAACAGCTGCTTATCGCTGCAAAGGTCTTGCAGGTCTCTTCTGTTTGGGGTGCTTGCTGTAGTAGATGCTTGTGCCGTTATCGTACGGTAAATCCTCTGGTCTCACGAAAACGGCATTCGCCGAGCTGGCTGCAGCAGTTGCTCCAGCAGCACCAGCAAGCACGATGAGCATACTCTGTGCTATGAGGCGCACCGCACGCGTCAGTGGTCCGTCGGCGAGCTGCGCCGCTCCTGCAGACCCAGCGAAGCAAGTTGTCAGGCAACCTAATGGAAAAGCTCCTAACAGCGAAACGACCAGGTTAAGAACCTACCTTTCTGCGCATCATTGTTGCCATCTGGCACATCAACACCTGCCTTGGCAAGCTCAGGGTCAAGGCCAGCTGACGCAGCCAACTCTCCAACCTGGGCGAACAAGTTGTTCCCATCCTCTCGCAAAAGCTTGGGCGGCATGCCACGTTCACCCGCCAGCGTTAGCAAGGCCATATAGGAACGAGTCATCGACGATGACCGACCGGCCGAATCACGCAGCCGACCTGCTCCCGAAGACCTTGCAATTGTTGTGGGATACGTCGTGCCTCTCCCTGGCGAAACTGCGTCAGCCGCTGCTGCGCCGGTGTCAGCACCCGTTGGAGAGCCGGCGGCGGCCGCCATGTTAGCCGCTGGCCGCCTAGCAGCCCCAGGCCCTGAGGTACTGCCAGGAGCACCCCGGCCGGAGGCGTCCGGCTGCCGAAATGTGTGCGAGAGCCGACTCGGCGTCCCCAACATCGCCGCAGCTGCAGCCGGCGGTGGCACGTTCAGCCGCGCCCACGTCGGCGGCAGACTGCCGGTTAGCACGCCCACGGCAGCCGTGATGGCCGTGGAGGGCAGGTTTGACTCCAGTAACCGTTGGATACTCTCCAAGCTTGGCGGCGGGTACAGCGGAGCATATGCATTGCCCTGAGGAGGGCAAACATGGCCTTCAGTGTACCCTCCTCTCCGTAATGCCCCTTGCGGTGGAGGGATTCTGCCAGAAGGCATAGGACCACACCCCGCGTGGCCGCCTCGCACGTGCTGCACGTCCTCCACGCCATTGGGCTCAAGCCGAGGTCCAGCATGCGGCTGCAGCTGCGGCTGCGGACAATAACGCATGTGCTGTTGCTGTGTGTGATTAGTGTTGGTGCTGCTGCTTGCCCGGGTAGAGCCCCTGCCCATCCGCGATGGCCATTCCTCCTCCTCCTCCGGTGGCAACGGTGGCGGCGGCAGTGGCTGCGGGGAGTGTGGACGGGACCGGGGACTGGAGCCTAACGGCCGGGATGAACCATCCTCGGCCACCGTGTATTCCTCACCCGTAGGCACAGCTGCCATCGGCGTCGGTCTCCAGCTACTGCCATCACCCTCCCCTTGGCTACTGCTGCCGCTGCCTAAGGAGCCACTTGGCGGCGGTAGCAGCAAAGAACCTGGGGACTGCGGCGCCGCATTCGTAACGGCTGTATCGTACGGCATTGCTAGGTCAGGCCACGCCAGCAGATGATTAGGAGGTAGCACCGATGGCGCTGTAACCCGCCCGGATCCAGATCTAATTCCAGATTCCATTGCACATCCAGATCCGCGTCTTAAATCGTGCTTTAGACGCTCGAGGTTTTCCAGACGCGGCTCATGCTGCTGACGCGGCGGCGGCAGCAGCGGCTGTGGCAGCGGTTGCGCGCCGTACCTTTCGGACCGTTCTGGCTGCTCGAATGGGTATTGGTGCTCATGCCTTCCTAGACGCCATTGATCATGCGTGAAGCCTGCGATGCTGCTGCCAACGGTGGAGCTGGAAGGGGAGAGAAGCGAAAGGCCCACCAACGGGTGTGAGAATATCTCCTCTTGGATCGTCGGAGGAAACTGAGGCGACGGCGAGCTCCGGGAGGCCCCAACTCCAAATGAACTATGACCTTGCGCCGCGGCCCCGCTCCCACAGCCACTCCACACATGTCCCACGGATGCGTCAATGTCGTACACTCCGGGATGGCCTGGACGAGCACTGCTGGCAGCAGGCCGCGTTGGCGGTGTCTGCAACCTGCCGCCGTCGTCGTCGCCATTGTCTGAAGTCGCGCCGAGGAGGACTGTTGGGGCCGGCGCCGACAGAAGCTGCAACCCCTCCGCTGGCGGAGTGGGTGGAGGGGATGACGCCGGAAGCAGCGGCGGCGATATGCACCTCGTCGGTCCGTCCAGACGCGTGAACGCATTTGAACGCAGCGGTGCCAGCGGGGCAGCGTCTCCATCACGCTGCAAAGCGAGAGCGGCAGCGGCGGCAGCAGAACCTGCTGTCGACGGTCTCGGCTGCATCGCCAGCGCCTCCGCCGTCCGCTGCAGCGGCTGCCAGCCAGCGTCGTACGACGGCCGACTGCTGCTGTACGCTGAGACAGGGCCAACATTGAAGTTGAGCCGGCCGTCACTGGATCCGCTTCGGCGACGGGAGGGTTGCCTCCGAAACGAGGGCCAGGCGCCCAGGCTCGGCTCCCGAGGTGAGGACACGGAGCAACCCCCGAATGAGCCCGTGGACTGCAAAGGCGGCTGGCCGCTGCTGCCGCTGCCGCCGCCATTTCCATCTCCGTTTCCGCCGCCGCCGCTGTTGTTCTTGCTGGAGGGTGCGGTGTCCTTATTGTCGGGGCTCTGATTGGACTCTGCAGGTGTCGAGGAGCTCAGACGGCTGCTGCTCTCCTCCTCCAAAATCTTGTCAAGGGCGTCCAACATGGAATCACCTGTTTGTTGCTCGGGGAGAAGAGGCGGCAACAGCAAAGAGCCTTTGGAGGGGTTTGCTTGCTACCTTCGCTTCGCCACAATAACGATGATGGTAGTAGTAACTGTGAAGATAATATTATTATAATGATGGACAATGATGGTATAGATGATAATGATGATGATGATGGTGATTAAGGTTATGTTCCAATTAGTTTTTTGACGTGATTAAGCGATGCCAGCTTCTCGATCAAGGCGTCGCGACGACAGAGCCGATTGCGCCGAACAAAGCGTTTGCGGTTTAGCACCCCGAAAACGACCCCAGGGGAGGGGGAGGGGGAGGGGTTGTCCGCATTCCGCGCCCGTCTCCGCACTGCGCACTAAACCCCAATAAAACCCTAAATACCCACACACTCACAGCAAGGGAGAATCGCACGTACGACTCCTTCCTTGGTCGTACATCACGTGAATGTCTGAGCACCATAACAGACACATACGTGCACACCGACAGACAGGCAGACAGACAGACGCACACTATTCCCAGCCCGTAATGACATCCTGGCCTGGGTGAAAAAAGTTCTTTTCAGCAAAACAAGAAGAAGAAATAAATTGTCCCCCCTTCCCCTTGACACACTGATGCACCTGTAATGCGGCTTAAAGGTGATCCTGGCCTTCCTGCGCCGCCCGTCACCTCCCGTACCGTCCCTGTCGGACCAACCACACCCGCCGCCGCCGCCGCTGACGAGGAGTTGCGCAGCGGCGACCATGAGCGTGATGACCGGACAAGCAGGCGCTGTGGTACTAGCGACCCGCGGGTCGGTCCAGGCCAGTGCCCAGGAATGCCCGACGCCGCCGACGCCGCTGCTGCTGCGGCGGCGGCGGCCGCCGCGTTCGCTGCCGCAGTTGCCAGCATTGACGCTGACGCGGAGACCGTCCGGCGGGGCGGCATGTGGCGGCTTATGGCCTCTGGGTCGCCGCCTACGGCGGCGGCGGCGCCGTCGGCGTTACGGAGCGCGGCGGTCCGGAGGCTGCCCGGCGCTCCCCTGGTTCCGGAGCTCCCGTGCAATCTCACCACCGGTGCTGTGGAAGGCCGACCAGACCTGCCAGGCGGTGCGGACGTAAGGCCCCGCGGGGAGATCGCCATGTAGGAGGGATCGTCGTACTCTTCTGGCGAGGGAAAGCCCTGGATCTGCATGCTGTCGTACATATCCAGGTCGTACACCATGGCAGCTTCCCAGCGGCCCATCTCCGCGGCATGCTCGACATAGCCGTGGGAGGGGTAGTTGTACAGCACCCCAGCCTGGCGGATGTACGGGTACGGATATGAGAGCGGAAGAAAACGGGGTTGGGCATTTTTTGCACGGCATGCAGGAGGATTGCAGGCGTGGACAACTGCCGAACGGTTGGGAGTGTGCGGTGTTTTGTACAGGCAAGATAGCCCAACCGCTGCTCGTCCACGCCCACCCTAAACCCATGCAACCCATGTCCAAACCCATGCCCACGCCACCCGGTGCCAGAGCACACGTGTGTGCGTGTGTGTGTGTGTGTGTGTGCGTGTGTGTGTGTGTGTGTGTGTAAGGGGTGCCCCGCAAGTTGTGCTGCCCTACCTGAGGCCCCGACAGAGCGCTGAAGTTCGACGCGCCACTGATGCTGCCGCGTGGACCGCCAGGCGCCTCCGAAACCGGGGAGCTGAGCGTCCCTTGGCTAACCCTCCCCAGCAGTTGGCCCATGGATGTACGACAGCCCCAAGACCAGGCGGGGCCTAGACGTGAACCGGTGACCTGTCCTGGGCCGCCCTGGCGAAACAATGAGTCTCGGAACTCCTGGGCCAAGTTGGATAGGGAAGCGGGAGCCGGCACTGCCGCACCTGCGCTCAGCTGCCTTCTGTACGGCTCCCTTTGCTGCTGATAATGGTTATGTACGGCTGCAGTGTACGGATGCTGCTGGTACGGTACGTGCCGTTGTTGTAGATGGAGCGAATCCGCGACGCATGTTGTGGGCGTCGAACCCCGATACGGCGCCGGCCAGAAAGAACTGCCGTACAGGTCATGCGGGGCGGGTTCCGGAGCCATCTCGGATGGCGGCTGCTGCTGCGACGAGGTCGTACTCGCGATGGGTAAACCTTGTGGATGGGAGGTTGTGGCGGTGGATGTCGCGTTGGTGCCCATTCGGTCAGCACGCTGCTTGCTGACGGACCAAGCGCTTGGGAAACCACCGCCGCCATCGGAGACAGCAGTAGCAGCAGCAGTAGCAGCAGCAGCAGTAGCATTGTAAGGTGCAGTCACAGCGCGTGTAGTGCTTCTGCCTTCATCCGTTCCTGGGCGTTGTGCCTTGCCTGGCATTGCTACCTGCGCAGCTGCGACTTCTTCGCCGCTACGGCCCCTTTCACCAGGATTGTCGCCGTCATCGCCGTCGTCGCCGTTATCCGATGACATCCACTCAGACGACATCCGCAGCCGGAAGCTGCGTACTCGCGCCACTCGCGGCGCCCCGCGGGGGGCCTGTTGGCCCATTACGGATCCATCAGGAGACCCTGTAGCTGCCGCGGCGGCGGCGGCGGCAGCGCTGCCGTCAGGTCGCTCCGCCAGCACCGCCGCTGCTGGCTGCGGCGGCGGTCCACCAGCCGCCACCGCCCACTTACCCTCCCGGTCAGAATGCAGCTCGCTGTTCCTGCTGTACGACGCCCTTTCGTCGTCACCGCCATGGCCACCGCTGGCTCTGGCGCCGCCATCGCCGCCGCCGGCGCCAGGACCCCTCTGTCCCAGCCAGTGGTCCGCCGCGGAATCTTCTCCTCGGCCGGTGGTGGCTGCGTGCGCCGCCACAGCCGCCGCCGCCGCCCCCAAACCCTTGGACGGCTTGTCGGAGCCCCGTCGGGAGAGCGGCCGTCGGGAGGCCTGCGGGCTCAGAGGCGCCGTACAGGCCTCAAGCCCACCACCGCCACCGCCGCTACCACGACCAACCGCGCGGTCTTCCGCTTCCCCCGCCGTCCTCCGCCTCGCAACGGCAGCGGCGGCGGCGGCGTCGCTGGCGTTTCGGTCATGCACGCCGCTCATCAGGCGCTGCTGCGCGCTGGTGGTGCGCACCGGTCTGTACGACGGACTGCGACCCGGGCTGCCGAGCCCGCGGACGGATCCGGACCCCGCGGGGCCAATTGTGGAGGTGCTTTGGAGGCCGCCACCGCTGCTCACGGAGCTCTGACGACGCATGGTGGCCGTGGGACTGATTTGGCACGGACCCACGACACTGTCCTGCCGTACAGCGTCATCAAGCAAAATGGAGGCACGGTCAGAATCTACTCCCTCATCCACGTCATCCGAGCTGGCTTCGGTGCCGAACCAGCCGTACTCGCTGCGCGCCACGGGATGGTGCGCACCGCCGCCGCCACCGCCGCCGCCGCCGCCACGGCTGCAGCGGCCGCCGCCAAGCCCAGCGGTGCCGCCGTCGACAGTCTCACCTGAATCCAGACAGTGCTGCTCATGGTGGTGATGGCGGAGGTAGTCGTGTGTACGGATGCCGTTGTAGCCGTCGTACGCCCCATTATGTGTGTTCCAGGGATCCTGGGAAGGCAGCTTCGGAGCCACAATCAGGTGGTTGTGGTAGCTCTCATCGCCAAAAGCGCTCTCTTCGGCCGCAACTTGTCCGCTGGGAAATCGCCGTCCCTCCGCCTCGGCGACCTCCGCTGCAGTCCCCGACTCCAGAGGTCGCCGTCGTACATTCCAGTCCCGCGCCTCCGCTCGAACAGCTCTATCTGCGCCGCCGCCGCCGTCGCCGCACCCATCACCCGAGCTCCTTGCCGCCGCACCAGCAGCATTCCCCATACGCAGCATACCCGCGGATGCGTCAGGAAATGTTAGCTGGCCGTTGCCGGATGCGACCAGTGAATCCGTACAGCTGCTCTTGGGGGAGCCGCCGCCGCTGTCAGCTCCGTCCGTAGCGGTCCTTTGCGGCGGTCGCTTCAGCCGACCACCCGCCGCCAGGGAGGTTATGCTTGGCATGGCGGCTAAGTTGACACTGCCAGAGGCCATTGAGCTACCCCTGACCAGAACGGGCCCACGGCAGGCGGAAGCGAAGCTGGCATCGCCGTCGCCACTGCTGCCGGCTTCGGAACCCGGGCTGGTTCCCCCCCCGTTACCGCTGCCGCTATCGCCCGGATCCAAAAATGACGGCTCCCAACGGGGACTGTTGGGTGGCGGCGGCAGCAGCGGCCGACGTGCTACAGCAAACACGCCGTTGGTGGTGGCGACGGCGGCGGCAGCGGATACAGCGGTGGGTGAGTGGTGCGCAGTGGGGTTGTACTGGTAGGGGCTTCTGGAAGAGTCGGCGGCCAGGCGGGCGTGATTTGTTGATGATGATGATGCAGGGGCCTGCGTGATGGGCGGCGGTGTGCGTGGGGCAGCGCTGCCCGCGCCAGCGTCCGTATTGCCGTAGTATGCCTGCAGCGACGGGCGCCTACCCGCGGGGCCCCCGTGTTGGCCAGCGCTTCCAGCTGAGGTCAGGTTTGTAGTCGCGAACCCTGATCGTTCCTGAGGGCTGCGCCATTGCGGCTGTGTAAGCAGCCCGGGAGTGCGTGTCTGTGTTGCAAGCCACTCAGCGTAAGTCAAGGCCCGCGGCGCGGCGCCAACACCACCGCCGCCGCTGCGCGGCAGCGGTGACTGCGCTGCCGCCGCCGCTGCCGCCGAAGAGGAGCCCATACTTGCTACCGGCCGCAGCGGCGGCGATCCTCTGGCGATGATGGCGGCTGTTGCTGTGGCAGCGGAGGAATGGCGCCGTGCAGCAGCAGCAGCAACAGCAACAGCAGTAGCGGAGCTGGCCTGCGGTGCAGCGACGGCACTTCTGCTGCCATCGACACCGGCGCCGCCTGCCAGTGGGTACGGTCTAGGGCCGGCGCGCTCGGGCGTCTGCGCCATGGACGATCCCCTCCGTGCCTGGCCTTGGCTTTGAGGCGTGACCTGTGCCTGAGCAAGGGCCGCTGCCTCCAATGGCTGCGCAGAGGATTTTGCTGTCCTAAGCCATCCTGAGGCCGAGCTAGGTGAAGGTGAGGGCCGGCCTTGCCCGCTGGTGTGCCAGCTCGTGGCACGGGCCCTGGCTGCAGTGGCGGCGGCCGCACGGCTAACGTAGCTGCCGGTGCCGGTGACGGCCCTTACGGCAGCGCTGGCACCACTGCCGCCGCCACCACCGGGCCGCCAGGCGCGCGCGCCTGAGGGGGGTGTCGTCGTCATCGCGGCGCGATAGGAAGGCGACCTGGTTCCTCTTCCCAGGAGATCCGCAAAGAACGTGCTGTTGGCCGTCGTGGCGACGTCACGGGGGAAATTTGACCTGATACTTGGAAGGATTGTAGGATTGAAGGTTAGTGTCAAGCAGGGGGTATGGGTGTGTGAGAGGGATTGGAGGGGAATCTAGGTGTGTGAATTCAGGCGTCGTGCAGGGTGCGAGGAAAAGGCCCTGTGTGACTGTGAAAACAGAAACGAGCGAGGAGTTGACGCCATGTGACAGGTGCGTGCCGCGTATTTGTGGCAGCAAATTGGGTACTGGGACTACAGAGTTTGTTCGTCTAGGGTTTTTTTAGGGTTTCTCTGAGGTCGTGTGGTTAACGCCGATTACAAAGCGGATTTCCTCCCCGGCCGGCCAGGTATGTAGTCCAGGCGGGGCCTTCAGCCAACCCCACTCTGAGATGGATGGATGGGTGGACTTACCCGTTCTGGGGGCGGCTGGCCTCCTTGGCACCCGAGAGAGCGCTGGCTCGTCGAGGCTGGGCCCGCGGTTCCGGACTTCGGGAAGGAAAGGTCCTCAGGTCTGCCGGGCTTATGCCAAAGCGTGCAAGCAGGCTTGCAGCAGGTGTGGGATTGGTAAACGCGCCGATAGTTGCGCGGCGCTTATGTGCACTGTCGCCCGAAGCAACTCGCGTCTGACTAGCCGTGCCGGCGTTTCCAGATAGACGTTGGTCAGTTGAGTAGACATACTGAGTATCTACATGTGCTTCTTCTATTGCGTGCTGCTTTACAAAGTCGCCACCTTCGGCCATCGGGCGTTGCGGCATGCCAGCCCACCTTCATCGCACCTACACGACAGGATCACTTCCTGGTATATAACTGACAAACAAAACTGTGTCATGCGCGAAAAAACGCCGCTGTACAGATTGTAACCATTTGCTAGACTGCCAGTAACTTGTCGAACCCACCTCACGTCCCATTCCATGCAAAGCATCCATTTTGTTTGCTTGCCATTAGCAGGGACTTGTTTAAACCATATGCCTAAGACAGGCTTGCCTCGACGAGCGCTGGCAGCTTACTTGACCCAACATTCCACCCAAATTTTCAAAAGCATCTATTAATTCGGAGTCCGCTCATACAGTAATAGCATTTTAGTCATGGATACCACAATCATGCAGACCTCCGCCGGTCAACAAGTTTGGTGGACTGTCAAGGTTCTTCGGACACCCACAATATTTCTCACTACGTGCTCTAGAAGAAAGATTCGTTTAATCTATAAGCAAGCCACGCAATATGCACCTTGTCGATAAGGGAATGCCGGTATTCGAGTACGAACACATTCCGTACTATTTTCCCCACACTTTCACACAGCCGTCGACAGAGCTCGTTAATAGCAATTCCCCATCGGGATGCATGGACATGCTTGTGACGACGCCGCTATGGGCTTTGAAGTGCTCCACGACGTCCGCCTCCACAAGATCCCAGAACAGTACTTCCCCTGCGAAAGGGTTACATCAGCACCGGGTCATGTTGCATCTGCGCTCCCTTTCTTTATCCAGCCGTTATTGTAATCAACGCACTACCCATTATCACACTACCCATTTTCACAAACCCGTATGCCACCGCCCCATTAGAATCCCAACTTGACATGCACACACAGCCAGCTGGACCGTCGAAATGCGATCACACACCCGTTACCGGTTGCTCCCTTCCTGGTTTTCCTTGTTCTAGGTAAACAAAAGTCGAAGAATCCGCCAGGGTGTATCCTCTGCGCCTTTCGCCACCCCATCCCCGGCCTCTGTCGTTCCGTCCGCCCCGCCGCAACCCCTTTCCTCTTTCTCACCTGTTTCGGAGCTACCGACCACATAGGCGTCACTGGGCGTGAGGCAGCAATCCATCTTGACCGCCGCGTGCACATGGCCGGTGTAAGACGCCAGCTGCTGGCCCCCGCCGACATCCAGAAGGCGCAACGCAGAATCCGTACAGGCTGCCAACAGACAGAGCCCGTCACGTGTTACCGCCAGCCCCGTGACAGGGTGGTGCAGCTGGTCGGCTGTAGCACGACCCATCCGCACATCAAATCGGCGAACCGTGCCGTCCACGCTGCCCGCAAAGATGCTACTGCCGGACACGGAAACGCAAGTGACGCTGTCCTACGCAGTCAAGGTCACACGCGGGTCACACAAATCTGTGTTTTGTTTGCGGGGAGCTTGTTGTTTCGCAGGTTTGAAATGTCGTGAGGGGATGTGGTGGGAACGCGATGGTGTGATGTGGGTTAAACTCGGGAGTCAATCACATATAGGACCTGGGTTAATCCAGGTTAGAGCTTGTCGTACACGCGGGAGGTTTTGGCTCCGGGACCAACAACATAATAATAAGCAACTCCGCAGCGGATCATGATACTAACCAACGCAAAAGCAACCTCAACGATCGAGTGTCGTACGATTACTGCACGCCGTGCTGGGTAGGGACTTTGGATGCGAGCCGTTGTGCCGTTGATATTCATGCACTATCACACATGAATGTGCAATCTGTGTGTCGTACCTGGAAGCCTTTGATGACCTGGATGGGGTCGATATTCCGGGATTTCATGTCCCAAACCTGGAGGCGGAGGACCAGGACCAAGAGGCGGAGGAGCGGGGAAGTACCGACATACATACACACGTTACATATGTTACACCACCATCGGCAGCATAAGGACTTTTCGAACCATCTTGCAAGGAGGTGCCGAACAACTACCCAGGCCACCCAGGCCTCGAAATCTCCCTATGCGGTGCTGGGTGATGCTTGAGGAGGACACGTCTTCGCGTATATACGTATGTGTCCCTGTACATTAATCTGAACGGCATTGTTCATCAATCTTAAGATCCCATGCTGCAGCCCCGTGCCGTACCTTCACACACTGGTCGTACCCAGCGGACAGCAGAACGCTGTCCTCCGCAGCAAAGCACACCGCGTTTATTGTACTATCGTGGCCGCGCAGCTTGCGAATGAAATTTCCCGACGCCACGTCCCAAAGGAAAATCTGCTTGTCGCCACCGCACGAGGCAAATTTGCTGTTGTCGCGCGCGATGGCTGCGTCTCGGACCTCGTACCCATGGCCGCCGTACGTCTTAACGAGCACGCCGCTGTGCGGGTTCCAAAGACGGATTGTGCGGTCCTGCGACAGCGCCCAGCATTACCCAGCAAAGGTAAGGGACTGGCGGTACATGGCCAATAAACCAGATGCTTCGGGGACATATCAGCACTCTTGCCTTCCCGCACGACACGCAATAGGAACCGTGTGGATTGAAGCGCACAGCAAGCACCGCTCCCTCGTGGCCCTTCAGCACGCGCTGCTCCTTGCTCGGTAATGATGGCCGTCCGCCTGCTTGGAGCTGTTCGTCATCCTCGTACTCATGAGGCAACTTGGGGTAACTCGCCATCTGGCGAGGCTTTTTGCGTTGTCCCCTACATTAGCGCATTTTGTTTGGAGTGTGTTAGGTGAATAGCTCCTAAAAAAATGGAAACGTCTTTACTAGCTGCGCTTTGATGGATTCCTAATCTTGAGTGTCTCTGTGCAAGACATCCCGGACGTGGATCAGTTGATAGCACAGACGACAGAAAGGGTTCTTCACTCAGTAGGAAGTTAGTGGTCTCGGAGCTCCGCACTGTATTCCCATTTCCAAAGGCTCCATGCTCAACACTAGTACAATATTTATTGCACGGTACCTCCAGCTCACTGTCAAGTGCTAAACGCCGATTTGGTGTCGCTGATCGCTGATGACATAGTAATCGTAATGACATAGTAATCGCGGCTGCTCCAACGAGAACCTAAATTCATCTTATGGCCTCCAGAACCATTCCTTGTTTAACTTCCGTGCTGGGCGCCTCCGGTTGCACCGCATGGCTACAGCTCGCGACTGGTTCTGCGGCCACGTGGGCTGCTGACGGTGTCAGGCGGGGACTCTCATCAGTCCGTGCCGAGGAGCAACCTTTAGCTCCTCAACCAGTAGAACTGCCTCCCCCATGGGAGCCGCCGCCCCATAATCCCAGGTCCCTCAAACCCAAGCCGCCTCCAACGCTGCCGGAGATTCTCACAAGGATACAGCAGGCGCGTGTATGCATGTGTGTCTTCGGTTTGCGTCGTAACGTTATGCCCCGTAACCCCACGTTACGGGGTGGGGTGGAGCAACTTGGTATGTGAAAGCCTACGGAGATGTGCGGTATGGCGGCTGTGCTTCGACTCCCACCCTTGGGGGGACACGCTCCTTCTGGGACGCATCCACGCACGATGTGAAAGAAAGGAGAACAGAACAGAAAGAATGACGGGATGGGGAGGGGCAGACCCTAGGAATGGCGTGGCGCTCTGACGCCGCTAGTTGCTGGCTGGCTGGCTGGCGTGCGAGACGGGGGGGTGGGATGCTGCTCAGCATCCCCTCATCCCCAAGCGCCGCCGCCGCTGATATCGTCCCCCTCCCCATCATCCCTTGCAGGAGACTAGGAGGTGAAATTAGGTGCCCCCTGAATGTGGCCTCGACTCGATCGTGGCCTCGACTCGTGGCCTCCTTAGGCCACTCCTCTCATAAGTTATGTTGCAGCCGACACTTACACATGCAATAACATTTTTTTAGAAAGCATCTGCACATGCAAATACGCAAAACCCATAGGATTGTGTTCCTGCCATATCCTGCATCTGCGCCGGTTTACACTGCCCCGTGCTCGATGCTGTAATCCCCTGATTAACGCACGCTTTCACCTTGCTTGTACGGCCCCCGACGTACGGCACAACAGGCATCGACGGTGGTGGAGATTCATAACGCCTATCGACGCCAATCCGGTTGTCTGCCTCCGCCGGTAGCAGTGGCCATGTTCACGCGTCTGTCACAACTGCTATCAGCACCGTCCGTCCGAGCACGCTCGGCCCATAAGGCCCACGCCACTGCCAATAGTCGCAGCAGCAGTAGCAGAAGCCGTGGCAGTAGCAGTAGCAGTAGCAGCCGCACGGATCAGCAAGGACATATGGCTCTTTTGGGCGAAATCCACAAGAGCTGGCACGTGTTCATGCAGCTCATGTCGGCACGGAACCTGGCCGCGACCATCCGCGCCTGCGGGGAGATAGGCGGGCTGGCGCCGCCGCCAGCTGACGGGACCGCAGCTACTGCCGCTGGCGGGGAACCGCCGGTTGCTGATCTTGTACGACGTAGCCTGGATGTGCTGTTGGATGGCGGGGGGAGGGAGCTTGCAGAGGCAGGACCCCAGGTGCGGCTGTGCACAAAGCTGTCGGGGGAGGTGTATGTCTTTTGTACCTTTTGTGAGTCAACATGTGGATGGGTGTGGTGTTGAGCTGATGTCAAGTTGTTGGACTGATGTACTTGTGCTGGACTGAGCTTCGGCCGGAGGGTGTGTCATATTTCTCTTCGCATGGCTCCTGCCCGCCTGCCCGCCTGCCTGCCCGCCTGCCTGCCTGGTGTGTGTCATCACCCATTTGCATTTGCCCACACGCACGTGCCTCCGCCGCCTCCTAACATGGCCGCCCTGACCCCACACCCTGGGACATCACCTTATCCCACTCCCCCCTTGTGTGGGGTGTTGTTACAACTAGAAAACTAGAAGGGATACTACTAATATCAGGATTTGAACTTACTGCTATTCTCTCGCTTTACAGGCTGTTGTGGATGTTTCGTACGGCTTGATGCTGGCTGGCCATGATGACCCCGCAACGTGGCGCACTCTGGGCCCTATGCTGCATTCGGCCCAGTCGCAGCTGCAGCAACTAAAACTGCAGAGCGACGGGACGACGGCAGCGGAGGGTCTAAATCCTAACGATTGCGACGCAGGCTCAAGCGCAGTTACACTGCTGGCGCAAGGGCAGTTGGCAAGTAAGGTGCTGACGTGGCTACAGGAGAAGGGGCTCACATCCCAGTAGTAGTGGGAGCGTGCCGTATACCTGGAGGAGGAGGACTGGAGAACAAGGCAGCGTGTAAGGTCCTTGCGTAGTATGCTAGTGTGTAGTACATTGCCGTACCGTGCCCTGCACTATGTACTGTTCTTCTTTGAAACCTGCTGCCTGAAGGCCCTCCTATGTACGTCGATTGTGCCGCACGCAGCGGTTGCTGCAATGTGCGGGATGTTTGGGACGTTATGGTGGTTCTGTTTACGTTGGTCTTCAGTTTTATACATGGGGTCATTTTATGGCCGTACGTGCGAATGCACGGTCCAAACTGCTTGGGTTTAGGCACGCCTCTAGTAGCTGTAAATTTGCAATGGCCGTCGCGCGCTTCTGGCTGGTTTTAGCTGGGTGATGTCCGCGCATGATGAAACGGCGTAGAGGCATACCGCTTCCCTCCAGCGCCATAATCGAAACTCCTTTCATGAATTCCATTTGGACGAGAACGGTCAATGCGACCTCATCGCATAACGGTTACGATCGGCTACACAAACTTTTGCTGCTTGCAGCAGCAGCGCGCGGCGGTGGTTTCGGCGAACGAGGGGCCCCCTCCCCCAATTAGCCATCATGTCCTCCTCACCATCAGGGATAAATCCCGCCAAACTCTCACAGTTGGGGGGCTACTTTTCGCATGTTTGGATCTCGTGTGGCAGATGCATAATCAAGTGGAAATAATCAGTTGTAAACATGCATGTTTGGCAAGACGAACAAAGCGTTGCGATGCTACGTCACCCAGCCCATTGTTGCGGCACTCAGTGTAGTAGCTGGCCGCTGAAAAGGCCTCTCGAGATGCTGGTGGTCGCGCTTCGCGCGTATTTGTAGAGCCGTACTGTGTACCAGCTACTACACTCAGCCCTCTGCTCCTCAGAAAAAAAACGGGCGATAGAGAGCCAGGCACGGGATTGAGAGGGAGAAGGATGGTTTCGGAGGAGACACAGGCCTCCGCAGTTTCTCGGTTAAGATCTGGCTGGAGTACGACACGGCGATGGCGCAACCGGTTCGATGGTACGATCGGTACAACAACATGGGTCATATAAACGGATATGGGATGTGTTTGTGTGTGTTACATGGTCGTGGGGTGCGTCCCCCGTACCTGCAAACCGCCCAATATGAGCCGAGGCCTCAAGGGCTGCCATATGGGATGTGGACTGATGGAATTCCGGAGGGCCTTATATGTCGTACTGCAACCAGTCGATGCAGTCCCCAACCCATCTCCGCCACAACTCGGGTTGACATTTTCAAGTGTTATACGTCGACCTCTGTGAGGCTAGAACCGAGAACTGCCCTCAGGGGCCGGATCAAAAGGGCTAACCGCCGTGTCCATCCATGCCCACCATATCATCATCCGCCGCCATACCAGTTCCGAAATGGATTCGCCTCCGCCGCCCCCGGACCCGGGGGCCCCTCCGCCTTTGGCAACACCGCCAGGCCCCGCCGTACACAAATTGGCACAACAATTGCAGTACACACGTACACAGTCACACGCTATAAATCATGTACAGCACAGTGCACCACCACCCCACCAACTATCCCGACACCCCACCAAGCCTCCCGCTCACCTTCTACACACCGCCTTCGGAGCCTCTCGGCCGCGCAATGGGGAAAAGGAGAGGTTCAGAAGCACGACCAGAACGGTCAGACGAATAACCCGACAAGACGTGATAGGGCACATGTCGTACAGCAGGTAACACGAACGCAACACCATGCACAACGGCGCATCTGACGTGCTGTTCTGATCTGATATTTTTTGTTGCTTGCTGTTATTCTTTATGTATACGTTGTGCGTTAAGATGGATTACCGCAAACTTGGCGTACAATACTAGTTCTGGGCCTACCTCCTGGCGTTCTGGTTAGGGCACCGAGTGAGGTGGCTCGCTTTTGTGCTCAGGTATGGTGTAGAGGTTTCACTGGGTAGGGCATGTTGCTTGTTCCTGTGAATGTGTAGGGCATGTTGCCTGTTCCTGTGAAGGGCACGTTGCCTGTTCCTGTGAATGTTTGTGCCTTGTTGCATTGACCTATCAGCCGCGTCTGAAGGAGAGGTATCGAGTACATTATTTGATGCTGTCGAACACCGCTGACGTCAACCATCCACCCATCGGCATTGCCCACGTGAAGAGGTGTGGCGATGTGGCGGAAGGCATTATGCGAATTCATGCAGTAAAGTTTTTATGTATGCACATGTCTGGCGGGAGGAACGATGTATCATGGATATGGACAAGCTTGTGTACGACGTGGAATTGAAAAATTGGAACAGATCATCGACAGAGGTTTGGCACACGGTTTTTGCCATCTTTCAGATCTTTCACATCTGCTTCACTGGAAACAATATCCATTTCGATGAGATTGTTGACCGTAAGACGTACAGCTGGTCCTCTTAGGACCACAGGCAAAGAGCAGTGGAGGTAAATGCCGCCTTAGCATACACCCACGGGCCAAAAATGGCAGCTACAACATTTGTGCTCTTGGAGCCGGAGGAGCTCTTTTATCGCGACGTGAAACTGTCGCAGGTCGGCACATGAAGCAGGGGCTTCACTTACTTTTTGAGGCATTGCTTATTTGTTAAAATATGGTATACAGATATACTCCCAAACCTTGCGAATAACGAATACGCTGCGGGGCCCTGTGGAGCTTTCTGTGAAGCCTGGCAGCAATGAACGCTACACAGTCCTGCCGACCTTCCTACGGCTAAGAGGTGGGGAGACGGCGTCAATTGAAGTTAGGCTAAAGGTATTACGCTTCGCACAGCGCCAGAAAGCTGTGGAGCAAGGGCAGAGGGACGTCTTCCATATTAAGGTATGATGTTGCACGGCCAGATACACCTTGTGCCAGGTCGCTCAGATGAGGCAGCCGACGCGCGCACGAGGTATCCCCGATGAGACCCAAGGTGTCTCGATTCCCCATGTTCATCACCCGCAGGGGTCTCACTTCGACCAGAAGTTCTATGCAACATTTTGGTTGTTGCCTGAAGCGGATCAGGGCCCCCGGGTAAAGCCTGGACCGTCTACCGCCATCCATAACGTTCAGGTGCACAGCCGCCTGCTGGAGGCAGGGGCAAGTCCCGATAGGTGTGTAAAGCATAGTTGCTAAAATGGGTCGTCGGTGAATTGGGTTAAGATGCACAAATCGGCAAGACTGCTCCCGACACTGGGCTGAATACTGCTGGGTTTCATGAAGCTGATATTCTTTGCAGCGGGCTCGTGAAGACGTATGGGTGATGCTGCGGCCTGAAGGAGATGTAGTGGCCGAGGGCACACCCTGACTCATATTTTCCTTGGCATGCATGATGCAGCATGGCTGGTTTGTGCATCTTAAACTAGTATACCGACGACCCATTTCCCCTCCCGGGCCCCAGGCGGGTTTGGTGCTCTTAGTGCGGGTACCGAAGCAGTACGGACGGGCGGCATTACTGCTCTGCTGTAGGATTGCTGGTTCTTTTCATGGCTAATTGCTCATGTGTCGTGCAAATGGTCTCGGGCGCCGCATGTCCATCTAAATCGTAGGACGGAAGGCGTGCACCAGTCAGACAGTAAATCTACCAAGCCATACCAGCTTTCTATGTACGATGACTCGAGCAACGCGCTAATGCTTGAGCAGCAATTTGGGCCGCAGCTCAAGCAGGAGGACAGGCTTGGGCTTTCAGAGCTGCCCTCTGAAGTGGACCACCAATTCCTCGAGGTTAGAAGGGCCATGATATCACCACAAAGTTGCAGAGAGTGCAATGTGGATGTGGACTTGCGTGCTTTGAACTAAGTTTTTGAGTTCCCTGGGTTCTCCCTGGTCTGGTTAGGAGGGCTGTGCCGCGGATCGAGTCTCTAGCATGTGCTGACTGCTGCGGCAAAACCCATGGGTTGCATCACACGCATCAGGCACACATCGCCCCACACGTGCAGCTTGCCTTATCACGACTAGGACGAGCCGCATGCCATCCGCTTGCACTTGGCACGTGGGAGTGTTGAGTCCCTGGATGCCGAGGCGCAGCGGCGTCTTGTGCAATCGAAGAATCCGGTGATGCCAATCTTGGTGCCTGCTCTGAGGAGCATGAGGGGCGCTGGCTGTGAGCCCGCATATGCGGTTTCCTGCCGGCACTTCATTGGCTGCCCGCCATGCCCGTTTGTCTGCTCCATCACACTCTGAGGACACTGAACGCTGTTGTGCGCCAGGGCAAATGTCAAGACTCCAGCTGCGTTTCTGCCCCTCGGCGCGGCCAGGATGCGCATCTGAGGGCAGAAGACCAGCGCCCCTCATGCTCCTCAGAGCAGGCGCCAAGGTTGGCATCACCGGATTCTCCGATTGCGCAAGACGCCGCTGCGCCTCGGCATCCAGGGACTCAACACTCCCACGTGCCAAGTGCAAGCGGATGGCATGCGGCTCGTCCTAGTCGTGATAAGGCAAGCTGCACGTGTGGGGAATTGTCGAGCACCGGCTGCCATGGGAGGCCATTCCCAATTACTACCCCTATTTACGGCAATCCTCATGTTTTCCCCCGACGGGGCACCTATTTACCGGGGGATGTAAGGAGGGCTCCACTATTGTAATGGTTGGAGAGCGATGGGGATGGAGATGTATCTGTCAGTACTGGACAGGGCATACGAGTGGCCCTTGAAGCACTTGGGGTCAAGTTCTTGACGGAATAAGCTGCCAATGTCCGGTCGTTAAATATATGCTTGTATTTGTTGCACGTCAATGGCGCGCCTTGACCGCAGGCGGCCCAGGCACAGCTAAAGCTGAACACAACAGCTCCTTCAGGTTAGTGGATGCAGTGCATTTTGTAGCGGTGGTCCTGTGGCCATTACGCTCGGGGACGTGCACATGGGACATGGCCATAACAAGTAAGCAGATGTCTGTGATGTCTTGTTCCCCTGTCGTTCGCGGTGCCATGCCGTACCGCATGTCTGTGAAAACGCCTTTGGCACTGTTGAAGTGCATGCGGCCATGTGCATGTGCAAGGTCTCAATATTGCATCGTGGCACGGCACTGATGACGGAATGTACACGGCCCCTAACCTGGTCTTCCCTACACATTTACATGCAAGTTTTACCTTACATTTACATGCAAGTTTTACCCTAATGTGCTGAATGCAGACTATCATGCCGCCATTGGAGCTGAGGATGCGAGCAAGCTGATCCAGGAGCGTGATTCGCTGCTGGCGCGCTTAGCTAATGCAGAAGCAGAGCTGGCGACCAGCCGGGAAGAGGCTGTGGCGCTCCGCCGGCTGCAGCTCGAGCTGCAGTCCCGACAACCAGACGTAACACGAGCGGTTGACGCAGCCGTTATGCGTGAACAGGCTCTGCAGGAGGAACGAAACCGTAAGGTAGGTGCGGCAAGAGTGCGGCCTGCACTGCGTAACGAGGTAAGGGCAACACCCTGCGACACCAACCGCCCTTATCAGTTTAAAGGTTCCTGCGGTTCTGAGCCAGCTATGTGCAGAATCGTCGAGGATGTATAAAGACTAGCTGTTGTCCGCTGGGGCACACCGACCAGTCCAGTGCACCTCTGTCATGGTGGGGCCTAATGTAGCGGCGCCAGTCCAGCATGCTGAAATGGGTGAAGATTTTTCCAACATTGGAAGGCGTTTTCGACACGACTCCGTGATCCTGCACATGCCTACCGACGCTGACAGGCATTGGAGCTGCTCATGAGCAAGGATGTGCAGATCAAGGAGCTGGAGGAGCAGATCGATCAGCTACAGCAAGAGAATGGGGACCTTTGCTCGCAAGTGGCAGAGCTGCAGGAGCGCCTCAGCGTGGCTGACTCAAAGGTAGGAGCTTAGTTTCTTTGGGCGTAGGGCTGCGACATGTGTCACGCACGTATGTGGCTGGTTTTCCCAACTTGCGTGAGAAGCAGAAGTACCAAGGTAGAATTGCCACTCTACCTACTAGTAGTTCCTTTGTTATCCAGTCCTATCACCAGACTTACTTCACAAGGTGTGCTGGTTCCATGTCTCAGCACATGTTCATCCTGTGCCGGTGCCATTCGGGGTTCTTGAAGCCAGGGTGCCAGGCCGGGCAGCGTGGCAATCTAAGATAACAGGAGCAGCTTCAGAAGATCTCCCCTGATTGCTTTATCCTTCGGATTTCGAGCCCTAGGGTGCCTTCTTTCCTGGCTCTTGTTAAGCTCTTACACATGCAAGTCATGTTACACGTACGATACGTGCTTGTAACTTGACAATGCTGAATGCCCTAGTTCAAGTTTGTCTACGGACTGTAGCCTAGGTAACTTTCAGGCCGACGAAATCGCGCTAAACAGCCACGTTTTGGCCAACTTCAGGCGGGGGAAATGGCAGGGGTTCCTTGTCCCTATCACGGAAGATAGCCACACTGAGTCTGCCGGGCCCGGCGCCGTGGACGCTTGCTATATATTGTTCCCGCTGACCATTCATCATCCATGATCGACGCCCCACTTACTTCTTCCTCACAAGGGAATTTAACACACCGCCCCGTGTCCTGCCTGCGCCCTGCAGGTCTTGAACTTGGTGCAGCAGAAAGAAGCCCTTGTGGAGACGGCCCAGCGTGAGAGGCAGCGAGCCGATAGCATCATCGTAAGTTCTTTCTCCTGCCCAGCCGTACTCACCGGCTCACCGGCTGAGACGGACATCATGGAACCTGACGAGGTAGCTGGTTGCCGCATGTCCGTCGCTTACTGCCCTCAACAACCTGCAGCACGGAATTCATGCATTGATTGCATAACTTGGTATGTGACTCAAAAGGATGTGACTCAAAAGGGTGTGACTCAAAAAGATGTGACTCAAAAGGATGTGACTTATTATTGTTCAAGGATGCCGTGTCGAGGATGCCATGGTTCCGGGCTGTCCTCGTATTTCGGCCGTTGAACACAGATTGCAACTTATGGTTGCGATTACGCTTACGTACTAGTCTTGTAAACATTGTGCACCTGCGAAATCAAGGGGATCTGGAATCTCCCAGGGCGTTGCGGGAATTGCCTTAGCTTCTCCTTGCGGGGCCCTGACCCTGAGAACCTCATGGAAGCACACACGGGCACTCACCCACCCCGGCCATGCCCGCACAACCAAGATACTGACGCTGCCCCTCGCTGTTGCTTGGTTTGCTTCGTAACAGCATAGCACTCTCTGAAGGCACTGAACAAAATATCACCCTCTGAAGGCAGTCGCCGGCGTAGTCGCTGGAGGCCACAGGACCTGATATCGTAAACATACCCGGCAGTGTCGTGTCACGCAAGGTAGTCAAGATCACGTAATTGACATGTGCTTACAATTGACAACGGCATTCCGCATCTCGCGTTCCCTGCTTGCTTAGGCGGATCTTGAATCTCGCCTGGCGGCAGGCCAATTTCTCAACGCTGAGGTAGCGGCAGCGCAGGAACGCGCCGTGGCGGCGGTGGCACGTGTAGCGGAGGCGGAGCGCCGGCTGGCAGATGCAGAGCAACGTGCTTCGGAGGCCGAAGCCCGCGCAGACAAGGCTGAGGCCTTTCAAAGGATGCAGCGCCGTGAGGAGCACGTGGGCATGGGCTTTACCGGGCCGGAGGTAAGAGGTGTCGATGACAACCATGCCAGGCCTAGGAAATGCTTTGTCCCTACGAGGCGGGCAAAGCGCAGTAACTCGATAATACCTCCGGCGAAGAGAAGGCGCTCGATCTGTCATGCCATGCTAGACTGTGTGGCGGCGCAGGTCGGTTTATGCTGTTTTACCTTTTCAAGAGGTGCATAGAGAGGATTTCAGGTCTTGCTCACTTTCTGTTGTCTTTTCATCCTGCAATTTGTCGTTGCTTCAGGAGCTCCGGTCTGCGAGCGCCCTGCTGCAGCAGCGTGCCGAGATGATGCACCGACAAGCTGACGAGCATCACCAACAGGTGGGCCACGCCAACCCAAGGCAAAAATGGTCCTACTTTTGCCGTTCGAGGAAAGCCTATGCCCTTAGCCCTGCTTGATTGACGGTCAAAGCACGTGCTATGCGTCAGCCGCTGCAGCCCGTTGCTGTATACGAAGAAATCTGGCTGCCTTGTAAGCGTGACCCCCTTCGCACGTGCTGTTCGCGCCCGTGCTTAGGTGGCTGCACTGGAAACGAAAACTTCGGACCTGATGATGGAGCTTTCAAAAGTGCAAACATCTGCTGCAGCGACAAGCGCAGCCGGGGTCGAGACCCAGGGCATGGGCGGCTCAGGTGCGGCAGCTGGGAGGTTCATTTTGGCCCTATTAAAGCACATATATATACGGCAGCGCGTATCCATCCAGCCCATGCTAACCTTCAGGCCCTCTCCTCACAAATTCCAAGTTGGGGGATGCCCGCGAGTCCGCGAACTTTGATACTTTGAAAGTTGAAACCCACTACAGCTGCAGCTGTCGGCTTCAACCCAGTCCGCGAAAGGTGCGTATCAGCCCGGCGGGAGCCCAAAGCTGCCCCTAATCCATCCACCGCGTCTGGTCACAAACCGTGATGGCCCTTGGGCTCTCGAAATGAAATTCGGCGATAAGCACACAGCAAGGCTACAATCTTTCCGACATGACCGCTACCCGGCTGATGTAACATGCAGAGCGCGCATGGGAGCAGATTGAGCTGGGTCGCCTGCGCACGCTGGTTTCGGAGCGCGACATGGAGGTGGCAGAGTTGACATCGCAGGTTGAGGTCCTTAGGGTGCGGCTTGGTGCGGCGAGCGGCACGAGGCTAGGCTCATCTAGTGGCGTGCTGGAAACAGCCCCAGGTGGCCGAGAGCCAAAAGCAGGTGCTGCCACGTCAGCTGCGTCGTTGCCCTCGCAACAGTCCGAGTCGCACGCCTCAGAAGCTCCTGAATCCCCGACCCGGGGATGGCAGCAGCAAAAGCAGCAGCACGCACGTCAGGCCTCCCGGGGCCGCTCACGGTCTCTAGAACGTGAATCGATGTGCGATGATACACAGGAGGCTGTCATTGAGACTTTGAGGAAGCAGCTGGCCAGGAATGAAGTTGCGAGGCGCGCTGCAGAAGAGCGGCTTGCATTGATGGAGGTGCGCGCGGCGGTGGCACAAACGACTGCCGGCAAGGGTAAGCCACCGGGGCTGCAGACTTGTGTCAATTAAGTGGGTCAGATTACAGGATGTAATGCTAGGGTAACAACTCAAAGCCCATGGTGATGGGTTGTGTGTTGGGTTGTGCCAGGTTTCATACTGTTTGGCGCGCTTTTCCAGGTTTCGTACAGCTGAGACACGTACACGTAGCTTTCCGTTTGTTATGTCGACGGACGGATTAAACTACAAACGGTTCCTTATTGCAGCAAGCCCGTAGCCTTTGGTTGCTCCGTGACATGAGACCCTGCTCGACGCCGTCCCGCAGCCGGTGGGAAAAGTGCTGTGGCCGCGGCTGCGACAGAACGCAATTATAATGTCTTGCGCTGTGGATGGAGCAATGCACAGACACACACCGCCGATTTAAGTTACTACGCTGTTTGGCGTTCTGTCCTCGACTCTTGTTACCACTTCCTGTACAGGCGAGCAGGAGCTGGAGGCCGCGCAACGCAGCATGGTGGGATCCGCATTGGAACAGCAGCGCCTACAGCAGGAGCTTGCAAGCGCGCGCGCCGCAGCTGCCAGGCTGAACAGCCGGATCAGCGACCTGGTACAGGCAGAGCAGGTAGGGGCCGCGAGGCCTCTGAACCACGGTGCCACCTGAGGGATCACGATCATGTCTCTCTGCGTTGCCATGGCTACAACGCAGGGGTCAGGCATGGCGTGGACTTGGTCCCGATGTGCCACGGCTGGCCCTTTGCGCAACATAGGCTTCCGGCTCACGCTATTCTTGGCCTACCATCGCCGCGTGAACTTATCGACCACAGCCTCGGGTTTCCATAAGCTAGCAAGTGATGATCGTTGCGGTAGAATGGCTGTGCTAATGAAGAGTAAAAGCCGCCTAGAGACATACTTCACCCCATCCCATGCGCTGAACGTGCTTGTGGTGGCGCAGATCGCACGTGCGGAGGTGGATGCTGCAAAGGCGAAGTTAGGGCAACTCCAGGTTGGTAGTTCCCGCAACGCTACGCTCAGGACAGCCCATTTACGTCACCAGTCATGTGCTGCATTGATGGTACAATACAGACTTGCAATTCGTACGGTCATTGCCTTGCATACACACTTCGATTTATGATGTTGTGTTGTGTAGGAGCTACACACATCCGAGATTGGGGCTCTCCAGGAGCGCCTCCACCGCCTTGCTTCCCACCTGGCTGCAACACAGCCCGAGGTAAAGCTGTCTGCTCCGTCACATCCCCGCGCTTGGTAGGCATTATCTTGTCCTCCTGTTGTCCACCCGCATCAATACCAATACAACGTGCATGGGCCCCCCGGCTTTTACGGACACACCCGCACTTGTGTGCGGAACTTGTAACGTGTTGCAATGAGGTCCCAATGAGGTCCTTCACAGCTCTGCGATGCGACAGTGTTTTCGTTCCAAGCCATTACCCCTGTGCCTGCTTAGGTACTGCAAGTGCTGTTGGGACCAGAGTACATGCCTATGGTATCCATGGCCGCCGAGGATGGCAAGGACGGAAGCGCGCGCCCTATGATGACGGAGATGAACCCGGCTTACATGGGCGCCTCGACTCATGGTGGCCCGGTCGGTTTCGGGGGTCTCGGCGCCCAGCATCAGCACGTCGCTGCCAGCTCCGGTGCTGTCCTCAGCCGCGAGCGAGAGCTAGAAAAGGCGGTAGAAACAGCGGAAACGGCGGTGGCTGTAATGCAGGACCGTCTCTTAGCAGCACTGAAGGCAGCTGCGGACGCGGCCGAGGAGGCTTCACGTGTGCGGCGGGAGTCGGAATGGGAACGTGAACGGCTCGAAGCTGAGGTGAGACGGTGGCAGGGGATCCTTCGACAAATCTCTCCGCAAAGACGATTGGACTGTAGACAACTATGGCCAACAACCAATATCGACACATGACTTCCTGCCGCGGCAAAGCGCGCAAATCGCTGTATGAATGGTTTATTAAGGCTAAGTGCTTATGTTAAGTAGAAATAGATACGCATTTGTGCTGCGGGCCATGCGGCCCTACACATGCATCGCCAAGTTGCACTGACCATGGGCGTCATGTTCTACTATAAGAAGTTTGACTTGCGCCTGTGAGTTACAGCTGCGGACAGCCCGCGAGGAGGGCGCTCTGCGGATCCGAAACTTGGAGGAGGCCGTCTCACGGCTCAGTGCCCGCGGCGGCGACGCAACGCAAGCTATGGCGCGGTCGCTTGCAGACGCGGACGCGGCGGCTCGGCGGGAGTCACGCTTGCGCTCGGAACTGGGGCTAGTGCAGCAGGCCGCCCAACGGGCCAATGCCCAGGCGGCCGAGCTCAGGTAAGGTGGCCATCCGACACCCTGCTACCGTTGATGTGTTGTTTTCGGGGTTCTGCTGTTCAGGTTCTGCTGTTTTCTAGGTTTGGCGTCCGCGGTCTGTAATCCAGGCAACGCATGTTTTCCTCAGGTGTTTGTCGTTTCCGTTGCTCTGCCTCGCTGAAGTTGGACACTCTTCCGTTGACTTATTGGACCCTTAATACCTGTATCCTGTATCCCCAATTGTAATACCTGCAGGCTGCAGCTCCGGGACTGCGAAGAGGCTCTGCGGGAGGCGCGCGTCTACGGTGGGATGCTGGCGGGGATTGGCGCAACAGAAACGACGCAAACCGGTAAGGCTTCGAATGTCATGCGCGCCTCGGCCGAGCAGGATCAGGTATACGTATTAGAAGGAACCACCATTAGTAATAAATGAATGAAGGAAAATGAATGAAGGGATCATACATAATAATAAATGAATGAAGGAATCATACATAGTGATTCCTTTTATTGGAGTAGAGCCATAAGGATTGTCGGTGCACATTGCTTACCCCCACATTCATGACCAATTGTGCATCCGTGGGGAACCCCGGGGAGGACACTGCAAGGGCTGTAAGCAATCCAGGTTGCAGCGAGCTTTCAGGGATGGGTTGAGGGGCTGGCCCAGCAGGGCCTGAGATGGTTACGGGACGCCCTCGGTCTCATCACTCGCATCTCGCTCGTACCACACCTTGGGCGCTTCTTTGCCAATTTGTTACGGCAGGTGCAACGGGTGGACGCGGCGCGAGCGCCGGGGGCGCCATTAACGGCGGGTTCAGCCTAGACCAAGAAGTGGAGGCGCGGCTTGAGCAACAGGCTATTGAGCTGGCCCGCCGGCAGCAGGTGCGTTACTGTTGCGCTACCATAAGATTTACATTGAAGCGGCCAAACGTGCAGAACAAGCATAGCAGCAAGGAGTCTGGCAAATGCTGAGGGCAAGTTTCCAATTCGTATCCAGGTCATCGCAAGGCTCGTGGACGTAGCCGAGCGGGCTCAAGCAGAGGCAGCGGATTTACAAACGGAGGTCAACGCGCTGAAGCAGGTACGCTTCAGCTACTGCACGGCTGCTGTAGATTATTCAGGGAGGGACTAGCGTTTTACCCTCTTCCCTTACCGGGGAGAGAACGCTCCTAAGCAGTTTTTTTTACTGCTTAGGTTATGTGTCCCATCGACCGAAGTCCCGATGTACTAAGGGCCATCACGGTTCACTACACCACTAGCCACAGGCTCTGATACATCCAATCTGATAACCTCCGTGAACAGGCGATGCCTGACCCCAAGCAGCACCTTCATGTACAGTACGCGGAAGTGCAGCGTCGGCTGGGTGCCACGGAAGCCGAGCTTCGTGCTTGCAGGCAGGTTGTGTGGCAGTGCCAAAGCCCATGGGTACGCAAGTATACGGCCTGCCATGTGTTCGCAGTTGTCACCCTGCCTCGGCTTCCTGTGCCATCTACCTATCATTCGCATGCACTGGGCAAGCCCGTCGACGCACCTAGTGATAGGAGCTGTGCGCTGTGTACATTTCACCTGGGCAGGCCTTACTTAAAGCCCTGTATGGCATGTATGTTTCCGCAGGGACGAAAGGTCCTCCTGTGAGCTCGAGTTGGTGCGCTTGCAGCAGCAGCTGGCAGAGAAAACTAGGGAGGTTGACGCCGCTTGTGAGCGCCTGGCGGCGTGCGAAAGGGACATCGGGGCCAAGGAGGAGGCGGCCACTCGCAAGGCAGTTGAGGTAAGGCAAGAGCTATGGAGCGCGATGACCATAGGCCCCAAATATGTCCTGCCCCGCCCGGCCCGGCCAACTACCCTTGCAGCAAGGCTTTGGCATGTGGAGGGCGCCCAATGCCGCCCCTATCTGCTATGCGCAGGTCCGCGGTGCCATGAGCAAGGAGGTGGCGATCCTAAGCCGTCGTGCTGCGGAGGCTCAAAGGGCGGCGGACGAAGCCGAGTCGAGGGCACGGGAGCTAGATACGCAACTGAGCAACCTGCGAGCGGAACTCGCTGAAGCTCGGGTAGGGTTGCTTTTTTTCCGTATTTCCGTCTAGTATTTCACTGTGTATCGTCGTGCGCTTTGGATCTGAACAGAAGGCAAAAGTAACCACTCGATGGAACCCCCCCTCCCTTAAGTATGAAATTGGATAACATTTAAGCCTCTTAGAAGCCTTGCTGTGGTTTCACGAATTATGCACCGCAATCATGCTGCGCAGTCGGAGCTCGATGCCCAGGCGACGGAGGTACGTCAAGTGCGGCTTAAGGCCCGCGAGGAGAAGCGGGCATCTGAGGATGGCGCGCGGCAGGCAAGAAGGTGCGCGAGTGGTGGCGCATGCCCGGTTCACTGCAGAAAATGGGGCATACCGTGCTGGCGCCGTAGCTAGTCGACCTCAAAACCTGACGCAATACTGCCTGCAGGGCTGCGGAACTTGCAAAGCAGGAGGCGCAGGAAAGGCGCTCGCAGCTAACCGTCATGATGGAAACAATAGAGGTGCTGCAGGTACGCCTCCCAGCCTCCCGAAAAGGATGTACGCAAAGAGTAGGACCAAACTCCCTCTAACTTCAGTTGGGAGCCTCTGGGTGGCCTTGATGTCTGCAGGCTGGCAACCCTGGCGAGCGGGAGCAACGCGTCGTGTCATTGACGGCACAGCTCTCAGCACTGATCAGCCAAGAAAGCCTCGCGGAGCAGCGGGCGCAAGGGCTGTTGGTGAGTTGTTGCGTTTACTCGTACGTCCTCCAAGGTATATTCAGTCCACAAAATCTCAAAATCGCAGCCGCCTATCATTCTGTGGCATGTGTGACGCACTGCCGTCCCTTGTACGTGGTATGCACACAGGCGCGGCCGCATGCATAGCTTAGGGTACATTCTAGCCTGTACTGTCCTCCCAAGCAATGGCACAGTTGACTATCTGAGCCGGACATACGCCCGTGCCGTGTACACGGGATTACAATCTCTCGGCCGCTTCATCAAACCGCGATGACCACTAACTAAGGCGGATGTCGAGGCCAGCTGCTCCCGCGCGGAGCAGCTGCAGCTGGAGGTTTCGGAGCTGAGCCAGCAGATGGCCCGATTGGAGCAGCAGCTGGCGACGACGGCGTCGAACCGCATGATGATTGAGCAGGAACTGGCAGCTGTCCGATCTGACCTTCGGAGCAGGTAATGCGTTCGCAGCACACATTACTTGATGCACACACAATACTTCATCGTCTCCGACGGGTCGCAAGCTTCGGTTTAGTTGCCGCATCTCTCGTCTTCCTTAGCGTCACTTAACCTGTCCTTCCTTTTGTGAGGCGGTTAGGACAGTGCGCCCTGATACGAAAGCTGCAACGCGGCCGGAAACGCGTCAAAACGTCCACACCAAGACCGCATGAAATCAATCACCTACCGTGCTCCCTATTGCAAAAACCGTTTTGGAGACAGAGACGCGGCTGCATTGCGGACAGCACGGGAGCTGGACGACAAGGAGCAGCGCGTGACTTTCCTGGAGGGCGAGGTGGAGGCCTTGCGCAAGGCCCTCAACGACAGCCAGTCACGACACGCAGACCAACTGGCAAGGTGCGTTGCGGCGCTGGTAGCCTCTGACTCGCCTGCTTGTCAGACGCAGACTTGATGCTGGGCGTTAGCACATCTTCCGCAAGTGTGCTGGCTGGTTGCATGTACCCTTGCAAATGGAGCAGCGATGATCACCAAGAAAACTTGGCCGAATGGATAATGTGTCGCCCATTAACGTTTCACAGGGAGCGGGAGGAATCGGCGGCTGCCACGAGGCAGGCTCGGGCTGAGAGCAGCGCGGCTGCGGCGACGAGCGCACAGGCGGCTCGTCTTGAGCGGTTCCAGGTGCGCACTTGGCAGAGAGAATGCGTTTGTGTGTGTGTGTGTGTGTTGCGTGGACAGGTGACCAGGCTAATGATCTCAAGCACTGTGCAATCGATGAAAGCAAGGCCACGCCATTGTATGGATTTTTAGAGACTTGTATTGAGGAAAGGGGGGCCCGCCGGGGCTTCTCATATCAACCTAGAGCACGAGGTAGCTTGCATCAGTTACATGCTGTAATATGTCGCACATGTCGTTATATGCTGACAGGCCTCTATAGATGAGCTGGTTGCATTTGTCGAATCGCGGAGCCAACATCAGCAGCAGCAGCCCGCCGTCGCAGCCAATGCTGCAGCTGCGGGCGGCACGGAAGACGTCGCTTCAGCAAGTGCGGCGCCCTCGGAGCTGCCGAACTGTACTGGCAGCTGGGTCATCAGCGCAATGCAGCGTTTAAAGGTGAGGGGGACACCATGGTAACCGTTGGGCGCAGTTTGCAAAAGCATTGTACAGCGACTGTGCGACCCTGTGCGACTATACGTAGCATACGTGTACCGCATGCACAACCTGTGCGGCGCGAGCCTGATCGGGCAACCTTGTGAGGACTCTCATGTTGTGTTGCTCAGGCGCTTGCGCTGGAATCGGAACGGGAGTTCCTGGCTGCCTCCACTGATGCACGGCTGTACCGCACGGAGAGCCGTTGGGCGTGGTCCCGGGTGCACAGGCTACAGTGGACCCTGGAGCAGCGGACGGGCGAGTGGCAGGTCGCACAGGTAGGTGGCACCCTTTGCACCCTTGTCCCTGTGCGTTGTTTCGGCCATGCATAAGACTTTATCGTAATGCATGACTCCACTACGCCTGCCGGCCCGCCCTCTTGAGAACTGGCTTCTTCACTCCACGTCCTTCTAGGTTACAACCTCTTGTCCCATAGGCGCGTGGGCAGTTTGCGTTTGAGGGCAGTTTATCCATCCAAGTGCACCACCATGTTCCTAAATCCCCGGTGCCATTCTTCTGTGCTGGTCAGGAATTCAACAGCCTGAGGCCTTTGCATTCAAAGGTACCCCCGTATCTGTTCCGTCTTTCCGGCCTGACAGGCACGGGTACAGCAGCTGGAGCGTGCCATGTCCCGCCGCAGCGAGGAGGCCGCAGTGCACGCTCTAGAGCAAGTTGCCTTGCAAGACAAACAGTTGTCGGCACTGGACGAACGTCTGCAGGTAGGCATGAAACGCCGGTCCCGGCCACAACCGCTTAACCGCGTAACGTTTGACTAACTGCGTTTATGGTCGCATCGCAAAGTCGCATCGCAAGGGATGCCGGGATCTTAAGATATTCGCTAAATTCTCCCTGCCTGCTCTCGCGTGCAGGCGACCACGGCTAAGCTGGTTGTGGCGACGTCGCAGGTAGGTGGGTTGTTGCTCATCGGCTAAGACTTTGGGTACAACGAGCGCTGGTCACTGAGGAGAACGTTTCACTTTATCTTGCCCTGCCTTTCACGTAGGCTGCCGGCGCGGAGGCTGCCTTGGTCGCTGCCCGTGCTGCAGCCGCTGCACTGCAACGCCAGGTGTCGATGGCGGCTTCGGAGCGTAAGGAGCTGCTCGCCCGCCTTGCAGCAGCGGGAATGGAAGCTGCTGGCTCGACGGAGGTGCGAAAGCCGGCGCGCCGTATTCATCTTGTGGAGTGTGTGTATGTGTGTGACATGGCTTTGGTGGTGACCGAGCTTGCCTTTGGGGGCCTATCGTGCAACAGCCAGGCTGCCTGAAATGCTACTTTTGGTAAATGCTTGCATGTAGCCTCTTCCCTCTGCTGACCACATGCTAGTTGCCTACTGCCAACGTAGTAAGGCTGGTGTGGGCTGGATGGTACGTAGGTAGGGTGGAATTGTAGAACGCCGAGACGGCTTGCTGGATCCTGGCGCTGTATAGCGTAGTCGGTCTGCGCGTTACTTTACTGGAACATTCGTTTTCCCAACAGGCGGTTAATCTTGGTGCCGAGGCGGCGCTAGCGCAGCGCGACCTGTCCATCCGACAATACTTCGACGCGCAAGTGGCCAGCCTGGTCCTTAAGCCAGACGTCCGTGACAAGGTCATGGCTCTGGCACGTGAGGTGCGGCTGCCTTTGCATCCCCTTCCGGAATTTTCTTGAATTTCATTCATATGTGCTATTCGTTTCACCTTCGGCGGTCCTCCCTTCGCTTTGCCAATGGTGCAACGAATCGACCTGCTGTTGCTGTGACTGCTGATTTTATCAAGAGTGTCAACATGGTTGGATTCATCCGAGAGACATGATGGCTGATGAACGCGTGTCCGGACGTCCGAGTGCAGGTGTGTGCACTGAAGCTGTCGGAGTCGCAGCTGATGGCATCCCTAGCGGCGGCCAAGCACCGTGCTGACGCGTCTGCGCAGCTGGCCGCCAGCTTCCAGGCTGCTCTGCGCGCCGCGGACAACATGACAGAGCAGCTGCTTAGTCAAAAGGTATGCTTCAGCCCCTGGAGTATGAAAGTAGAATCCAGTCCGATCATCGTGTGAACCAAATACCCATACTTCAAATCCAAGGATTGGGGCTCTCACAGGCTCCTCCTGAGGCACGCTAGCTACCAGTACTAGTAGGGCGCCCGTTTTCAGTATCCTGCTTGAAGGGTGCCAATGTTGATGAAGGTGGGGTGAGATGCAGAATGAGACGATAGCTTGGGTTTCTTTGTCCGTTTGCAGCAGAGCAGCGGTGGTGCGGCTGCGGGAGCTCTTGGCGGAGGGGGTATGGAATTGGGCAGCGCGGGCGCCGCTGCGGCGGCGGCAGCGGCAGCGGCAGCCGCCACTCCTTCCGTTGTGGGCGGCCTGGGCATGGAGGTGGCCCGCCTGTCGGCCCAGCTTGTGGCCCAGTCACATGAGGTGTTTCGCCTACAGGAAGCGGCACTGCGATCCAAGCAGGTACGACAACCGACGACTGCCTTCCTGCCAATTGAAGGCGTTGATCAGCATGCATGTCCGTGATCTCCCATCCAGCGTGCAACTCCGTTTTGGAATTCAATGTACACCTCTCGCAGGGTCAACCCTCCTCAATACCCAACCGTTTTCATCGCCCAAAAGACGTGTGGTTAACCCCATTGTGACCAACTCCAATGGCGTCCGGTTTCCTTTCACAGGCATACGAACGGCGTGAGTCTGACATCGAGGAGCTCCAGGTAAGCACCGCTATCGGGAGGACAAACTCGCCTGATTGTCTTGATGGAAACGCTCAAAGCTGGGCGCTCGCTTTCAGTCGCCCTGACAATGTACAGCTCTAGAGTGGTCGAAAGACCAAAGTATACGAGGGCTAGACTGGCACACGTGGCAACCGGACGGGATCAGACGTGATTGGCCAACATCCAATTGGCCTTTTCCACACGCCTGCGTCCTATGGGAGGTGCGATGGGCTGACCTTGCGGTGTAGGCTCAATTGGCGGCGGCGGAGCTGCTGCTGACGCAGGCTCGGGCGGAGGGCTCCTCGGCGCTGTTTGCGCTGCGGGAGCAGCTAACCGAGGTGCATGACCAGGACCGGCAACTGCTTATCCGGGAGATCCGAGAACTCCAGGTAGGGAGGAAGCAATGCCTATCCAGGCCAGGACGAACCTTTACGGCGGCTTATATGAGCAAGCTTACACGAATGCTTGATGCTGGAAGGCGACGGGATCTTAATCGTGCATTTTTGTCGGCTGGAGTGATCCCCGTGCCCTGGCTAATGCCTGCAGGAGCGTCTGACGGCGACAAGGGATCTCGCCTCTAAAGGTAGGGCACGAGAGGTGCTGTGGAATGGCGCTCTGTGCAGGTCCTCAGATGAGCCTTAGTGCTACGGTTTTTCCTGATTGTCATTGCTTGAAGCGACGGAAGCTTGAAGCGACAAACACTCCTTGGTGTTCCTTCTGCAGATGTGGAGCTTGCAGAGCAGCGCATCGCCGAAATTACGATGGCTAAAGATGCTGAGATTGAGAAGCGGGTTGCATCAGCCTTGGACGGGCAGGTATGGTCGGCGCAGCATGCATGAATGCATGGCCTCGGACCCAAGGTGTTCCGTACGAGGAGTGCCAATGATGCACAAAGCATGCCCGACGCCCGTTGCCCAGCGGTCCGGCAGTAGCCAACCTGTGATGTAGTAATGAGGCCTCGTCTATCCTTTCCGCGCTTGCTCAGGTGGATGCTTCCCAGCTTCATGAGATGCAGGCCCGAGCTACATGTGCCGAGAGTAAAGTGGCACACCTCGAAGCCCAGGTCGAAACCCTGCAGGTGCGGAGTCCTGGATGCGTGAGACCTGCAAGTGACACGCTTTTTCCAGATCTGACATGCATGATGCACTTCCTGGCAAGCAGCGCGTTACAATGTCAACTGCGTACATAACTGAATAAGCGAGAGCCAGGCTGCCTGCCTTTCGTGGCGGGCGGGAAAGGAGTAGTAAAGTTTGCATCGCCTGTGAGGCTCTGGATTGGCCTCAGGTAGAGTGTTAAGGAGAGCTGCGACGTTTCCTGTCTGTTCATGGGTTCTTGCCTGTGCAGGAAGCACTGACAGCATCGCAGGCGCAGGTGAAGGAGCTGGAAGACTTGCGGGACGTGACAGGTGCGGCAGTGGCCTCCCTAGAGGCAACCTTGGCGCGTATCGAGAAGCAGGCGACATCCTCCACCGCCGGAAGCACTACGGGACCATCCAATGCTGCGACCGGTCGCGGTGGAAGCAGCGGTTTGTCAGGCAGCTCTCGTCGCGTGCCGGCGTCGGGAAGCTCAGGGTAAGTTGGTACAACTGGCTCTCGATGGACTGTTTAAAATTGCTGCCAGCAGCCTGCGCTGCACGGACACGTTTTACACACGTGCAACGTGCACACATGTTTTGTGGTGCCCAGCGTCGCCTATACTGCATGTTTGGTGCTGTGGGGCGCGTGCTAAGAATGCATTCTGTGCCTGGAGAGCGTCGGAATCGACGCCACCGCATGCCCCAAGCCTGTTAGGTGACGGTCGCCTGGACTATGTGCACTGCAGGGTTCCGTCGGCTGCAAGCACGCTCCCCTCGCAACCAAGCTTGTCGTCAGCGGCGGCTTGCGAGCAGCCACCCCAAGGACTGGCGGGACTGTCCCGGGAGATCATGCGCGCCAAGATGGCCGAGGCCGAGGCCGTACGGAAGATGCGCATAGCTGCAAGGTAGGTAGGGTACGTGGTGCTACAAGGCGCCGTGGAACGTCAGGGCTAGTACACGCCCATTTTCCGATTACTTATCCGTCTTCCAGGAAAGGAAATGAGCATTCTTAGGGGGATCGTGGTTCAACCGCACTGCCAAATGCAGTGTCTCCATATCCGGGCGCATGAGACACAACCCGGTGGCATTAGAAGATGATCCATAGCAGCCCTTTGCCCGCGGGTCTGCTGATATCAATCTTGTTGCTGCCGCTGCAGGAGTGAGGTAGACTTGCGGCAGAAGCTGCTGCAGCGTGACGAGCGCATCTCTGAGCTGAAAGAGCAGCTGGCGGCCAAGACACGGTCGCTGGAGGAGCTGCGGCGTAGGACATATCCCGGGGATATAGTACCTTACAGCAAGGCTGCGCCTGGGGGCTCTGTCTCCGCAGGGGGGACTAAGGCCGCGTTCCGGAGCCGCTCACCTTCACCCAGCAGGGTGCGTTTTAAACAGCCTTTGTTGGAAATGCTGCGTCTAATACTAGATTAATACCTACACTAGATTATGGAGCTAAGGGTTCCTTCTGTTGATGTATGGATGATTCCTATTGCAGTGGACGGGAAGAGATTCGCAGTGGCATGCGTGCTGCATCGCTTGCATGAAGGGAACAGCGCCTGCTTTTGCCTAGCTTTTAGCAACGAACAAGCTTGCACCGACGTGCCAATTCGCGACCCTTTTCTCCTCGCAGGCCGCTGCCCGTCCCGGTGTCGCTGTGCCACGCCGATCAGGTGCAGAGTCATGTTCCTCCGATACCCGTCTGGCCGCAGACGTCATTGACTCGGAGTACCTGACAGAGCAAGTGGCGCAGCTGCGAGTGGATGTGGCGAAGCGCCAGGCGGAAATCGAGCGGCTGCAAGGTGTGTACAACCTTGGATTGTCATTCCTGCAGAGACGGAATGTTGACATTGGGTAGGGCATAGGAGAAGGTGGCCCCAAGAACATGTCACAAAACTGAGTCGGTTGAGTTTCTACAGAAACGCTTTCCGTCGTTGTACGCAACGTCATACGTGTGTATGATTTTACTGTGAGGTTGCATTGTCTTGCTTCAGGCGCCTTGGCGGAGGCTAATGCTGCAGCTGTGGTGCGCATTGAGGTCCCCAGGCCGCCCGCGGCGCCTCCCAAGCCGGGTATACAAGCTAACAGCAACCTATCCGTTGATAGACTCAAGGTACGCCCTGTTGAAGGTGATCAGGACACCTCATACGCCGTCTGGGCACACGCAGAAGCTCCACCAGGCCACGATGGGGAGCAGACCCCACCTGCGTCGGTGCTGCGTGCTCACCAGAGGGCTTTTGGCCCCATAATAAAGTCCTTCAGCTTGCCCGTGCATCCTTTATTTACCTCTGTTCAGTCCTGCGGTGATAATGAGATCCTTAGTTGTGCACCTTGTTCGTTTGTTGTCCATCTCATGCCATTATGCCAACACAGGATCAGCTGGCTACAGCAAACGCGGAGATCGCATCCGCACTTAGCACTGCAAACAGCCTGTTGGTGCGCCTGCAGCACCAGGGCCCGGCCCTTGGCGGTCCAGTGGCTGGGCCGCTCAACGGCACCAGGCGGGTGGCCAGCCCGGCGCGGCGTACAACATCAGCTCCAAGTTCCCTGCAGCCGTCGGAGGCGTCCCTGGCCCCGGGGGTGCTGTCCGGCGTCATGCAACAACTAGCAGCTGCGCTGCGGGCAATCAAGGTGGACAGGGCCATACTCGCCTTGCCAGCACCAGGTGCGTGTATCATGAGTGATGGTGCGTGGCGGAAAGTTGGTCCAGTGGGGAGGGAGTGCTTCAGCCATGCTTCATGCATCCCTACGAATCTTTACCCAAGCGGGATGCTGTTGGTTCCTTCTTTGTTTACCTTTCTGGCGGCGAAAGGTATATAGAGCTTTGCGCATGATTTGTTGGGCATGTCCCCTTTAGCGTATGGAGCATGGTCTCAAGGCTAAAGCTGGGTCTCTTTCCTTGCAGGTCTAGCCAGGGCAGGAGGCAGCCCCATCAAAGACGGCTTGAGCGGCGAGCTTTCGCCCGCAAGGTCGGCAGCAACACGAACAGCAGCGGCTACACAGACCATCAGTGGGCCGGACAGCGCACTGACACAGGGGTCGAGCCTGGGTGTTTTCGACGAGCTTGTCAGGCTTAAGGAAGATTATCGGGCCATGGTGCAGCAACGGGAGGATGTGAGCTTCCAATGCAGCCTCTTAGAGGGCGAAGTGCAGCGGTGCAGAGAGCTGATGAGGAAGCTCCAGGCGTCGGCTGGCAAAGACGACGTCGGTCAGGACGCGGACCAGGTAGGCTGCAGTGGTGCCACGGGAGCCTGTCGTAGGTGCAGCACATTGTAGGAGCACATTTTTGCTGCTTTGTGAGCACCATGTGCGGACCGTTGGGACTCCACATGGGTCATTGCGAACATGCCTCTTATGTTGCCAGTTGCCGTAGCTCTTACTACCCTCTTCTAGCCCTGTGCATGTGATGATATGATTGGTACGAACGCAGCCGTCCAGGATTGTCGGTGCATCACAGCTGTCCAGCATCCTGGAAAGAAGCATCGGAGCTCTTCATTCGCTGTGCAACCGGATGCAAGTCGCCGCTCCAACGCAAGCCGTTCAGGCGGATGTCCGTCAGGTGGGCGATCCGAGTAGCGAGCTGGGTGTGTCCTGTTGGGCTGTACTTTTGCCGAGCTGAGTCATTTGAGCCGTGGGCACGTTTGGGTTTACGTGGGGATGCGCGCGTATGGACCTAGAAGGAAACCTCCTTAACCTGCTGCCCTGATGACTGCAGATGCTTGGCCGGCTAGTGTCGGAGTTGCATACGATGGATACTACGGTGGGGATGCTGAAGGTGGAGCTGTGTAGCTTGGCCGAGGCAAGTCCGCGGCCTGCTTGGCAGGGGCGGGGAGACCTTTGTGCGTGTCCTATTTGTCAATTTAGGGAGACCCGGTCCCAAGTGCTAGCCAGGCCTGCCCGCACCCCATCCCAACCGGGTGTAACCAGCCCCGGTGGGCAAATAGGACTGGGTCACGATTGTTTCATGCCTGAATTTTCTACACCTGCCGGAAGAGCATAAGGTCTTACTTTCCCAGCAGCTTCTTTGCTGCATGCATGCTGCGGAGATTTTCCCTCCTGGAAACGCTGTGGATGATGCGAGTACCGTTGCGTGCACCATATCAGGTCCTGCCCAAGCGGGGTGATGCCGAGCCGTCATCTCCCCGCGCCACAAGCACGCCGGCGACATCTGGACTGAGCTACACACTGCCGTCTGAGATCGCTCCCTACCAGATCACAGGTCTGCACTCCGAAGCTGATTGGGAATGTGGGGGACCAACCCTCCCAGTTGCACACATCATGGAGTGACTGTCCCGTTGCACACCTGAAACCAGGCTAACGCTCATGTTGTCACGTGCGAAGGTCTTGCAAGTCACGCGGGCTTTCCATTAGCGCTTTCACATGGTCGTTTGGCCGTGCGTGCATGACTCCTCATCACTGCCGTTTGTGCGTGGTCGCAGGTTTGGCTGTCCAAACCAGTTCCCAGTCCGTTTTGGCACATGTGCCGTCTTCAGTGGCACACGACACTGGGGTGTGTGCCACACCGTCTTCGGAACAGACCCCGGGCACCTGGCTCAGCTGGGAGTCCTCGTGCTCAGCCCACGCTGCAGGTGACATGCAGCAAGCCGGTAAGCCCGCTGTGGAGACCTCGGAAACGGGCCTGGCGGCATGCACAGATGCAGGTTACGACCGCGGGGCACTGGACCAGAATTCGTCCGGAAGCAGCGTTGGCAGCCGACCGGGGGCCCCGCATGGGCTTCCACTGTCTGCCAGCGTGAGCGGCAACATGAAGGTTGCTGCCGCTAATAAGCCATCATCGCTGGCAGAGAGCGCCGCGCCTGCTGGTGAGGCGCTGCACGTTGTCGGTTATGAATGGTCTTTCCTAGGGCCTGCCGGGGCGCCGTCTTCCCATTTGAATCTCATGAATCTCATGCTGGCCTTACTGGCGCTATGGATGCAGAATAGTATGTATACGGTCTCGGGGTACGACGAGGTAAGCTGCCATCGAGTCGTGCGGTTGTGTTGACACGCTGCCATGCTTCGCTTGCTGGCGCTGCGTACAGGTGTGCCTCACGCCCAGGTCGTTGCCTTCGCTACGGCAGCCGCCAAGCATAAGGCCCGTGCCGACAAATGGAAGCAGCGCAGCAAGGAGCTTGGAACGCAACTGTCGCTGCTTAACGCGTCAACGGCCGCACGTGAAGCAGCGGCTTCAGAGCGCCGCATCGCGTCAGCACATCAACTTGAAGAGGAGCTGCGCACGTGGCGTGCCGAGGCCGCCAGGTTTGTACTTGTCGACCGGCAAGCAGCATCAGCAGCAACAACAGGCTCGTGACTGCAGCAATTGTGGCTTGCTCCGGCAAAAACCGTCTGCAATAAAACGCTGAGCAGTGTGATACCATGCCCATATCATGGTCACACCTGAATCTTTCGTTTTTGCCCACCTCTCCGTCATTCCCCAGGCTCAGCGCGGAGCTGTCAGGCGCTGAAGCTGCGCGGAAGGAGCTTGAAGCCGCTCACCAGATCAGCGGCAATGAGGTTCAGGCTCTCATGGCCCGCGCTGCTGAGGCTGCTGCGCGTGCAGCTACACTACAGCAGCAGCTTGACGCGGAGCGGGCCAAGGCGGCGAGCGAGCTGGCTTCACACCAGGAAGAAGTGGCGGTGCTCAAGGTGCGACGGGTCTTCTGCACTTCAGCAGCTGCGCAGTGTCCCCGGCTGTTATGGCCTCAACGTTGTAGCCTTGCAGTCCAAATGAGTAGCAGGCCATATCTCCCCGCGCTGCGACGCATGGAGCTTGCATGGTTTACAATGATCTTGCGTCTGTCTCGATACGCAGGCGGCTGTCGCACAGGAGAAGGGAGAGCGGGCGCGGCTGCTGGTGTCCCTGAGAGAGAGCCACACGAACTCGCAGCAAGTGAGGAGGGGAAGGGAAATCGGCGGCGGACAGGAAGCTCAGAAACACGAGGAAGACATACCGCACCTCCACTGCCACCCATGCTGCTCATGGTTCCTGCCTGTTGCCCTTGGTAAGGCGAATGCCACTTTAAATGCGATTGCAATTCAACATGTGACGTACGTGCAGGTCGGTGACACCGAAGCAAGGTTCCGCAACGAGTCGCTGGAGGTGGGTACACAGTGGAATTTTTGGGTGGCGGGGTGGTGCAGCAGGGACATCCGTTCTGTGTACATTTGTAGATGGTGGTCGTGGTTGCGGGCATCCACCAGCCCGCAAATAGAGCCTACGAGCCGTGCTGCCATTCCGCGCGCAACCGCAGGCTCATGCTGCTGCTGCCGCCGCCCGGGCCACTGCTGAACGAGCTGAGGAGCGCGCAGAGGAGTGGCGTGCCGAGGCGGATTCTCTCAGGCAGCGCCTTCAGCAAACAGAGCGGGTGGGTCGCTACCGCTTTTACCTCCACTCCTCTGTCGGTCCCCGCAGTCAGGTCCTGCATAACGCACGACGCAGCGGCAAGCTAAAAAGCACTAGCGGCGCTGTACACTCTTCTTATTTTTAGGGGGACCCGTGCATAATGCGCTGTGGAGTGGACAGAACAGGAATACAGACAGAGGGACGGACGGAGAGCCATGGTTTTGCCTTCACCAAGCCCCTGGATCTGCTTTATGTTGCTGTGTTAGGAGGCAAGACTGTCGCCTGTTGCCGCCTTGTGTCCCGCACTCTCCTCTGTAGAGCCGCTTGAATCTCATTTCCAGCCTAGAGGTCCGTCTAGCGGCGGCGGAGCGACGCGCTGCAGAATGCGGTGTGCGTGCGGCTGCGCGTGTGGAGGAGCTGTCCGCGCAGCTTGCGGCGGCCCAGGCAGAGACCAAGGCAATGCCCCGCCTGTTGGAAGCCAAGCTGGTCGAGATGGAGTCGCAGCTGGCGGGCTTGGAGGTACGGTAGACGGCCGGGGCGGGAGGGACACAGCCCAAGCACCACTCGGTGGTACCGATACCTGCACCACGGTTGATGGCATGCAAGCACTCTCTGACTCCTGATATTGCCTAGTGTCCATGCAGCATTATCAAGCATGATTTTTTGTGTAGTGTAGTGTAGTGTAGTGTAGTGTAGTGTAGTGTAGTGTCGTATCTGCCGTGCTCTTTCGTGCTAAAACCGCAGGCTCGTACCGGGGCCGCACGGCAGGCCACACTTAGCGACGTCCAGGTCGGCAGGTGGAATGCGGTGACAAGGATGTTGCGGTACAAAGCTATAATAAAGCAGCTTCAGGTAGGCTGTAATTTAAAGGTTGCCAGCAGGTACAAAGCCTGACCGTGTCATGAATTATATGACATCCGGTGCCGCACTGTGTTTGATTTTGCTTCCCAATACGCACGACGCACCCTCAGGGGGCCACCGCCAAAACGCGGGAAAGACATGCACTCGTTATTTGCATGGCACTGTGGACCTTTCGCCAGCACCGAAATAGACGTGCCATTGTTCTTTTGCCCGCAGGCTGACGTAGAGGTTCGGCAAGCTGAATGGGACAGAGAGAAGGCCGAATTGCAGGTATGGAATTACCAGAGGCGCCAAGGGGTGATAGTGGGGTCGCACGTGTTCGTGTGTCATCTGTCAAGCTTTGGAGTGCGTGGAATCACGAAGAGCTGGGTAGGCAACAAGGGCTCAAATTACGTCTCAGAAGCCAGCCAAAGCTGCTTTACTAAGGCTGTTTGACCAGAGAGTGTCGTGGTATTGTCCCGTGGTATCGCCTCCAAGGCAAGGCAGCGTTAGCGCACTCGTAAAGACCGTTAGGGGACTACCAGGGCTTCAAGCAGGAAATTAGTAAGGTGGCCAAGTCCATTCAAAGTAGCTGAGGAGTCGCCAACGGCTTTTCCCGCAGCCAATAGCACCACCGTGATGTGCGCACGATCTTTCTTCACTCGGGGCCCTGCAGGCCACCACCAGCGCGGCGGTCGGCCGTAGTGACTCCATAGCAGCTGACCTGGCGGAAGTGCGTAAGCAGACGCAGGAGCTGCAGACCGCGGTTGACGCTAACCGGCAGCAGCTCACGGCACGCCATGCGGCTCAACTGCAGGTATGCGTGAGGGCATCCGACGGACCTGTCTTCCACTCCGTTGCCACGGGCTAGGGGCGTCTGGCTGATGCCCACTGGGCCCATGGAACCGGGCTGCACAATACTATCCCCCCAGCTGCCGCTCTTGCAGTGCAATTTTGGGTCGCATGACATCCGAGGCAACTGTCCCCACCTTGTTCGGGAGCAATTACCAGTGGAGCGAAGAAGCCCTTAACACCACACACGGGACCCTCAGGAACTGCAGCGCCAGATCGAGCAGGAGCGTCGCCGCTTCGCGGAGCAATCCATCGCCAAGGCAGAGGCCGCAATCGCCGCCAGTGAGCGGGCTGCTGAGGAGGCCATGACGGTGCGCCTCGCTACGCTGGAGGGTGACTATGCGCGCCGGCTGTCTCAGCTGGACACGGCACGCTTGGAGCTGGTGCGGGAGCTGGAGCTGGTGCAGGCGCAGTTCAGGTGAGCGTCCAAGCACAAGTACGGGGAAGTACTGGGACGTGGATTTGCTGATAACTTGATTCTCAAGGGCCAAGTAATCGGGTCGGGCCGCGTTTGAAGGTGGCTTGCACATATACGGTGGCAGTGTTCCCTCCACTGCAATCCACTCGTCGTGTCATGTATCCGCCTGCCTGGTTTACATACATGCTGCAGTCAGTACCAAGCACAGAAGGCCACCGAGGTAGCGGCTCTTGAGCAGCGGATCCGCAGCTACATCGACACAGGGGCCGCAGGGCCTGGCGTGGCCGCGCGCCAAGCCACCACCACCAGCGCCACCTGCCCCCCTTGCTCCTCCTCCGACGGCCCTCACCTGGCCGGTGACTCCACCATCACAGGCGGCGCACATATGCGGCGGAGCAGCGCCTCCGTGCACCGCAGCCTGCGTCGCCATGGCTGTGTGCTCCTCGCCGCCCGCCGCCGAAGCCGCAGTGGAGGATCGGGCCAGAGTGCATCTGAGGGCGCTGCTCTCACCCGGGGCGCAGCAATCGCGAAAGCGGCTGCCGCGGCGGCAGCGCAGCCCGTTGCGACCTTCCCCGTCAGCGTATCTACCAGTGGAGGCGGCATGGCGGTACCGGGCTTGGGCCAGCAAGCGGTAATTACGCCATCGCAGCTCATGGCGTTGGCTCGTGCGTCGGAGGCACTTGCAGCGGCGCAGCGGGAGACGGTGTTTGAGAGGACGCTGCGTGTGCGCATGGAGACGCAGGCAGAGCTGTTGCGCGGCGCGATGGCGAGGCTGCGGGCCAAGCTGAAGGCGGTATCAGAGCAGCTCGCGGACGTCCGTGCGCGGGCCATTCCTACGGTGAGGATGCAGAGCAGGCATGCCTTATGGGCTTTCAGTGACTGCCAGCTAGTTTTGAAGTAATTACAGGCGTTGCCGCGGTGGATTTAGCCAGGTTTGGGAGTCTGAGGATTAGGTTGCATCTCTCCTTTGTATATTCAACGGCCGGGAAGGCCCCGTGCTTGGGCAACAGGCTCGTGCAGGTGAGCAGGTTGGAAGTTGCATACATGTATCGTGTATGCAGCCCTGAACATGTATTATAACACAAAGGACAGTCACAAAGGGCAGTCACCGGGGCAGGCGAACATGGTGATAAATGGGACGCACCAGTTAACAGCACGCGGCCCTCCAATGTTTGCGGCACGCCAGCGTTGGACCCCGGGTAGGTTCTGTCTTGGTTGCATATCGGCATTTTGAGCCCGATCAAAGCATAACGGCTCGGCAGTCGCCTTCCTCTCCCCCAAAACCCCATTCCCGCCGACCCGTGATTCGCGCCGTTATGGGAGCCACAGGACGAACACCGGCAACTGCAGGCGGAGCTTGCATCGTGCCGTGAGCAGCTGAAGACCGCGCGGGCGGAGAGCGCTCGGCGGCAGAAGGCGCTGCAGGCACTCCAGGTGGGTGGGAAGTCCGCGGAACAGGAACCATTAAAAGCTGCATACATGGGGAATCTCGCAGGTGAAGCAATAACTCCGGTTGGACGCGTTGGAGAGCCGGTCGGCAGGGGAGCTGATTGGTAATTGGAGGATCAGTTTTGTTACGCATAATTGGTCAGGGCCTGCATGATGTGGGGTGGGTGGGTTGAGGCCCGGGTGGTTGGGCGAGATGTGATTGCACACTCTCGCCATATCAGCACACGTCCATTCCAAGGCCTCTGCGCCTCATATGCCAGACGCAATGGGTTGACAAGCTACATATCAATAGTTCCGCTGCTGCCTCTGCACCCTCCTTCTGTCCGCTCCCCTCCAGAGCATAGCCATGGTCCAGCAGGGCCCCCCAGCACAGGCCCTGGACGGCCCGGTCAGCGCCACTTCTTCCGCCGCCGCCATTCCCCCAAGCGCCGCCGCTTTAAGGGCTCGCACCAGCTGCAGGCCCCCAATTGGTGCTGCGACCAGCTCCATCAGCCAGGCATTGCGGTCTGATTTCCTCAACGGTTCAACCGCCGGCATGATGGGCCCTGGGGTCCCCGGGCCTTCCCATCCTGACCCAACAGAGGAACTGAATATGCGGCCGGCGGCGGGCCAGAGCAGCGCTTATGTGGGCGACGATGATCCGTTGGCTGCGGCGCTGGAAGCGGCTGCCGCTAGCGCACGCGTCGCGAACGCCGCGTTGGAGTCGGAGCGGACGGCGCGGCAGGCCACGGAGGCCAAGCTGAAGGAAGCCAAGGCGACGACCGAGCGCAAAGCTGTCTTAATCAGGTCGGGGATGGCTCACACAGCAAGGACAAGGGGGTTGTCGTTCCAGGGGGTATAGGATGGCAGCGTGTTGCGCGGACACATTTTCCGACCTAGCTTTGGTTTTGGGCGAATCCATTTCATCCATCTCCTTCCCGGTGTAAAACGGTTCTCTTTGCATCCGGGGGTGATGTGGTGCCGTACAGGGACCTGAAGCGCCGAGTGGACGAGCTGGAGTCGCATATCCAAAAACAGGTCACTGCCGCTAGCGAGGAGTCAAACGCCGAGTCACGTGCTCGATCCCTGGCGGCAGCGATGGCTCGTAAGGACGTCGTCATCAAGGAGCTCCGGGAGCGGCTGGAAGCGGCCCAGGCATCGCTGGCGGCCGGCAATGCTGCGGCGGAGGCGGGTGGTGAGGAGCTGGAGGCGGCGAAACGCGCCAGCGCCCGGCTCAAGACGGACTTGGCCAAGCGGGAGGCGGCTCTGCGAAACGCGCTCTCTGACCTTGAAAAGGTAGACCGCTACATGACGGGCGTTCACCGGTCACGGCCAGACAGCGGGCAAAGTGTTGACACGGTTGTACGGTACGGCGCTTGTGTGCTCTGCCGTAAGGCCGCGTTTGATTTTGGTGCAGAGAATCGCATCAGGTGAATGGAAATACTGACCGTGCGAAAGAACTTCCAATTAAATGGACAAGAAAATGCGCCGTTGCGGGCCTCTTACGACGAGCAGGTCGCGCGCTCCATCTACTGCCACCGTCCGGCTTCTAATGCCTCTCCCGGCCCCGCTGCCAAACCCACCCGCCTCAGGAACGGAGCCAGCTGGCGGGTGTCACCAAGCAACTTGACTCACTGACGCGGCGAGAGACAGCCGCGCGGGGGCAGGCGGCGGCCGTCACAAGCTGCCTGTTCCGGCGCGCAACCGAGCTCTTGGATGCCCTACGCGGCATGTCACGGGTGCTGCTGCAAGCCCTCGCGGCTATGGGTGGTGCGACTGACCGATTGCTTCAGCAGCCGCATGGGAGCACAGGTTCGATGGCGCTGCAGGCTCCGCCACTAGGCGCAGGTGCTGCAGGCGTGACAACGGTTAAAACGTCGCCGGCGGCAGGATCGACGACCTCGGTGGCTGCATGCCGGGCTATGTCAGCTCAAGATATTTCGGTGCTGACTAGTTTATCTGTAGAGGATGTTCAGCACTTGCTGGGGTCAGAAGCAGGTGACCTGGCGTTAATGTTGGGGCTGCAGCATGGCGGGGCCAGCAGTAATGGCAGATCGACCGCGACAACCCTGGAGACAGCGCGGCGGGTGGGCGAGCTCTTGTCGATGCTGGAGGCAGCGCTGGCGGTGACGGCGACGGCAGCGGCTGCTGCTGCTGCAGAGAGGGGTGCAGCTGGGCAGGTAGGCATGGGCAGACGTAAAGGTTCTAGAAGGTTCCAGTAGCCTGTGGGAAGGTTCTAGGAGCCTGTCATTTATTGTGTATATATATAATTTATGTGTGTACGTATGTAATTGTATGTGTATGCTCTGTGTGTAGGGTGCATGTGCACGAATCACGATTACCACGGGGCAGAGAAGAAAACCGCAAATTGAAGCCTCAACGTTTTGTTCTCGTAAAGTGGGGCGGTGTGTTGAAATGAACTGAGCCACGAAAAGTACATACAGGCTGAAAAAGTCACATGCAGGATGGTAACGAGGCGGATGTGTGTGCAGGGTGCATCAGAGCACCGCTACACCCCGTTGGATGTTACGCAACGCACCATGTGTCAACACATGTGACGCGCGCAGGACACCTTGAAGGATGTGGATAATGCCCAAGGCGAGGATGAGCAGCTCCGAGACCAGCTCCTGGCTGCTGTAGCCACGGCTCCAGATCCCGCAGTTGCCGCAGCGGCGGTGTTGAACAGCCGGGCGCGTGCCGGAAGAGCTAATACTGCTGTGGTGGCAGAAGCTTCAGGAAATCCTAAGTCTTTAGGTGGGCGTCGCGTCAACGGGACAGGACGTGCTGGATTAGGGTCGACCGGAGGAGGTGTCGCAAATGGAAATATAATTGACCCATGGGACAGCCGAACGTTGCAGACGCTCGTGGAGGTGGTTCAGGCAGAAGCGCAACGTGCGGAGTCGGAGTTGGCATCAGCATTAAAGGGTACTGGCAGTCTTTGACATTAGCGATGGGTGTTATTGTCGAGGAAGGTGGATTGTCAGGATACGTGCCAAGAGTTAGATTGAGACTTTCACGCCAATATTCCCTGTATGTTACATGTCAAACGTCAAAGCAACGGTGCTACAGCACGTCAGGATAGGGCGTTACTCGTTTTGTTGCTTACAGGCGTTTACTATTGTCATACTAAGCATTGTTTCCGATTGCGGAGGCTTGGCATTGTATATCAAATGTTCAGCATGAACGATATGCTACATTCCAAGGTTTCTTATCGTCCCCTGCATCTGCACGACCATCGCCTGTACAAAGACACCTGAGAGTTACTGTTTTAAGGTGACAAAGGTGAATCCTCTCCTCAAAAGTGCCTCTACTTGGTCCGTGTGAATATTATGACACCAGCATACTGTTGACATGGACGACAGTCTGCGCCGTGGCACAGGAAGAGATGGATGTGGGGGAGACGATCAGAACGGAACGGAGTTTGGCCGAGCGGTCCATTACTGACTCATCTCCGTCCCATCTCCTTCCATATGGTGTATATGCATGCGCTGAAGGATAGGTTGAGGACACGAGATGGGTATGTAATCCTTTTTTTGTTCCCCACCGCCGTAGCGATGTATTGATCGGCCCAGATGAAGCCCCGCCCGGACGGCGCAGCCGTCGCAGACGACGATGCCGTCAACACCAGCGCCGAATTTACGCAAATTAAGACACGCTGCGATTCTGCGATTTTGCCGTCCTACGCATGTATGACCTTGCACGTACGGCCTATGCATGTACGGCCGATCAATAGACGCAGTTACCTCCCTCACGCGGTCCAACTATTCCCCTCTCCCCCTCTCACACCAACCACAGTAAGCGGTAGCATTGAGGGCAAATACACAAAATCCTGGTGAACTCCCGCCAAAAAGGACGAGAGAAGGAAAGCGTGCAAATACACAAAATCCTGGTGAACTCCCGCCAAAAAGGACGAGAGAAGGAAAGCGTGCTGGACGAGAGTGTTCCTCTATCCGCGGACGGAACCCCTCCTGTTATGCCGAGGCCGCAGCGTGTGGTGTGATACCGTTTAATCCCGAGCCCGGCAGCCACGGCGACCCGGGGCCGCTACCGTCGTCGCCGCTGCAGCAGCTGCACCTACGGCGACGTTGGTGACTTTGGCGGCGCGTCGACCATCTGGCTGATCGTTTTGCTTTCTTGCAGCGGTGGCGCCGGATGAGGCATCCGCTGCTTCAGGGGCGCCAGCGGCAGCGGCGCCGCTACCACGGCGCTTTGGGGCGGATCCGGCTAGACCATGTTCCCGCAACACCTGTGCAGGCCGCCCGCCAGTACCGCCCCAGTATCGCGTTTGCATGTCAGTATGTATGTATTTATACTGTTTGCAAGAGAATAGATTGTGTCACCACGCAGCACGCGCGAGTTTCACGGATACCGCCCGCACTATACATCTTTGCATTTCATACGTTTATTCGGAACTACCATAACACGTCGTACACATGCCGCACACATGCGTTCCTGGGCTGAGTGGCGGGAGGGCGAGTGAAGGAAGCGGCAGGCGGGCAAAACGAAGCTGTATGTCCAAGTGGCCATTCTCGACCCACGAGTCGTCCTCCTTCCCCGCTAAATGGCCCCTTAGGGAATCAATCACACAGAAAGCCGCAACAAAACGTAGAAGGAAAGAATGGAAGGAAGATAACCGCAGAGGAGCCATTCACCTGATCGACCATAGATGGCGCCACAAACGCCGTCTTAGGACCGTCCAGAGTCCTCAACCTGTCGCGAGGTGTTGAACATTGTTGCACCGACACCGCATACATGTTACGGTAATGAATGGCCATGTACGGCAGTGAACAAGGAGTACGACAGATGACGAGTGCGGGTGCAGGGACAGGTGTACGCACCAGGGAGAGCTTGGCAAAGAAATCCACGTCGCGGCTGCTCTTGTGATGATGGTGGTGGTGGCGGTGATGGCGGTGATGGTGGTGGTGACGGTGATGGTGGTGGTGGTGGTAATAATGGTGATGGTGGTCATGCCGACACACCGCCCTATTGTGAAACGGGTGGAGTAGCTAGCTTGGCAGGACAGCTTAGTTAGGAACATGCCAGGACAACATGCCTGACTAGGAAATAAGTATACGGGCGTGAAACTTTTTCTCACTCTTTTCACTCAAATTTACCTAAGCAGCGGCCAGGACGCGTAGTCTGGCAGTAGTAGGGAGTCACCCGGCGGCTGTCGTGTAGTAGTGGAAGCGGCGGCGGCCGGGGTGATGGCGGCAATCCGCAGATGGCCAAAGCGGGTAATTATTTTTTATTGCCATCGTTGTCGTATTTGCATTGGGTGATTGTCCAGGGGGGGTCAGAGGGCGGGAAGGGGGTTAACACGGACGGGGGTTGCAGCCACCAGGGAATGGAGAGCGCGGTGTGGGGCCCGGGGGGTTGTGGAAGTAAGGGGGCCGCGGCGTGCTAAGACCCCTGGTGTGGTGTTGCTGTCGTAATACCTAGATGAGGTCGGGTACCACGGAATACAGTCTGTATACATACATACAGATGGGGGCCGCTGGTGAAGCTATACCAACTTGTAACAACATACATGCAGATATACATACAGATATACACCCATTTAACTACACACGAACAGACGCAAGTACGTATCTCCGTACACACCTCCTCTCTCGCACCCCCCTGCCCACCCCCCGGAGCTGCATATGGACACTGTTTCTGTACCTGATGCGGTTCTGCAGGGAGGACGTCGCCATGCGGCCCTACCCGATGCTGCGATTCCTCCTGCCCTTGGGCCGGTTGCGGTTGCGGTTGCGGTTGCGACATGTCCATGGGTTCCTGCGTTGGCGTCGGCAGCGCCAGGCCTTGCGACTGCGACGGCGGCTGCTGCTGCTGCTGCTGCGACATCTCCATTACATCCGGTGCTGCTGTTGCGTCAGCTGTACCTCCTGTGGCATCCTCGAATGCACCATCGCCAGCGCCGGCAGCTGCGGCGCTTCGTTGAGTCGCCGCCGCCGCCGCCGCCGCTCTGGCCGTCGCCGCGGCTTCCAGCAACTCCGCCGCCGCCTCTAGCTGCGCCCGACTGCTCGGGGGAAGAGCTCGACCTGGATGGAGCCAGCCAGCCCGGTCAATAAGCCAGTCAATTACCAATCAGCCAAGCACAAACGGACGGACAGACAGGCATACGGACAGGTCAATTGACGGACAGACAGACAGACAGGTCGATGGACAGACTGTCAGACAGACTGACAGACAGGGGGAGTCCGCGAAGAGGGTTTCAAGAGGGTATCACGGGCGCCGCGCTGTGTGGATAAAACGTATTGGAAAAGCTGACTGACCGGACGTCTGAAACTGGAAGCCACTTAAGATGGCGGTGCGACGGTGGGTGGATGGATGGATGGATGGATGGATGGGTGGATGGATGGATGGATGGGTGGATGGATGGATCAGAAACAAACCGAACCCCGAAGGGAAATCCAAGGGGTTTGCGGACGGGCGCCCTATCGATGAGCGATAGCGCCTGATGGACTGCCCCCGATACTGCACCCGAGACCTCCACTGCGTGACCCCCAATCACAAGCCTGCTGGCCTCCCGCCGCAGCTAACCTAGCCGTGACCTAGCGCGTGGAGGAGTGGCCTGGAGGGTTCGGCACCGTTCTGCCGTGGAGGACCCCCTGCTGGCTTAAAACAAAATCCGATTTGGGTCACCTGATTTTGATGACAGCCGATTTGGGTCGTCACTGCCTGATTTGGTTCAGAATTCTTCCGGAAACTACAGATACCAAAAAAGGGACTCGTCTCAAAAAGGATTCTCAAAAAGGACCTTCAAGGCTTTTCTCATTAATCAACTGCGACATGAGAAGTGATATAATTTTACAGGTTCCTGTCCCTTACCTGCCGCCGTAAACAGCTGATATTTGATGACCGTCAGGTCGTTGTGCGGGAAGGCGGGCGCAGCGTCGATGCTGCCGGGCCTCAGTCGTTGCCGCGGTAATGGCGGTGGTGCTGGTGCAGGTGGCGGCAATGCAAAGGTTGAAGCAGCAGCAGCAACACCGTCCATTGGAGCTGAAGTTGCGCCGGCTTCCGGGCGCATGGAGTTGCCAAGGTTGCCGCCTGGGGCGCGTTGCGTGCGTGCGTGCGTCGGACAAACTGATCACGCACATGTGGCATATCCACTGTGCTTGCGGACTGCGAACATGATTTTGCTTGTTACCATCACGCGCTTGGCCGTGATCAGGATTGAGGTAGTTCTCAGCAGAGCGAAGACTCTCGGTCTTGTATATACAACAATCAAAAGCGCAGCTTGGTCATGATGAACATCGCAGCGTTGTCACACAAACCGCTCAGGGGCTTTCCGGTTCAACGCTTTGCTACTATCAGAGAGGAATGATAGTAGATGATAGTGGAGAGGAGACCAAAGTTTTACATGCGCGCAATTGCGTACAGGCAAAGGTTTCCAACGCATGCAAGCTCCAACCCACGCACCTAGAGGTTCAAGCCCCAGATGTTGGCCAGATTGTTGACTTGCCCCAGCAGGTCTGACTTCCAGCCGCGGCCCTGCCACCTGCCTATTTGTGCCTTGGAAAAGGTTGTTGTTTTCCGCTATTGCGCTTTTGGTTTGAAAACGGCCGGATCGTGGTCTGAGTTCCATTTTCTGTCCTCAAGGCAGCAACGCGGGGGTTGACAACGAATCACTCCACGCGCGCTTTATCATAAATTTCGTTGCATTGCCATCGTTGCACGACAGCTAGCCACGTGGCAGGTAGCCACACATTTAAGGGGTTGATGCCCCGGTGGAGCTGCGTTGTTGGCCTAAAGCTTTAGCATTTAGTCCTCGCACTGTGCCGCAAAATCAATGACCCGTGGACCATAAAGGTCTTCGAGTTGTGCGGTATGCACAACGAAGGTTAAGACGTGTGTTGGTAAATTTTAGCTATAAACATATATTACGTATGAAAGTGATTGTTACTGGCGTTCGCTTATATATATGCCATGCATGCCGGATTCAATACGCCAACACTTGCACGCATGCGGTGCACGTTGGCAAATGTAGATTAAAAATGGTGCCTAATGGCGCCTCCATAACAATAAAGGCTCTACTGGGCACAAGGATGCAAACTAGGAGGCCGGCTTAGCGGAATGTAATTTCAGCAGGGTTCATACCCGGTCGTATGCAGCAAGGGAATACCGCGCCAACGCCAGGACGCTGTACGATGTTCAACGCGTTAAGCGAATGCATGCGGGGACCTGTACGGACCAGGGACAATCCCACGCGCAGCGCACCAAGTCCGCAAGAGCCCCTAGGTGAAGTTGCACAGCGCCCATTCCTCAATGAAGGGCATAATTATACCAGATGAAAGTCCCGGAGCAACGGTATAGCCTTATCCGTGCACCAAATTGCGATTTCACGTTATGTTGCAAACGCGCAGGAGCTCGTAAACCTCTCATGGACCGCGAGTCAACGCGAAAAGTAAAAGAAGGGAACGTGCTAAAGAACGCATCGACAATCTTATATAGATAGGAGTTATTCATTGCGTCAAGGTATTGTTATGTCATGTTATGTTATGTTCGCGAGAGCTTGTACGGCCCAGACGAGCCAGCTGGCTCATGGACCGCGAATTCTAGCGTACTTGAAAAAACGAAAGGAAATCAAAAGATAAAAGAAGGAAAAAGGGGTTATGAGCCCCATCTGCGAGAGAAAAACAGTATTAGAGGAAGCACCTCAGGCTTACTCAGGCTTACTACTCGGCTATCAGCGTGCGTCGCCTCATCCAGATGTTGTGAGCAATCTGCACAAGTCCACGCGCATCATCTAACTCCATCACAGACCTCATATTTAGGCACGGCTCGATGTCAGCCTGGCGTACACCTAGGTCGCCGTAGGTCGTTGTAGGCGGGACGCTCTAGCAGCACGCGAAACTCATTTTCTACTGCATTGTTATTGCCACAGTCCCTACACCAGCGCTCCTGGCAAGGTTATTAGGCAGTTCCCGGCTTTGTACGGGGGCAGTTGAAACGCAGTACACGGGAAGCTGAGGTGCCATCAAGCGCATGGCCCAATGCTGTAGAAGTTATGTTTCTTGAGGTAGTGTCCTAAACCTATAAATATGAATTATATTATTGTTGTTTATTCCTTAAGGAATACGCATAATGGATCCGTAAACGCTACGTACGGCCCTAAGTTGGTAGAGCGCTTAGCATAGTGCTTTCAAGTAAAACGACCTGCTACCACAGAGCAAATCACTTGGAACAGTGTTTTATTATAATGCTCGGCAAGCTTGAGGCCAGTAAGGAGGGACTGCGACCTGTGTAGGCCCTGCCATGTGCACAACAGCGCCGACACACCGGCGTGACTTTTCATTCCAGTGACACAGAGATTTAACCACATGCAAATCTCCTGACATTAAGCTTAAGTTATCGGTACGTATATTGCCTGCGGTTCTGAAACGTGAAGTCAGAGATAGGTAGCGTATTCATGCTGTAGCAAAGGCTTATCCTTGACTCGACCAAAACTGAATGAAGATTAGCTGTAGAAATGCACTAGAAGCTGTAAGTATCTAAACACGCATCCAACTCATAGTGAACGTAGCTGTACTACGGAAGGCCGTAGACATCCGCGACGAGCACGCGCTTGGTTAAACTGCAAGCTGCTCACGCCACAAGGACTCCAAAAAGTTTTGCCTTAATGAAAAATATATTCTGGCACAACCATGCCTTAAGCGCTTCAGCAGCTTCTGTACTCTTTCTCTGGTAGCCAATTTCAGCATGACTTAAACAAAGTTTCTTCATGATATTGCAAAAGCCCCTATATTTCAATATAGCTTTGGCTTTCTGGACACTATGGTTGCAAATACCGCTGTTCGTAAACGGCATGGGCGCTGGGCCAAATTTTACGGACCCTGTTTTTGGTAAACAGCGCAGCAACGACGACGTCCTGACACGTGCTTTGACCCAATACACCAGATACAACGGGCTTGTACTCGCGCAGCAGCGTCAAAGGAACCTCCAAAGCAGCTCCCTCGCTGAAGGCCTCATCCATGACCCCAACAAGCGCACCAGCCCACCGCTGACCGTGGCCAGCACCGGCAAAAGCGAGCGGAATGTAGTGGCGCTTGATCCCTACCCCAACAGAACCGGCCCGGCGCAGCCTAAGCCGGGGATTGAGGTGGACCCAGCAGGCGGCAGGCACCTCGGGGGTTCTCTGTCTGGGGAGCTGCTGCCGGCTCACCATGCGAAGCGCTCCCTTGTTGCTTCCTTGTGAGTGTGAACCCCTAGAGGCCTCACTCACCCCGTACCCCTCACTCCTCACCCCTCAACCCAGCTCCAATCCGGCGGTCATACATGTTCTGTGGAGCCATTGGGTTAGCTAGTAGCTAGTGGTAAAGGCCAGTTGGTGCCCTCAGGGTGATGAGCGGCTCAGTGGGGCCGGAGGGCTTTCCCAACCCGCAGCCACCCGCAGCCACCGGCGCTGCGGAGGCGGTGGCGCAGTGGGGCGGTGGCGATGAAGGACTGTGGTGGTGGCGGCGGCAGGGCAGGGGCTGACTCGTGGCCCTCCTCCTCCTCTTCCTTCACCTACTGGGCAGGTGGTGGTTGTGGTTGTGTTTTGCTGTACATCCCCACCGCTCGCACCCCCATTATTTGGTTTCCATTTTCATATCCCGCAGATCGTTTAACCTCCTTAATTTCTGTCCGTCGCCTGATCGCTGTGAACTCGTCATGCAGGCACAATTCAGAATCTCCACCACCACCACCACCACCACCACCACCACCACCACCACCACCACCGCCGCTGCCGCCGTGGCTGCAGCCGCTGCCGGCCGCAACTCTGGCCGATCCGCCGCCGCTGCCGCCGTGGCTGCAGCCGCCGCCGGCCGCAACTCTGGCCGATCCGCCGCCGCTGCCGCCGTGGCTGCAGCCGCTGCCTGCCGCAACTCTGGCCGATCCGCCGCCGCTGCCGCCGTGGCTGCAGCCGCCGCCTGCCGCAACTCTGGCCGATCCGCCGCCGCCGCGGTCGCCGTGGCTGCAGCCGCCGCCTGCCGCAACTCTGGCCTATCCGCCGCCGCCGCTGCCGCCGTGGCTGCAGCCGCCGCCTGCCGCAACTCTGGCCTATCCGCCGCCGCGGTCGCCGTGGCTGCAGCCGCCGCCTGCCGCAACTCTGGCCTATCCGCCGCCGCGGACGCCGTGGCTGCAGCCGCCGCCTGCCGCAACTC